AGGTTTGTTTTGATGTTACTGCTGACATTTAGGGCCTGTGTCCACTAACAGCAACTCTACACTGTAAACACCCATAATCTTAATTTCAGAGTGTTTTTTTATAAGAACTTATTGTCACTGGGTCACTTAAGTTTTTCAGCTGCACTTCCACTTTTCTCAGGTCTGTCAAGGTTGCAGCAAGAAAGTGTTTAAAAATATCAGAGGGCCTCTTGATTTTGGTTGGTCAGTAATTAAGAAGTGACACTTACAAGAGCGTCAGAGTCCCAAAAATTGAGCTATGTTCACCAACAAGCGATGTGAGTGCAGCAAACAAACCATAGCTGACACCGAATGAGTTTCTGTGCTTATGGCGGCAGGCGCTGAAAACACTGATATGTGTTTGTTTTGAGTAAAAATAAGGTGCTCCCTCAGTGGACACAGGCCCTTAAAATTGACAACATGTGAACTTTGACTTGACATTTGACGGTCAATCCCATTTATTTGGATTTGTGGAGAAGAGTTATTGAGAAATTCTTGTGTCTTGTTATTTTTTCTTTCAATTTTGGTGAGAATTAATAGATTTTGATTAAAAAAAAAACAGAATTATCTTTATTCCTATCCTGCAAGAACTGTTTATAAGATAGATATTATGAAATAGAGGACAAGACAAACCATCTGTGTGATTGCTCCCTTTATCACTCATTAAAATTCAGATTAAACAGAACTTTCCAGATTGACATTTAAGCTTGTTTGTGATCATTACTTTGGACAGAAATGGCAGATTTTTCCCATAGGATCATGATTGATTGTCAGCTGACTGTTAGTTGTACATGTTTTTACATCAAAGTTATGTATGTGAAAGCTAACTGATCATATTTTACCAGCAAGAGTCCCATGCTCTCTTTTTTCCTGTCAAGTATCTGCCTCAAATCCTATTTCAGAAACTTTTGGCAAGATACACCGGTTAAAAAAGAAGTTTTGTCTGATATCAGAAATTGTGAGTCTGTTGTGCTTGCTCAGCAAATAACTCCCTCATAGGTTTTGGCAAACTTCCTGAAAGTTGCCCTTGCAGCAGATGTTTGCGTCGCCTCTTTAATACAACTTTGGAAAAATGATTTCCGGCTTATTATTTTTCGCCAGTGCTCAGTTCAGTACAACTAGTCCTTTTCAACTATTCAACGGTTAGAAATATTTCAAAACATCCCAAATCTCAGAGAAAAAGTTGCTGTTTGCACGAAATCAAAGACAGGGGGACTAAAAAGAAGATTATTTCATAATTTTTTGGAGTTGTTTCAGAGAAATGTGAACTCTAGGATACGCTGTCCCAAAATAATCTTGAGGGGAAAATTATACAATACAGGATATGAAGGAATTGTGTGCTAACAAGATTATGAAAGAGCGATCCTCTCTCAGGACCTTTTCATTTAATTAAGTCAAGATAACAAAGACAATTTAGCCGAACGCGCCGACTGTGCCTCTTTCTTTTTCAAAGAATCAGCGAAATCCCTCCAACAAGGATCTGTGATTTAAAGACTTCTTCCTTCCTGCACGGGTCAGATCCACTTTTCTTCAGAACTTGACTCAGTCTCTCAACCGCTGGCCTCATCTCTGCCCCTGTTTCACATGAGAACGACCCATAACTCAGCACACTTCCTGCTGCTTCACGAGCTGACAGAGAAAGGAAGTGTTGTGAGTACAAACTGCATACCAGTTATGACATTTATCTTGAATATACTACAATGGAAATCTGATGTTTAAACATGAGAGCCCATCCTGTTCTGTTCCATCCGTCACTTGGACTTAAAAGGCTGCAGATTTCCTGAAACTGGTTTTCTGGAGGCGGCTTTTCTCTTTCGAGTGAGTACTCCTAGTGAAATCTGACAATGGGTTTCCATTACACTGAGCCACAGTACAACGCAGGATCCCTCATACTTAAGTGAACAGTGAAATCACTTCAGCATCCCTGCTGGAGGCTCTAACATAGCTCAGAAAAGAGGCGCTGCAGAGCTGGTGATAATCTCAGTCAGAAGGAGACCCCTCCTCATTTTCAAGGGGGGGGATTAATGTGTGCATGCAGTCCATGTCTTGATGGAAACTATTATGCCAGAGCAATTACAACAAGGAGACGCATGTCCAGTTTTTGGAAGACTTCCTGATGTGAGTTTATAATTACAAGACAGAGATTACTGCGTGTTATTCTCCACTGACGTACAATGACAACACTGTTTCCTACACACATGTAGACATGCTGTATGCACACACACACACACGGGAGACCAGAGGTCAACAGGGCAGAGACGGAGTGATGTAAGACCTGCTGCCCAAGCAGAGACAAAGAGGTGGATTTAGCGATGCACTCAACATGGTCCTACATTTCCCATAATGCAGCCAGTAGCATATTTGTTGGACAAAGTTTTTAATACTGAAATTAAGACTTAAACCCATAGACTGTATATAGAATGGACATTGTCTGCCTCCTCGCTGGGTGAAGCCACTCCGAGAACAGCACCCTCTGTTGACGGGCTGCAGTATAGGTCATAAATCCCGCATCCGGCAGCAAAACTTATGATCCTCTATTTGTCACGAGTCTTGCATCAAAAACATCCGTCAATATGAATTCTTGTCTTCCACTCAGTGCATCTCACAAAACCAGCTGCTTAATGCAAAAGGAGTGAGGGTGCAAGATGGTGGCCTCTGCTCTACCAAGTCTCTACCTTAGCAGGTAATAGATAGGTCAAGTTTTATAAAATCTTAGTTTGTTGTAACATGATTGCTTTGATCCTATGCTGCATGACTTTTGCCAAATGGCATCTCTCCCTCATGATCTGCAGGTGCTGCAGGCAGGCAGCAGTTATCGGATGTCACTGTGTTCATATTCCAAGAATCTCACACTCACCCCTATTACATGCTAAACATGTTAATCAATGTCTATTAAAAGTCTATCTCTGGCTTCCTATGATCAAAGGAGTCATGCAAATATTCAATGTTGCACGCTGGTGACTGGTATGATGACTCTGGACTTTCAGCAGATGAAATTCAGCTGCTATTTTCACATGATGAGATGTACTCTGTGATTTGTACAGTAGGCTAATTATAACTACGTGCAATTGCATTCACATATGCACACACATTAGGATAGCATGGTTTGAAAATACCAAGAAAATCATTGCACATGTGCTCACAAAGACACACCCCCTGTTGAAAACGGCTGCACACACCCCCAGTCTGCATACTTTCCGCAGACACAGACTAAACGGATCTGTTTATTATGTTATCACATGAGGATGACATTTCAAATATGCTGTGATTCCGGACAACTGATCGTTATTTCAATACGAAAAACACATAAAGAGAAGTTCAGACAGTCTGAAGACACCCACATTCTTCTGTCAGTTTATTCACTTAGAAAGCGGAACGATCCGAAGAAAAAAAACACTTTTTCCTGGTTTTTACTCACTTATATTCAAAGATGAGGATGTTAACGAATCGATTTCAAGCTTTCAATGTATTGTATACCGAGAGTTTTAACTACAGTTCATATTTTACGGGTTAGTGCTGATTCAGAACTTATCAAAGTGGTGTTAAGTCTGAAAAAGTGGAAGTAAAAACTCACCGGAGATGCTCTCCAGGCGTCTTGCTCTGTGCTGCTGTCTCACCTCATCGACATCTTAAAGCTACATATGAGAAGGACCGAGAAGTTAAGTGCCCGATCCCAATGATAAAAAAAAAACACCCAAATAAACACTTTGCCCCCACGCAAAATGTCTTCCTTGGCATCTTCGTGGCGATAACACTTTCATGATGCGCCTTTACGCACCTCGATGCTTCGTTGGTAAAAGTTTTCATCAATCGGAATAATTTGAAAACTTTGCGGAAGGGACTTATTGAGACCTATGTTGTAAAAAAAAGGAAACAAAGAGCAAGTATTTGTCTCCCCCCACCAACAGCACAACATCTCCCGTGGAAAATTGGATCACTTTACCTACAACAAGACCCACTCCCCCCTCCAAACGTGATGGACAGATAGCGTGAAAAAGTCAAATTGCCACAAGGAAAGAATACAGAGGAATTTCCCTGCATGAAGAACATATTTAACAAGGCTTTGAGCCGTCAGGAATGCTTTGTGGTCTGCTGTCCAAAAGGGAGAGAAATATGTTAATAATGTAGGCTACTGCCATACCAAATATGGCAATATTGTTACGTCTGAGCTCTGGTGCGCATCTGGAAACGCTTAGCTCCACTGAATAAAGGCGCTGGAGAGCCAGAAATAGACACTGTTAAACGTATTCCTGCCCACACCTTTGGGCTCACAGACACCTAATTTTAAACGTGGCCACAGCAACATGCTATAAACGTGCTTTTGTCAACGTGCATTCATGAGGAGCAGCGTTACGCACGTAAAAGTGACGTTAAGACAATAGAGACGCTGTGCCATTAATGCTGAAATCAGTCTATCTTGACTTTATTAAACTTTTGGTACATTTTGACACTCTGTTGTATCATTTGACGATATCATTTGGCTTATTTTACAAGAGGACTACAAGGGGACACTGTTTTAAATGACGAATGCGTCATTGACACCAAAAATATCAAATGATCTCATTGAAGTCACTTGTGTATAAAGTTAAAGAGAGGGAGGAAACACTCTCGGCTGATCTAAACACACACAAAAAGTGAGAGTAAAACACCCAAAACTTGACTAGTTTTACAGAGAAGTTGTGGAGTTTTCGCCCTGGGTTGATAGATGTGAGAAGCGAGCAGGGGAAGAAAATGAAAGGAGGGATAAACAAGAAGGGAAAAATGTGAGACGGAAAAGTGTGTTCAGATGGGATCCAGGGGGGAAAAATCCATTTGGGAGCGAAAAAAAAGAGAAAGGTTTAGACAGGGTGGAGCTTAGGTCTTGGATGGAAAATGCGCCGAGAAACATTCCTGGCATAGTTTGGGAACAGTTCAGCAGGCAGCCCAGGAACGACGTCAGCTTCCCACTACGTATAAAAGTCCGGAGGTGGCCGGACCTCAGCAGACTGCAACCGCTTTACTGAGAGAGTCAACTTCTCTAAAGGAGCCTCTAACAGCAGAGACTACCAGCAAACAAACCGAGAGAGCGAGCGAGCGAGCGAGGGAATACCTAAGGACTCCTCCGAAGAAAGACTTTACCTACTTTTTATACAACCGAGCACAGGATTCCTCTTGAATACGCAGAAGAAATTTATCCAAGATGCTGATGCTTTCTGTTGTCGTTACCTTCCTTGGAAGCCTCAACTTGGTGAGTTATGTCTTTTCCAGCCTGAGCGGGTTTTTGTCGTCTTTGTGTTTAGAGGTTAAGAGCATGGCTGATTGATTCTTTTGGCAAAATCTTTAGAGTTTGTTTTTAATTCAATTCTTTGTGTTAGGACTTTAAAAGTTCAGTCTTTAACAGAGGGTCTCGTTGTTTTTTGTAGGTCCTCTCCTCCTCCTTCTCCTCCTCATGCCCCTCCGGGTGTCCCCTGGAGATGCCTAAGTGCGCACCCGGCGTGAGCATCGTCTTGGACGGCTGCGGCTGCAAAGTGTGCGCCAGGCAGCTGAACGAGGACTGCAGCTTGACCGAGCCTTGTGACCACACCAAAGGGCTGGAGTGTAACTTTGGGGCGAGCTTTGCTGCTGCTACTACTCGTGGCATCTGCCGAGGTATGTACAAAGACCCTCCAGGCTCCAGATGTGCATGCTTTTCAAAAACGAGTTAAAAGAAAGGGAGTGATTGAGGATTATTCAGAGAGACCATCGAGTTTGAGATGTGCATGCTTTTCAGATAGTCTGAAGTTGTTGTTGAAATAAGTGGGTTTGATTGAGGAGTATGGGAAGCTGTGTGATTTCAACACTGAGGAATGCAGAGAGAAGGAAACTTAGACTAAACTCACAGCACAGACAGCCCACTGTGGAGGGAAAAAAGACTCCTCAGGCAGCCTCAAGAATTTCACAGTTTAACTGATCCTTACCTGGCAGCCATGTGATGTCTTCTGCAGACTTTTCCAAGCAGAGCAGGAAAGAATAACATTCCTTTCCTCCTGTTTTTTTCTCCCCCCCTTGCAGCCAAGTTAGAGGGCCGACCCTGCGAGTACAACAGCAGGATCTACCAGAACGGAGAGAGCTTCCAGCCCAACTGTAAACACCAGTGCACATGCATCGATGGGGCGGTGGGATGCGTTCCTCTGTGCCCGCAGGAGCTCTCTCTGCCAAACCTGGGCTGTGCCAACCCAAGACTGGTCAAGGTAGCAGGCCAGTGCTGTGAAGAGTGGGTGTGTGATGATGGCAAGCAGACAGACATCCTGGAGAAGATCTTTGGCAAAGACATGTTGACTGATGACTCAGAAAGAGACCTCACCAACAGGAATGAGCTCATTGCCATCTTCAAGGGTGGACTCAAGTCTCTACCAGGTAAGAAAAGTGCCCCTCATCCTTGACCTGACCTGTTTTTTCTGCATTTATGCGCAAGAGATCTTAAATTCAAGGATTCTAATGTTTCTCCTTCCTTCTCCTTTCACAGCATTCAGACCACAGCCTGAAGTCCACATGTTTGACAACCAGAAGTGCATCGTCCAAACCACACCCTGGTCCCAGTGCTCCAAGAGCTGTGGAACAGGAATCTCCACCAGAGTCACCAACAACAACAACGAGTGCAAGCTGGTCAAAGAGACAAGAATCTGTGAAGTGCGGCCATGCACCCAGTCACCCTACTCCAGTCTGAAGGTAAGCTTGATCCACCAGGACCTCATGTGATGGAAGCATGCGTGATACCAGAAATGCACCACTTTTCCAGGGTCTGAGTGCACCACTAACCTCCATCTCCTTGCTGTTTGTTCCTCTGCAGAAAGGAAAGAAATGCAGCAGAACCAAGAAGTCAAGCCAGCCGGTCAAGTTCACCTACGCCGGCTGCTCCAGCTTGAAGAAGTACAGGCCCAAGTACTGCGGAGCCTGCGTGGACGGCCGCTGCTGCAGCCCCCACGACACCAGAACCATCCGCGTCAAGTTCCGCTGCGAGGACGGCGAGACCTTCAACAAGAACATCATGATGATCGAGTCCTGCAAGTGCACCTACAACTGTCCCCATGCCAACGAAGCCTCCTACCCCTTCTACCGCCTCTCCAACGACATCCACAAGTTCAGAGACTGATTGGTGAACAGCCTCCAAAGCCTTCAGCAAGAGAAAGACATCATCAGCAGTACTGGCAGCCAGTGGCGGTCCAGATGAATGCAGGGGTGTAAATAGACTACCAATCAACTACCAGCTTCTTGTTGTAACTAGATTCCCAAGGAATTGTGGGCTTACATCATGAGGACTCAATGAAGTGCACTGTTTGCTGTGACTCGGCAGCATTCCCAACTATGAACTGCTTCGTATTAATGGAGCATCTGAAGTAGCTTCGTTATGGAGCAAGATGTAATAAATATTTGTACATTTATGTTAGTCTCTGATATCAATTCACTGTGTATATTTTGATCCTTTACATCAGACATGACACAGACTGTAGACTTGCGTGTGTATATGTAGATATGCACATGCGCAACTTCAATTAGCATACCATCCTGTATCTTAAGAACAAGACACCGAAATGCGACCTCTCGACTTGTTTGACAAGTGCGCGGTTTCATTCCTTCCTGACGTGGGCATTATTGTTCATGTTTTGTGGCAGCTATTGAACTCCTTTCATGAAAAAAAAGACAAAGCGAAACATGTCAAAGGATGAATGAATGTTTTTATTATTGTTATTAATATTATTTATCAAAGAAAATGTAGCTTCTTTATTTGGATATTATGTGTCATACTGGAATAAGATGTAAGATTTAATTTTATATGCTACAAATAAAACTGATTTATTTATGAAATACGACACTGTCTTGGTGCAGTTTGTTGGAGTTTTGTGCAGCAAGGACAACGCTGAAGGAGGACGTTTAAAGCCACCATTCCCAGAGAAAATCCCCCTGTTATATCATTCTGTAGACCCAACAGATTCTCAGACAGACACCGAGCAGGGTCACTCTCTTCTTATATAACACAACCTCACAGGCTTTCTCCCTCTCTCTTCTCTGACTTTCTGTGCATTGGAATGCCATTCTGCAGCAGGCTAGTTTTCTTTCATTTGATCTGGCTAAGCCATACACTTGACTGATTCTCAGAGAAGAGGGGGGGGGAGACAGATTAAGTCCACGAGTAGCAATGAGTATGGGAGTATGCCAAGAATCTTAAGTGCTGCTCTGAATGGGCTCGGATTAGACACCGTGCAGGAAGGACAATGACTATTATTGTATACAATGGGCTGTATACAAAGAATGCTTTCCCAGGGAAGCTTTTTTCACACGGCGGCATAGCAATACCAAATTGACCCAATTCATTAGCAGTTGCCTTTAAAAAGTGAATTAGCTGCATTGGCCTCTGCTGGCTCTTAAACTGCAGGGGTCTGCTAAACAGTTGTAAACAGCCCTGCGAAGTCGAGAGGGATTAAGTCTGCCTTCCAGGTCTCACTTTAACAAGCATTAAGAAATACTATTATGAGGTGGAAGCAGGGGAACGACAGGAAACAGGGTAACATACTTTCTACTTCAGCAGCTACTGAAACGGTTTTCTGCCACCGCCACAAACACCTCCTCCAATAACAAAATAAATACCAGTCTGAGGAAGAGGTGTTATTTTTCAAGTGCGAAGAATACCTACAGTACAGTCTGAACTGGGGTAAGGAGAGCAGAGCTCAGGGGCAACGACAGGGAAGGGTTTCTTTTTTTTGATCCAGGTAGAGGGAGCGGCTCAGGAATGCAGCAGTGGCTCAGAAAGCAGACATCCTGATGGGCGGCAGATGTTGGAAAATATTTCAGAGCAACATGTTCACTTTAGCTAAGAAGATTTTCCAAATATACACAAACACTCCCGGGCGCACACTTGTGTCCACAAAAAAAAAAGGCATTTTATCTCCTCACAAACAGCTCTAAAGACCCGGCTATCTGAAGCTCCTGCTCGGCATTCCTGCAGAGCTGCTGGAAATCAGTCTAAATGGAGTGTGTTTAATAAGAGGTTGAGCTGGACACATTGCCTTTGATTGAGCTGCATACCTCACAGGATGTGCCTGCTGAGGTTTTACAGATTGCTCACATGAAAGGCTCCTGAGGTTTACCTAATCACAAGGATGTGTGGCTGCCCCATGCGGCCGGATTTACAGTCCAAACACTTTGAGGGAGCGCGGCTCTGTTTTTGCTCTCTGCCCGTCTGTTACTTCCATCTTGGTACTACAGAGTTTGGAAAGTGACTGTCATTTGTCTTGTTAACACGATGCAGCTAACTCGGTTATGTAATGGCACCTGAATGTTATGCGAGCCGCCTTTTAAGTCATCTGTAGCATTCCTTTATAAAGCACTGACAGACCACAGAGACAGAGACCACAATCCTTCACTCTTAACTGTACCAAAAGATCTCGTCATGCTCGTGAGAAATTAATCTTGTTGTTCCAGCCAACACGGCACAAACCTGTAAAAACCATCACACTTTCTCTCTCTCTCATATAACTCCTGCAATTAAATCACCCAGAGACTACCTCATTCCCTGAACCCCAAAAGTGTTTATATGACAAAGACATAAGCATTAAAGCTTCATCAAGGACGACGTCATGCTGTGCACCCAGAAGCTAACAGCACCAAGAGTGGCCATTACAACACGCTGGAAGCTGCCGAGCACTGATGTCAGCTTTTTTTACAACCCCCCTGTCTGTAACTTCAGGTTAATACTCACTGTTATAAGGAACTCATGGGCAAGTAGTGAGGAGGGTGAGAGGCTGGTCACCAAGTACAAAAGCAGAGGCAGGCGCTTGTTTTGAAAGCACCATCTGCTGGACAAGACGGGGAAGAGCATGTGATCAAAAAAAGTTGGGAGGTTGAATAAAATGCTGATAAAAACAGTTTTTGATAAGTTTTCAAATCATTTAAACCCTGTATCCAATAGAAAAAAAAGCAAAGACAACATATAAGTTGTTAAAAAATGTTATGTATGGGCATCCATATGTGCATTTTGAATTTGATTCCAGTAACATGCTTAAAAAATAGGAACAGGGATAACAAAACACTAAAAAAGGTGAAAATCTCCTAACTGAGCAGATTAAAGCTCCCGTAAGGAGTTTTTTTATGTTGATGAAATTAATTTTGATTCCTTTTTATGTTAAATTATAGCAAACAAGACCGTCAATGACAAGATCAACAGTTTCAACATTGCTGTTTTTAAGGTCTGAAACTAGTGTGAGAGGGTTGGTGTCAGCAAAGCAGTTAAAGAAACAGTCTTCTTTTTTAATAATGTTCACTTGAAATATTCAAAATAAAAGATTAGATCTAAAAGTCAGCATGAAGAGATCTTTTTGTCAGTATCAAAGTATGTTGTCGGCAGTGAAAGTAAAGACCGATTTGTCCACAGGGAGCTCCATGATCAAAATGGCCTGAAAGTTCCTTACAGGAGCTTTAATTTTCAACTAGTTTGTAACATGAGGCACACAAGAGAAAAGTTGAAAAGAGGTTTGGTACACTGTGTGAGAACTGTTCAACAATATGAAAGTGCGATTCAAGAAAAAAAAATATCATTAAAGGGGCAAAGGCAAAAAGAAAACCCAACAGTTAGTGGCCCTGATCTTCAGGCCCTGAAGCTGCACTAAAAACAGACATGTCTCTGAAGTAGAAGTCACTGCAGAGGCTCAAAATCTCCCAATAATCCATCATCTCTGAACACAGTCTATCACTGCATCCACAAATGCTAAACCAATGACTCAATGGATCATAATTGACACCACATCCTCAGCTCTTCACAGGAGAGGGACCACCAAGCTTGTTATCTAACGGTATGGACATGGCATGAGTAGCTTACACTCTGAGGAAAGCGTCATTAATGCTGAACAATATATACAGGCGCTGGAGCAACATACGCTGCCATCCAGATGATGCTTTCTCTTTGTTTTTCTGTTAGAGTGGATTAGCATTTTTCATGTGAAATGTCACTAAAAGTAAGTGATGTAAAAGACACCCATCAGCTAAAGGGTGTGGGACCTTCTCTTAAAAACCAGCATGAACACACACACACACACACACACACACACGTAACAGTGACAGTGATGCAATCCCTCATACACACCCATCACATCCACATCTGTAATTACATAAGAATAACTGATGAGGAGGCGTAGGGCGAAATTCGGAATCCATTCCCCTCCCAGGCTGATGGAGAGCTCAGTCTGTTCCCAGAAGGCCGCTGGCTACTGGAGTGATGATTCCTCTCAAACAAGCCGAGCATTGATGGAAGAGGCAGAGGGGAGTCTTAGGGCGTCTAAAGCCTCGGCCCAGTGGAGACAATGTTGGATTGAATCATCTCCAAGAGGGCACATGCTGTCAACAGCTGAGCTAATGTTAGCGTAGGCTGCTTTGATAATGATACACATGAGCAGAACAATGAGATCACATTAAGAGAGGTTCAAATGGGCTTTTTATTCCTGAAAATGTTGAACCGATCAGTGTCTAAAGTGGATTTTTAAAAACAAGTCAATTATGATGAGCGATTGATGTCTTTGGATCGGTTTTCGTTTTGTTGTGTGTTGATACCGGCCTGTTGCGGATATCCTGATAATGTCAAATTGCCCTGATTGATCAGTCTATCTTTACTCTGCAGTTTTGGAGACAGACTACTGAGACAGAATACAGTGTCTGTTGCCCAAAGGAGAAGGCAGTGTAATCTTTATAAAGTTGTGCCACATCTCCTTGTAAGTGACGCTCTAAATAAGAGAGAGCAGCTGGAGGTCAAAGATGTCAGGATGTGGTGCATGAATGCAACCTGTTGCTTATCAGTTGCAATCATCACGTGTGAAACTGTCTTATGTTTAAAATTCAAAGAGCGACGGATGTGCAAAACACCAGATTTGTTGGCGCATACATGCAAAATGAACAGAGACTTGAGTTTTTGGTCATGTTTTTCTCAAATTTGTGCTGCATCCTAACTGCATATGCATGTCCTTTTAATATACTGTCTATTTCTGATTCTTTGATTATGACAGACTAGTTTTCAAACACCATTACATGACACAAAATGAAATTGATTCATTGCAAAGAAATCTTTTACTTTCCACAAGAATGATGCACTTCCTGTGTTTTATGTAGTTTTCCCACGAATGACGTTCAAACTTCAGTCATCGCTCATATTCAGAGAAGCTATATTATTTCTTTTACAGCTCATTTCAATCTTCACCACAATAACTGAAGCCGTAACGCAAAATTTCTTGGGTTATAATACAGAGATGTGAAGTCGGATTTTGTTGATGGTCTTATGGAACATGAAGTGACAAGAATGATGCATTTCCCTCCGCCTCTGTGGGCCCCATGCTGAGTAATGACAGCCTGGTTTCCAGTTTGTGAGGAGATAAATGCTGGTAAAGCCTTAGTCATTAGACTGTCGCACACTTTCCTCTGTAACACCATTTCTGATTTCTTCTGCATCCTTTGATCTCTGGGGCTGACAATGGCTGTGCCATGGAAATAAAGCTAATGAGCGGCAACTATGACTTTAGTTTAGGGCCGTAAAAAAGAGCCCGCTGGCCTTCCCCTGTCACAAACTGCAATTTAGTAAACACAAAGAAACAGATGTTGATTTAAAGAGAGACAGGAGCACGTACACACACCCCGGCAGAACGTGACCTCATGTTCAGAGGTCCTAAAGTCAGGCGCTGTAGATAAAGCTGACACACTGAGTAGAATAGATGGTAAGAAATAACACGACAGCCAGGATATTGCATTTCTCTCTTTTTTATAGCCAAAGTTATATCTACTCCTACACTTGTCTCGCAGCATCCATACATTATAAAAAAGGATATTGCATTGGAGTGAAAAATGGCAGGTCATAAACGGTTTTACGGCCTGTCTGGTCTGTACCTGTTCTGTGGTTTATTCTCAATCAGACATGTCATGAATACACATGAATACACGTGTCGCAGAGATGAGAACACACCTCAGCTTTCCTCGAATCCTTCAATATGAAGGAGCAGCAACTGTCAATCAAACTGGCTCTAGAGATTTCAGCTGCCTTTATGACTCAGGTATGGTGGCCCTGAAGGTCAACTGCAAAAACATTACAAGGAACAAAAAACATTTCCTCAAAAGTGAAATAAAACACATCATCAATCATAAAAAATCATATGAAAAAATCTAATCATCTTTAACACTGCAAATATACTTCAAACAATGCAAAAAAAAACAAAACAAATGCTTGTAAATAAAACCAAAATTGTTTCACCAAACTGAAAAGTAGCCAAAACGAAAAGAAGGGGTTTTACATAATAAAAAAAATGATATTAAATCTTACAAAAAATATTTAATCAAGTGTAATTTCCTACACTTAGCACAAATTTATTCCCTCAAAAAAAAAAAAAAAATATTTCATTAAATGCAAAACCTCACACAACACAAAAATATGTTTGGAGCTCACAAATTTTTTTATAACAAAAATACGAAATAAAGTGCAACCATTAAAAAAAAATACAAAAATACACCAGAAAAGTTTTTCCCCCCCAAAATACTTTATTTTTTCGCATCACATGTATTTTTATCTCGTGCAAAAATATATCACAATATATTATCATAAAGGAATGAAAAATAAAAATATTTGATTTAGAAAAAAAAAATGTAATCCAAAATTATTCCTGAAAACTAGTTTTCTCATCATGAAAAAAAAATTACTGACTAAAACAAAAGGTCAAAAAATGGAATGAGTATTTTTGCATCTTCTTTGGTTTATTTATTCATGTTTTTGTGTTTTGTTGAATGTTTTTTTTTTTTTTTTTTTGTGGTTGCTAAGTGTTTGTGCTGTTGACCTTCAGGGCCACCGTAGACACAGGACAAAGGTAATCATTCAGAGCAATTAGGGACAGAACAATGCACAAAGCACTTTACTGTTTCCTCTGAAAGGCCGTCTGCTGGTATATGAATGCAGTCTGAACTATAACAGCATATTTTCAACATGAAATCTAGGCAGTACTTCTGGGAAATAAGAGCTGAGGTTGAATTGATTGTTTCATGTTATTAGGATCCTATAGCCTCCTGTTTTTACTCTGCTAAGCAATAAATTGCTAATAGGAATTGTTGAGGTCTAGATACGCTTTCAACAGCCCAACTTCAATAATGAAGTAGACAGAAAATATAACCAGAAAGTCTCCGGAGGCTCGGGCAGGTGCTCTGAAAACGAGTTCACATGATAACTTCAGGCTGATAGTAAAAGAATAACAGACAACAAGCAGCCTCTGTTGGTTTGGACTGTCAGCCTGACAGAAAACAGACATCAGGGAACAAGTGAATCACTTCCTGCAAACAAGCTGCAGGGGATCGGTCTCCGAGGCGACAGCGGTGACAACATTGGGGTCTGTTTGTGATGAAGTGACACACTGATGTCAGTTTATCCCTCCAAACAAGACGGACAGAATCAGCCAGAGACCATCAAAAGGTCCAAAGAGTGATTCAGTAAGTAAGTGTGATTTTTTTAAAGGAGTTTACACGACATGTGAATCCAACATGAGCTCTGTATGCTTTGGTGTGGACTGAATCCAGAGCAATCACAAGGACTGAGCCTGTATATCTTCACATGAGGTGGACGTCGCTTTAAAAGATGAAACATGCTTGAAAATGTTCAGACTAAAGCTTCAAACTTTGAATTCTGATCGGTGCAAAAGTTTCCCATGGCTTTCTGAGGTCCTTCTTTGATTATTCTTAGTTGCCCTCTGTGCACCATGTGACTGTCTGACATCAGGCACCATGTGGAGACACCATGGCGTGTTTCGGTACCTGCCTCTCCTGACTCAGAGTTCACCCTGTTCCTGCACACAGCCACCACTTCAGAGCCGTGTCCTAAAGTTGCTCTCATAAAAAAAGGCTGTTCTGCACGCAGCGGGGTTGAGCCCTGCCCACCAAATTAAGACTGATTAAGTCCAAACCAACTATAGAAAATTCAAAGAGCTATTTACCTAAATTAAAGAATTATTTCCAATGACTGTGCTCTCCGCAGACTAAAAACAGCTCAAATGGACTTTTAACAGCGAACAGAAACAACAGCAGAGCTTTTGTGTGGTCGCATTGAGTAACTTTATTGAGATAGAAAATTAAGAGAGCTGCTAAAATAAAATGGGTGGTAATTCAAGCCAGGCAGAGCTGTGACAGAGGGAACAGATGTGCGAGCCCACAAGGGTTTTACTCTGTACTTTAACAGCTTGGTGATGTGGGACAGTACTGTAGTCGCTAAAACAGAGGACAAGTCTGCTCAGCTGCACCAGGTCTTAAAATACTGTAAGTGTTTTGATTTTAGATCAACAACAGATGATGAACTCTAAAGTCACAGTAAGTAACTTTTAGTTTGTGTTGATGTTGGCGCCCCATGTGGACAAAAGAGAGCATATGATTGATTCTGTTCATGTGTCAGCAGTAAACACTCACCCTGACTCATTTTAAACTCAAATCGATCTCTTTCTGCAAACATTTGCATGGAAATATTCATGGTGCATGCTGTAACTCACTTAATCTGAGAGTTTCTGGCTTTGAAAACAACTAAATAATAGTTAATTTTTATGCTGATGGCAAAAACTGCATCTTAGCAGGAGCCTAAAAGCTATAATTTAAATTTTAAGGAGGTATAAGCCAGTAAGTTTAGAGTAACTTAAGACTGGATACAAAGATGTCTACGTCATAGATATACGTATGTACATAGATGGCCCGCTTCTATGATATGTTGGCGTGTCCACAATAAGTGCAGATCCACCATTTTAACTAATACAGCATAGATACTGTGGCTTTCTGCACAAAAAGTCTGAATGTTAGCATGTTACTTATTTCAATGATCCTTTTTATTTACAATATTAATGATTATATATATTTAAAGCTCCAGTGAGGAATTTTTTTGACATTTATGAAACACACTGAAATTCAAACTGATGCCTTTTAATGAAGTAAAACAGCAAATTAAACCGTCAGTGATTTTTTTCAGTGCAATATTTAATGCCCCAATCTAGCACGAGGGGGTAGGTGTCAGCAGAGCGGCTACATAAATCAGCCTTGTTTAGACATTTTCCACAAAATCTTTTTTTTGGTAAGAAACCACCAGTTAAGGATGTAAAAGACAAGATAAACTAAAGCTGCTCTGTCCACAGGGGGGCGCCATTAGTTCCTCACCGGAGCTTTAAGTTCTATTGACGATTATTGAGATAAAAATCTTTGAGTGGTAAAATAATGGATATACTTTAATTTTTCGTTGCCTACAGTAATGTTAGCTAAAAATGTACTTGTGCAGTAGACTACTATTCTAAATATGCCAGTTATAATATAATATTTAATATGTTCAAATTTTGTCTTATCAATGTCACATGAGGCTGAGTGCCTCACTGACCAATGAAACAAGGGAAGGGTGTCGATGTGGGAAACACTGTAGAAAGACTGTAGAGACTTAACACATTTGTCATAGGAAGCTGTGCTAATAGTGATTGGTAGAGGTTAGACCATCACGGAAATTTAACCTCAGTCAGGAAGCATGTTTCTACATACATGTATGTGCGTCTAGCTATAAGGCAGCCATGTTGGTATACCATTTAGTCTCTCTTTTATTTTATTTTTTGCAAAATGGCAAATGAGCTTTTTTTTTCAATGTAGTAATGTTTCTTTAAACTTGTCAGGGCATTTGTGTTTTTTCCCCAAAGTTCCTAGAAAAGTTGTAAGATGGATCATTTTAAATTAAAAATATAAGTTAGTGCTCTGGGATGATGGTTATCTGCTAAACAATAAAAATAAATAAATGAAGGCCCAGCTGGGTTTGTTGTGACGCTACCAGATGAAAGTCATAGCTTGAAACTGGACATAAAAATTGCACATGAGTTTGGGGTCTCTGCATCTCGGAGGGATGCGCAGTCAGATGTGAGATCATTGCCCCTGACTACAGCAGGGTGGAAAATGCGTCATCATAGGCCTGACATCAAAGGGCGCCCATCCACAGGGGTTAACATCCCAAAGAGGTTAGCAGAGGTTATAAAAACACATCTACAAACCCAGGCCCCACCACTGAGCCACACTGTCAGTTATTACTGGCACTCTGTCATCTGAATAAACCAACATTAGGTAAGAACACAATACGCAGGATTGCCACATGTGCAAGAACATTTACACAGGGAGAGACACCCCGAGGTGTCAGAGAAACGAGCATGTCAGCGTTAACTTTTGTGAGCTGATGGAAAAACGAGACTGATGGTTTTACTGAACTCTGACAGAGGGGAGAAATTCCTCGAACTTCACAGCTGACAGGGGCACAACCAGGGGTGGGCTTTCCTGAGTTTCTAATTAAAACCCACAGTCAACAGAAGGACGTGTTACCCGGTGAAGATTAAAAATGAAGTAAAAAAAAGATTGCTCATAAAATGTATCATATTACCACATAAGGAGCTAACTTACGAAGTTTAAAAAAAACAAAACACAGATGTGATAGGACAAGAGAAAAATTTGCAAAACTTTTGAGGCCCTAAAACTTAAGTTAGCAAGTGAATACAGACAGCAGCATGTTTCCCAATCTCTGCTGTATCTGTGGTTTTTAAAGCAATTGTTAAATAGGAGGTGGTTGAGTGCTAAGATTGGCCGTGTTCTAATGTTAGCAAACAGGTTGTTAAATATGATTTTTAAAGCTCCATTGGGGAACTTTCTGTTTGTGTTGGGTTTGGCGCCCCCTGCAAAAAAAAGCTATGTTTTGCTCTGAACATGTGTTTTGTATGTTTCTTGACAAAAAGACTCATCACGTTCTCGTTTTATAGTCGAACACTTATCAGGTGACTTTGCTGAGTAACAATGGAAAAAAGGTTGATGAATTAACCCCTTCGCCAGGGGTGTCAGGCATTATAAAATAAACTCTTCAAAACAGCTGCTGTTCCTGGTGATGGTTTGTTTACTTTTTAAGGTAATACATCACATTAACACTTATTTCAGACTGTTTCATATCCTGTTAAATTCTCCTCACAGGAGCTTTAACTAAAAATGAGTCCTGATCTCTCTCCAGATTTTCACTTTTTATTGTCTGACTGCTGATTACCAGTTTGAAACGACCACAGAGTGACAAATCATTGAGCTTTATGTGACTTCCAACCTGGAACATAGCACTAAAACATAATATTAGAGCCTCCAAACCTGAAGTTGACCTGAAAATATCAAAAAGTGATACATTTCAGTGGGGACGTCCCGATCCGATATTGATATTGGTTGTCGGTGGGATATCAGCAAAAAAAAAACGAATATCAGAATATATCGGCGTGCATCTAAAATCTCTGATATCAGCACTTCGATATAAGCAGTCCATTCCAGACTCCACTTCGGCATCTCTAGCTAGCAGCGCCTGGATCCAGCATGCAGAGCCTGTGTGATCACAACAACAGTGAGTAGTGAGGTACCAACAAAGTAGCAAGAAGAAGGAGTGATTTTGGCCGTGCGGCAGTATTTTTCGTTTAAGTCTGAAAATGACGTTACAGCTGAATCAAAATTTAGCATACACAAGTTTGTGCCAATATTGGATCGATATCGGTATAAGCTACCATATCGAAAGTAAAAAAAGTTGTATTGGGACACCCTTAAATTTCAGAGTATTCATTAAAATGTGTTTTCTGAGAATAGTTAAAGGTTAATAAACTTATATAACCTAAACATAATGTGTATTTTCTTTTATTTCAGTCAGCAGTGTAAAACAAACAACAAAACTTTACCAAAAACCGTCTTTATTTATCAAATCATGTTCCCAGACATGTCTGTGACATCTAAACCATGAACGTAAACACTGAGATAATCGTATAAATACATACATACACACTTATATCGGTATCATAACCATTTTCTGGTTCCTTAAAACAATCATTATAAAAACAGAAAACGCTGTCTGGGTGGATCGTTCTGCTGTTCACTGACACATGATTGATGGCTTCCTGTCAGATATGTCTGCCTCCTCATTTATTTCACTCCGAACATCTGCGTATTATCATCCCCATCCACAGCTGTCAGTTGAGCTCGCTGACTCATTTTCATCCTGACAGTGACGGGTGATGAACGGGCTGCGGCTCCTTCACAGCCTCCTCCTTAGTCATGCCGACCTCAGCGCTCTCTCTGGAAGCTGACTCGTAATTGGTTGAACTGGAAGTGTCCATGTTTGCACACTCATCCCTGCTGCTGTCAGTGTGTTTGGTCGTACCGTTATCAACATCGGTGACCGCGCTGCCTGCTGGTTCAGTTTTAGCAGAGCTGTCGGCATCACTGCGGCTCTCTCTCTCCTCTTCGTCACTGCTGTCCATAATCTCCCCCTCCTCCAGGTCTTCATCCCCTGACTCTCTCTTCGCTCTTTTTTGTTTCGGGGGTTCAGATTCAGGGCTGGTCTCTGGGGTTCCTCTCTCAGTGGTGGTATCTTTAGGAGTTTTTACCTCAGGCAGGGATGATGAAGCTTGGATTACACCCTCCTTCTCCTGGTCGACTCCTTCGCTTTCGGCTGTAAATCTACTGCAGGTGGATGCGGGTTCAGCTAAAACAAAACAACTTTATTTAAGTCTTGGCTCTTTAGACGGATTCAAAACATATCAGGGTGGTTAGTTAAAGGAGAAGTACTCAAACAGGGATGGCGACAGTAAGGACAGTCTTACAAGGACTTTGGATGAAGCAGTTAGTTATGCAACAAAGAAAGATGAACGTGTGAAAGACAGATTGCAGAATAAATGACGATACAAGCGGTAATAATTGTGAGCAATAAGCCGATCTTTCCCAATGTATTTCCCCACAGTCCACATCAGGAACATTTCCTTTAAACCCCGGACTCTCTGGCTTGCGTGACTCTGTCTGTATCCTAAACAATGTTTATCCAGCTGAGCCTATAATATTAAAGATTAATGCGATTTACAGTTCCTGTGTTATGCTGTAATAGGAGACAATTAAAATGCTGCAGGCCTCACATTATCCATTCATCCTGAGAGGGGAGCGTTTCTAATAGAATTAAATATTATCCTAATGAGGTGAGAGAATTCATAGTTACATAAAGCTTTTCATTTGAGACCTTTAAAAACGTCTCGCTCGCTTGTGTAACCCCGGGAGTGACGTAGTATTTTTCTGTCTGCCATAAATCACAGGTAACTAACTCAAGAACGTAAAGATTACACTCCTGATTTATTAGATCTGGTTCAAATTAATCAAACAAAAAAAAAAGGAAATCACTGCTGATTCAGTAGTCAGAAGGTTTTTAGGAGCTATGAGATTTGATGTACCTGTCGTTAGCGGATAGTCTCTCCCTCTTCAAATGTCTCTGCACATCGCTGATCTTCCTCAGAGACTGCGTAATCTCTGTTTCTTCTGGTTTGTTCAGCTGAGGACTTCCTCTCAATCAGGAATAAGAAGTAACTTCTTCCTTTCAGATTTATACTGATTGAAAGACGATAAAGATGCTAAAAGATATCGATAAACACCGGCTGCTGACACATTATTATTACAGATGTGTCAGCATCAGCCAACAGGGCTGATATTTGTCGATACCAAAAGTCCAGCAGCTGAAAATATCCCTTTCAGACGGCGAAGAGAGACAATAAAAACAAACTCTTTCGGTTTTCAACAGCTGTTGTGACAACAACCGCAGACCCGAGTGGCTGAGAGGCGTCGGCTAATCGGGTCACTCGTTAAACTGAAACCCTGGTGTTGTTTTGGAAAGCGCTGCATCTTCTCTCTGCAGCGTCTCTGCAGTTTCAATCAGAGACCAACTTTTGATGAAGACATGCATTAAAGTTGGTTTGTGTAATATAAGTCACGCTCTTTGGTGTGTTTGGACAGTAACCCTGCTGTATTATCACCATACGTTTGCCACTAAAGGATATTAAAGCAGTTATTAATAATAAAACAGATACTGATCAAACTGGTAAAATACTGTATGTTAGAATTAACTGGAGATTATTTGCTTTTAATTTGCTTCAAAAAGTAAAATCAAAAGTTTTCAGTCTGATTATTTGTATCAAATGTGAAAGTGTAAATGCTACTAATTGGTCGGCTGGTTGAAAAAGGCCAAATAGTTGAACTTTTGTTTGCAGTATCACTTTAACGGTTTCTACAATAACATAATAATACTTCTAGGAATGGACACAATCAATCAATCAATGACTGGTCAATTGATTGTTAAGAATTGCGACGATCAAGCAAAATTTCGATTGCTCTAACGTTATTAAAAAGGACTGACAGCGTACGTCTATCCTCCAGCTGCTTTCCAGCAAAGATCAACCTCTGCTGATCGTGAGGGATACACTCTCTGTCCAGTCAGCGTGTGTGTGTGTGTGTGTTAAAGCAATGCTGACAATCACCACGTCGAAGGATTTTGACATTTTAAAAGGGGAGTGATACAGCGTCAGCGGGCTTCCGTAGAAGTCGAAAAATAACATGAAGAAAGCAACACGAAGTGTGGTGTGGGATTATTTCGAGTGGAAAAAGTATAACACGACAACAACCCTAATAATGAACCACTTGAACCACAAACATCCTACTGAGGTTAATGAATCCTCGGAGAGCTCTCAGTCTAAACCTACTATCAGCTCCTTGCTAGTAAGGAGAAACTGTAGGGTGACCAGACGTCCCCGATTTCAGGGGGACAGTCCCTGTTTTGGATGAACTGTCCCCGGCTAAAGTTGTCCTCGGAAATGTCTCTGATTTTAGAATTTCATGAATAAGAAAAAAAACAACAGTATGATAGCCGGGCAGGTAAGAAGCGTGAGTGAGCATGTAACGCAGCACTTAACGATCAAATGGATGATTGATTGTTAATTTATATGATGAATTGATCAAAGGACTTTCTTAAAACGCCCATTCCTAATGTCAATACTACATTGACATTATTTTGATGTATTGAATCTTTCTTCCCTTCACATTTAACCCAGCTGAGCTAGATTTAACAGGCTGACCGTGAGAAGAGCCAGCTGATGGCCTGATAGATAAAACTTTTAGTTCAAAGTTTGTCAAAAGACTTTGTGCTATTCTGTGGAGCATTGACAAAAACAATAAGATTATTAAAAAAAGAGTCAAAGAAACACTGACTCATGGCGATCAAACTAGAAAACTGAGCGGCTGGACCCTCAGATTTACTCTGTCCTCACTGGGAACGCCGCTGCCACAGCGTCCGATTGCTCTTTATCACTTCCTGTCCAGCTTCCCTGGTCTCCACATGTGTAATTATCAGGATGTTTCTATGGCTCAACATTTGAACAAAACAGTGTAGCACTGAGGCCTTATCACTGGAAACACACACTCAGACTAAATTTACCTCGTTCGTCATTCAGCCTGTCTGGGTCTGAAAGTCTGATGGTGCTGGGCTAATGTGGTCTTTTGTAATCATGCTGACCTTATTGACATACAGAGAGTTTAAGGATTTGTGTTTTAGCCATACTCTGTCACGGCTCAATTTGGCCTCAAACATTTAAACCTGAAGAAGACGGACAAGAGAGAGAGGAGAAACCACAGGCCCAGTGTCCTGTTTTCTCCTCTTTTCTGTCATTTGTCAGTTCATGAGGTCACCTCACGACAGTAAGCCATGTTTGATCCTCTTCTTGGACACGGTCTATGTTGAAGTTGAGTTGGTGTGTGTGATGCTGAGCAGAACACCCTCATTTCCGTTGGGGTAGCATGTTGCCATAGTGAAAAATAAGGGAGCAGAGAGTCTGTTAGCCGGAGAGACCCGGGACATGAGACAATGCTGCTGGAACCAGGGAAGGCAGAGAGGGGCTGAAGTTCGGGGGATTTGAAAGCTTTAAACTCATGTTACATATCCGCCCTTTTGTTTAGTTACAGAAGAAATGAGTGAAAATGGAGACATGAAGCAGAAAGTGGTGGTATAGGAATGATTATTTACAAAAGAAGAAACCTTAGCGGGTTAGTGTTTGTGCAGAAAGCAGGTTAAAGACAGAAAACTTGTGATTTTAAGATAAATAAGAGTGTTTTATTGTATTTTTTTACCTTGTCCTTTCAGCGGATAGTTCTTCCAATGATCTCCGAGCACAACATGCAGCACGGGATATTCAATCAGGGTTTTGTAGCTCAAGTTGTCCCTCAGGCTTTTGTGAATGTCCAGCTCATGGTACCTAATTCAGATTCAGAAATTGGGGCAGAAAAACACAAAAAGGGTGATTACAGGACAGCTCAGTTACAGCACACTGGCTCGGTTATGCAACGTTAAGATTACAGGCTTCCAGAATTGCAAAGCCACATTTTTGTAAACCTTCATCCCTTTACTCTAAACGGTGAGCACGAAACCTACATTCACAAAAACTCTGATTCATCCAAACAGTTTCCTTTGTGCTCAGACTCAAACACTTTTTTGTATATCGTACACACAGACCACTTTGGTATGTCTGCTTTGAGAAACGCTTGTTTTTTTAATCTGCAGAACTGCTTCAAACAAAGATGGTGGCATTACTTTATTCATACTCAATAGTTTCATCAAAGAGAGCGTCAGTCTGCTATAAAATCCAGTTTTGATGCAACTGAAATAATCAAAAATAAACATTGTAATACTGAATTTTCCCTCAGATTAATCATTTCTATGAGGAAATTTTTAAAAATATTATATAATGCTATAAATATAACATCTAGTACATCAATGAATGCTTTAAATCCGACTGAGATGTTTTCAGAGCCACACTATGATAATTTAATAGGGCTGGGCAATAAACCGAAAAAATGAGCTATTCATCATTTCGATTTTTCATATTTCATTAGCGGTCATGATTTTGTTATTTGACTCTCATCGTAGCTGGATCACCCTGCTGTCCTAAGGTCTAATACACCTCAGAGAATGTGAAAGGGTTTGGGGGTATTCTTGAAAAAGAGTAGACTACAGAAGAAGGCACCTGCTGCTCAAATAAGACGGTCCATACAGTTCTGTTTTGACAAGTTAAAGACGAAGGAATCAGACGTAGTGTTGAAGTATGGATGTTTCTGTTCAGTCAAGTAATCCAATATTTGGCGTCCTTGCTAGTCAGTACCTAAGTTAGGGTTGGGTGATAAACTAAAAATTTACCAATAATGAAATTTACGACAGTAACCAACGTCATTTTGCCCATGTTAATGTTTTTTAAATAAAAGTTGGTTTTGGATGTGTGTAGGTAGGCTATGGTCTCATGTCTCTTTAAGACGCTGTCCTACATCAGAGACATGTCTCCACCCCATCTAGTCCGTAACAAAGAGGGAAAGACAGGTGAGGAGATGGAGGACGGTTCAAAAGTTGTAGCGGCTGAAGTAGACGAAGTTAATGTGGGAGGGGGTGAGCAGCTTATGGAGTAGTTATCATCCATTTATCCTTATCGAGGTGAACTGCTCAATATATTGCGAATTTGTTCTGACGCCATTTCGCCCAGCCCTATGATTCAGCATCTCTTCAGTAAAGATCACACGGACTGTGCAGTGGAAAACTGTCTGATCAGGATCGTCTAATCTTCTGTTACTGGACTACATCCTCTGTCACTTGCATCAGACTGAAGTTACTCTGACTTCCAGAGGACATGCCAATAACACTAAATTGTGACTCAAGTATCTAGAAATCATCCAGTCATCTGGAAGCTCACTCTTCCAGGGGATCAACAACAACAACAGAGCAGGAAAAAGGCTGATACTGTTGAAACAATAACCAGTAACCGTAGTACTTTGTTTCCAGCTGCTCATGGATCGTCGGTGGCTAAGAGTCTCTCAAGGACTGATCGTGATTTGAGTCATTTTTTGGCCAAGTCCTGCTTGGTCTCGGGGTCTCAGGGGATGGAAAACTGACTCTACCAAGAATCAAAAACATCTCTCACAAGCACATGAAGAACCGTCTCACCCCTCCTTCAGTTCTTTGTATGAGATGACATCAGTCTGGTCTAGTTTCTAAGTAGTCCTGTCATGCATTAGGGATGGTCGTAAATCACCGGGCTAAATAGTTAACTGGATTCCTGGGAGACGTGGCTTCACTCAACTGATTCAGGACCATCCAGCTTAGGCTGTCATCACCAAAGTACCAGACATTATATATTTTGGATGTATACCGTAACTGGCAGCATCCCCAACCAGCTGTCAAAGCCATGCCAGCCATTGTTTGTTTTGCTAAAAGCGCAAGCAGACGGAGCGCCGCCCAGGTAGACACCCACTCTCCAAGCCAATCAAAGCACTCTGCTGTAATGTGACATTTACAGGTTTTTACTGGTGGGCCAGCTTCCAAGAAGCCCTCCCTCCTGGAAGAGTTTCTCTTAGGTGGGCTTGGATCATTTTTGCATGGTCCCCTAAAATAAACCCCATTATGTGTTGGCACTTCCTGCAGGACAGGACAAAGGGAAGAGGGAGGGAGCTATGGAGACTCAAAACACACTGTGCAACAAATGGATGCAGGGTGATTCAGGTGCATCCTCGCAACCCACGGATGCTGGGTTTCTTATGTAACAGTGGACACGACTTTTGGCACATTGTTTAGACTGTGCAGTAAAACCGGTACATAAAGTGGATCAAAGGTTAGGCAGAGTGAAGCAGATATGTGCAAAGAATTTATGGAAAATATTTTGGAAAGCAAAAGCAGGATACCAGCAAGGTCTGCATCCCTTTGCAATCTGCATACCAGATAAATACTGTTCCATTTCACTTGTTTTTATGTCAAACCTGCGAGGAATTAATGTTCTTGGATGTTTTTCATTGAGCTAAGCTAAAACACAAGTGTTTGCAAACATCAGTGAAAAAGAGGGGAGGATGGCAGAGCGGAGAGCGGCTCCCTGTGGTGTCGATGGGATTGTTAAAGCTCTGGCCATCTCTAGAAACACAGCTCAATGACTCAGATGAACACGCACACATCTGGTCTCTATATAGTGTTCTGGTGAATGAACAGAACAGAGGGATGGACTGATGTTCTCTTCGGGGTGGTTCCTCTTGTTTTCCTCTCCACTGCTGAGACCCGACAGCGTCGATAGAGCAGAGGTAAGGTGTAACGACAAAAAAGACGAATAACTGCATATCTGATTAAGTCAGCGCCAAATTAAACATATCCCCCTGCTGTCCGCCATTCTTTATGAAATGAACTCACTGTTACATATCGTACGCAAACATATTGGTCCCAGTTGAATCTGGACACTCGGTACATTTTCCTACATCGCTAAGTAATTCTTGATGTCACCTTTTTTTTGTTGCTGTTCCTGCCAATATAACTGTATGTCCTCAGTGCTGTGTGTAATTATGTAATGACAGGCAAAAGGCCTCCTTTGTATATGCTGCGAGAGCAAAAATCAGACCTTGAATAATGCATGTGCGCCTTATGTCAGAGTTGGAGTGTTTTAAAAACCAAAGCTAATTTGAGAAAAAACAGATCTCAGAGAAACGGTGAGGCAGACACACGCAGAAAGTGTAAGTTAAAATGTTTCAAGAGTAGAGGACACTTCAGATGAAAAAACGCAGATCCTGGTTTTACTTATATAATGTTGCTTATATTTTAAAAGACATCCATCACCTGTTTCAATTTCTTGGCTTAAAAATCGAGATTCAACTTTAAGTATATGTTGTTAGATGGACAAAAACACTGTATTCGCTCCAGCATTAACAGGATTATAGACAGATGGTGGATACTTTGGATTTTCACCAACAGTTGTGTAAGTTTTGACTGTCAACACCACCGCAAATATTATACTTTTCTGTCAGCACCAAATAGCAGAGTTATAGTATAATCTCTTATTGTGACTATTGTGCAACATACTTTTATTCAGCCTGATTCCTTAAAGAAATCTGAACAGGGGAGAAGAAACAATTCTTTGAGTTGAGCTACACAAACCAAACTTCTGGTCCTGGTAAGTGTGCGAGTGTTACAACCCCAAATCCAATAAAACTAGGATGTGAAAATATAGATTTTAAGACATTTTAATGGTTTGCAAATCATTCAAACCCAATGATTAACTGAAAATAGTGTGAAAAAGTATGTTGGAAATGAAGAATTGTATCATTCATAAGTCCATTTCAACTCTGATGCCAGCGACAAATCTCACAAATGTTGTTTAAATGCAGATGCGATCAGCCTTGTAATTGTGCGTCACTTTTACCCCAAACACGCCTTAAAATCAAACTGAATAATGTTCTTAAGTACATAAAGTACCTAATGCCAGCAAGAGATTCAGAGTATTTTGGAAAAATGAGACAAAGTCAAACATTAATACCGAAAGCTGTTATCTTTGAGTGCTTGGGGCTAAATGCATTGAAAAAGCACATGACTCTGTAGTGGAAACCTCTGCATAGGTTCAGTGTTGTCTGTGAGCACATTGCACCAATGCATCCACAAATGTAGGGTCATGAAAAGAGGAAAACATGTTGGTATAAAATGGACTGAGGCCAATGAGAAACACTTTGTGGCCCAACAGACAAAAACCGGACTCTCTTTTTGGAAATCCTGGAGAGGGAGAGGGAGAGGGACTGCCCATCAGTGCTGAATAATATATGCATGAAAGACTTATTTGCATATTTCCATACGATAATGCCAAACCACATTCTGTATGTATGACAACAGCAGGGCTCCAAAGTCAAGGAGTCCATGAGCTAAAGTGGCCGAGCTGGAGTCCTGATTTGTCATGCATTGAAAACATTTTGCTTTCAAACCCCCAAATGGATCTCCATGGTTCCCAAATGTTTACAGAGTGATGTTAAAGGAAGAAGTGATGAAATTCGATGGTAAACACGACCCTGTCCCAACATTTCTTTTATGTATTAGTGGAATCAAATTTAAAATGAGCATATAATTTTCATAAAACCATAATTTTCCCCAGTTTCAACATTTGATACGTAGTCTTTGTACTATTTTTTGATTAAATGCAGCGTTTGGATGACTTGCAAACCATTACGTTCTGTTTTTTTAGCTTTTTACACAGCGTTCCATCTTTTTGGCAGCTGGGTTGTAGGTTCAACAGCATGCTGTTCTGTTGGTTTAATCCAACTCCTCTTGCAAAGATTACCCCGAACTGTCCCTGAGGCAGGGATTGTGTAAACAAAAACACTCTGCCAAAATAGGAGAGCATTTCCAGCGGCGTGTCCACATTTATTCGCTATTACACAATTTAGCCAGAGTTGAATAACTAAAAGTGGAGGGTGTATTATTGGTGCTTCAGTGGAGCATAAAAATGTACTTATAGTGAGAAATATTTTAAGGTTACAGGTACCCACAAGCGCAACCTTTACACCACTTGGCACACTCGAGTTGCGGTAACCTCACATCCTTATTCTCAGCAAACATAAAGTTAAAATACGCACATTAATGACCACAATCCTTCCTTTTCAGTGAACTATTGCACAATAAAATCAGCCACTATTAATGGTTTGCTACTTAAGTAAAATTACCCAAAGTAGGCCAGCACTACAGGAGACCTGAGGAAGCATCTGCTGCACAGAAACAAACTGGTACGCTGCTTCGGGGAAAGCTGAGGAAGAGCAGATCAGCAGGCTCAGGAGGGCTAAAGAGAGGCTTCGTCACAAATAAATAAAAAACACACACAGAAATGAGCACACATGAACAGGTTTCCTTTTTGGCTATTCCTGCGAAAACAGCATCTCCACTTTTGACACCTCAGCGGGCGTGGATGTTCTGTGGGATCCGGCTGACTGAGTGGAAAAGAAGTAGTGCGGGAAAGAGGGAAAAGGGCATCTTCTGGATCTCAGAAGTGGAATGAATAAAAGTAAACATTAGAAAATAAAGCAAACAAACACCCAGAGGAGTGTGAAAGGTTCTCTTCATGCCTGGTCCGTCTCATTTCCAGTAAGAGAAAGTCAACTGGTTACACAGCTATATTTGGTTTAGCACAGGCGCTCCTTTCTTTTGCAGCCGGTTGATATTCCAGTCGACATTCATCAACAAAAACATGCAGTCAGACCCTTTGTGTTAGACTTGGCCTCAAAGTAGCCATGACTACTGCCGCCATCCATGACTTCATAAGCTTAATAATACCTTTCAAAATTACAGGCTTTCTGCTAAGACCGCATTATTCAAAAACATGGAGGCCCCACTGTGGTTGCAGAGCTTCGACCCTGTTTTGGACCCCTTAAATGGGGTTCTGTATTGGGGCCTCTTGTCTTATTAGAGCTAAAATCACCTTATGCAACTGCACCGAGTTAATGTCAGGTAATTTCCTCCTGGACAAGCATCTTTACTTTTACTTACTTCCATTCATCACTATTATCACGACAATACAAGCTCTCAAAGACCCGAATTACAGACTGCACAGTCGCTCATTACCAACCCCGTACTCAGAGCTATTAAGGTTCGACAGGAAAAGGTAACCGAGAGAGAAAGTGGATTAGAGTTAGGGATTTATGCCGCTGAATTACTCAGTATCACAGACTTGACAGGACACAGCCTCCAGAGTCTGATTTACGACTGCGGCTGTATTGGACTAATAGATGTAACAGAAGTCATTTATAAAATCTTTCTTTGGAAGCTGGGAACACTGTTACGGGGATGATATAACACGGTGTGACTCATTTGTTAAAAATGTCTCCGGAAATGTCTGCGCATTTATACCTTTCCACCTTGATGGGACTGTTTCATGTGATACGAGGGCATAAAAAACAAAAGCGGGTCAAATAAATATGAGTTTGTAGAATTAAGTGGACAGTGGAGTAAGTACTTTGACGTTTAGCCAGAATCTGAGGTCCCTGAGATGTTTCTGTGGATGTTATTTTATCTGAACGCAGAGGGAAAAACACTTAAGAGAAACAGAAGAAGCTACTACACTTTAAACTACGTCTGGTCCGACTTTGACAGCAAAATCAATTAACAAATGAGCATTCAGAGGCAGGGAACAGATCATTTATTAAAATATTGAAATAATATGTACTGTTATATAACCTTAACATAAACCCCTAACCTCCACAATTCTACATCATGAACAGTATATTTAACTGGGTGTTTCAAGTGTTCACTGACAGTGAAGTTAAAAGAGTTAGAGCTCCCCCTACAGGTCATAAACCCCGCCTCCTCCATGTTAACAAATGGAACATGAATGGAATTAATAAACAAAATTACACAAAAAAAATTAAGCTTTGATTTACATGTAACTGTTCATTTTTCTGAAAAGAGTATTTAAAAAAAAATACTAGATTTCAAAAATTAATTGACTGACAGCTCTGTTGACAAATATAAAAAAATAAAATTAAAAAAATAAAAATTTTAAAAAATATAGGCTAGCAGCAGAGAGGAGGAAAAAATAACGAGCACCAACCTGATAGTCATTTTACTTTTCATAGCCAAATGTATCTGCTGCAAACATTGGCTATACTTGTTAAATAAACCAGCCCCTATTGTGGCAGTCTGATCTGATTTTAAAGTGCAAAACATTTCGTTTGAATTTCAGGTACTTAAAAAGTTAAAGCTACAGTAGGTGTTATTTCATTGGAATTTGGTTAAAATATGAAACGTTAATAATTGCGTGTTCCTGTCAAATTCAGCAAAACATTTAAATTGAAGACATCTGATCTGTGTCCATCTCCTTGGTATATCTGTTGTTTTTAAACTGCACCAGTCTGGTTCAGCCGATCTTTGCAGACTTATGCCATCAGATTTCTCCCTGTCTTGTAGCGGCAGCTCTCGCTGACTCTCCCGCTTCACACGAATTAGACATTAATAGTTAAGTGGAACAGACAGACTTTGTATCACCTGGCATGGCTATTTGGTGCGTCATTTAAAGGGAGAGGCGAAGCGTAAAGACATGAAGTACCACAGGGTGAGGCAGAGCTGTTTTTGCCAATGTGGGAACATTTATGTTCCTTATTTCCTCTTTAACAGCACTGATTAGTCCAGCCTAATTATAAAAACTAAAATTATTCCACTGTGATTTGACACTGAAACTTAACACACACCAGGTTGCTCCTTCAAATACTCGAGGGTGTTTTAAATTCTCCACACGCGTGTTTATCAAAGCATCAGTGCCAGGGATGGAGAGGAACCCAGACAGGACAGGGTGAGTTTTCATGAGACCTTGTGAGGAAGGTTTTATCAGGCTTTAGAAATCTCTGCTCTCTGACTCACACTTATGTAACATTATGGAGGGGCGCAGGTGCATGCTGTGTCAGTGAAGAGCGTTCTTAAGAAGTTATGCAGCACATACTGTTTGTTTATCGAGCATGAATTAAACACAGGTGATCATTTATTATCTTAAGATGTAAAATTGTATGAATCGTAAAACTGGACTCTTGTTCTATTTAAAATGGGATGTTTTAGTTTTTATTCTCAACAGACTAAAACTTTAAGGATTTCAAGTGAAGTTTAGTATATATTTGCAGGGTCTAACTGCATTATTTAGCAGCAAAAAATGAAGTTTTTGAAAAAGTAACACACAAAAAAAACAGTTTAAACCTTACCTGGCTCATTACGTCGGTAAAATCTTAAGAAATATATCACCTTAGCTCATATAACACTACAACCTGTGATTATGCAGGGCTATAAAATCACTTATAATGACTGTAATTATAAAGGAGACACTATGAATGTGTGTAGCGTCATAGAAATGACTCTTCATTAAGTCTTCAGTCTTAAAAAAGTCACGTAAAGGTAAAAGTGGGAAACCTTACAGCTCTCCCTAAACCTAAGACCAACAACACCTACATTTCTCAGCTGGGTTTTAATGATTCTGCTCAATATTAAGCAGTAAAATACAATTTATTGGTGGAGAAAGCATGTGCAGCCCAGCCCAGTGGGGGTAAACGAAGGGTGTATGTGTGTGTGTGCTACAAGGATGAAGAATGGGAGGTTTCATGACGTTTCATCCTGGCCAGGGGGGTAATGATCATGAGGATCATCATTCACTCCATGACTAAGTGAGAATGGAGGACAGCCAAAGAATCGGGAAGTAGGCGAGGCGAATGGGTGCTATCAACACCCTCCCTGACCCCGAACGAGACCGGGAAGTTTCGCAGTCGTCAGAACTTGTGAAAACGGGGGAGAGTGAGAAAGTGAAAGAAAGCAGATGGAGGATGTTTGAAGGTTGAATATCGTCTCGATCAATGGAATATCTGAATGTTGGAGTCAAAGTACAAAGAGGAGTGGAGGGGAGAAAAAAAAAACGTCGGTCTAGCAGCCAAAAGTCTGTGTAGCTTTTGAGGAATTTACTAGACACTGATGTCATGCTCCTAAACAAATTATGTCGATTTTTGTCCATGCTGAAGAAATCAGACATGTCTGGTACGTTCGATGAACAAGTCAGCGTGATCACAAACAGGTGTGGACATGATATCAGATTCTGTCAGACTCAAGAAGATTTCTCAATTATTTTATATTCAAAATATGAACACAAATCGATATCCTTTAACTTATGTTCAAATACAGACATGTTGCATATTTATCGAGATTCAGCCAAGAAAGCAATTCCTTAAATGGCCACCTGGGGCTGCTTTCAGTAGTGAGCCGATCTCCATAGGCTTCAATGTTACAGTGCACTGTTTAACAGAGGAAGTTAACATGACTGTGGACAGCTGTCAAACACTGTAATGATGAAAAACTGAGTGACACAAAGTTGTTTAACAGTTAGCAAAGTTATAATCAGGCTCGTCCTTTATCTCGATATACATTATAGGAAAGCTACAGACCATTTAAGGGCTATCATTTCAGCCTGATTCATACTTTAGTGACTTTGTTGTAACCTCCTCAGAAAGTTTGCCAACTCACACAGCCTGGTGTGCACCTCCTTAAAGCCCGAGGCCTGTGATTGGTCCCCTGGGTAGCATCTTATTTCCTGAATTTACATTTGCAGCACCTGCTTCCTCTGCTGATTCAGCGGCTGTAAATTCCTCCCCCCCTCAAGCCTCACTTCTCCTCTTTTTTTCCTGAGTGAATGATCAACTAATGCTCAACATTTATTGGCTCTAACTCTCACACTTAGAAAGTTTTCCACAAACAAGCAGATAATGCCGCAGATCTGGAAGACAGGTGATAAAACTAAAGCAAAGAAATGCAACCACACTGGGTATTGTTGTTGTTGTTAATAATAATGGATGATAACCAACATATGTGATATTTTGCAAACAGAAACACCTTAAAGATACAAATTGAGCCTGCAAAAAAAGCTGATAAACTAGATTAAAACTACACCTATTTTAATGTTGATGCAGAGAGCATCCATCTTAGATTTTAGGCTCAAGTTGCTGAAGTTTCTAAGAGTTTTTGAGTTTGAATTTAGATTTAAGGAGGCTGTATCAGACTGATGGATTATTTGGCAAAAAAAAACATGAAAACACTGAACCCACAAACCAAAACATGACTTTTCCATTAGTTTTATTCATCCTTATTTAAACTCTGTTATCCTTTCAAAGTGGTGGTTGAAACCATCACAGATCAAGGATGAATCACTATTTTCTGCACCCGGAGTGGCCTGAGGACCGAGGCTTTATTCAGTCCTCTAAGAGCCCAGATATATTTTTTGACCTTGCATCCACAATCCCATAAAAAAGAGAGCAATCTATTATCCCTCGGGGGTATTAAAGTGAATAGCGTGATAATGAAAATGAGAAATGGAAGAGGTGTCCGCTACAAAGTAAATCTCACCTCACAGAGTTGGCCTTCCTCCCCTCTGCTTTCATGAAGACTTTCACATGATCAAACGGAGCGTGTACGTACATCTTCAACCTGAAACAGAAATCCACATTAATACGGAGGAATCTGGAAACTCGACTCCGAACCCAACCTTTGGAAAAGTACAATTCAAAAGTACATATGTGAACAACAACTCTGCAGAATTTCCCTCGGTGGTTACCTTAAAAGGTCAAAACACAAAGAGCTCATTGAGAGAAGGACAGGACGGACTCAAATGTACACTTCGCTCTGGTATGCTGACTGATATACTGCATGTATAGGCTTCTTGTGTAAGGGACAATCCTCCCCGCTACTTTCGGCCATGGCACCTGAGCCTGCGGTAAACAGGCAGCCAATGGGCCATGAAGTGTTAAACCCCAGTCACTTGAATCTTGTCAAAGTACAGAGTGTGTCTCCAGGGTTGGCGCTGAACCAGCTAAGGTGTATATTGCGGTAGCTTCTATATAAAAGAGCGTGCAAACACGTGAAAATAAACCCCAAAAATGCGAGAAGCGAGCACGTAAATCAGCTGCATCAAATATGCCCGAAATGCTTCAGTGTTCAAACAGCGAGAGGCTTATTTCTGAGAGTTATCAGCACAAAAGCCTGGGTCAAAGGAGTCAGATCACCGTTCTGCTAAAGGTTGAGATTAGAAACGCAGAGTGTTCTGAATCAAAGAGCCTGCCTTGTCCAAATGCTGCAGTTTGTGCCGGGAGAAACACAAGCCTGGGAAATTAAAAAAAGAAGCGAAGCAAGAGCGAAATTACCGAGATAAACGCTGGCAAGTCGCATTGTGGGAATTAGACAGAACATGGAGTTACACCAGCTGAATCCTGTGTGGCTGAAATTGGATCGAGCTGATTGATATTGAAAGATCAGGATGGAAAAATGACCTTTGTGTAACAGCTTTTGTAAATGCAGCGACTGAGTTTTCCCCTCGCGCGCATAGAGGATAATTGAGCCTATTAAAAGCGGCCACTTTATCTACTCATCCGCACAATGTGGAACATTCACATTCAAGAGGATGGTACAGATCAGCAGAGTGTTAAATTCATTCAGACACATTCACACTCCACAGTTAATTTTAATTAGAAATAGAAATGTGCAGGAGAGGATGCAGAGTGCTTCAGAACACTTATCCATCATGAATCTGTTAACAGTCATCAAAGTACTGACCCGGTCCATTTTTTACTCGGTCTGTGAGTGGAACATTATTCCTGGACACGCTGCTGCCAAATCTGATAGCAGATGGTTTAGTATGCGTGTGACAGCGGACCTGGTACTGAGGACCAGATCTGCAGCTGTAGTCAGTTTTTGATGATTGTGGGTGTTAGTCGTGTGCAGAGGTGTATTATATTGTAGTATGAAGGAGACAAAATATAAAGAAAATATCAAGTTTGGTGAAATAATATCATGATGCAGGAACATTTTAGGTCTGTCCTCAAGACAATTAAATTCTTTTAAAATGCTTGATTGTTGATCAGAACTCGGATTTATCATTTTCGTTGCATTTAAAAGGGATATTCTGGTGCAAAATAAAGTAAGGGTCAAACCTTCATAACATCGAGTTACACATCCCCCCGAGAGATGAATGTTGCCGACTGCTTGCTTCTCTAGTTACACCAACTTTAGTAATGACCGCACGATAGCAATACACAGCAGTCTACGTCTCTACGCGCAAACCTCAACCAAAACGCCACTCTATAGCCACATATAATGCTCAGAACAGCACCTAACTTCATCAACAGTACATATAGGGTCCCAGCCATAATACTAGCCACCAAATATCTTTTAGCTTTGCCTGATTTGTTTAGCAAAGAGACTAAACACAACTCAGCCACTCTCTTCCAGCAGCCGCTTGTTTGTGTGGGAGCCCTGACGAGTTGATCACTGAGTGCAGCGGATTATTTCCTTGAAGTAATAATCATCATATTAATCCTTTTGCGGTGCAGACACGGTAGTTCTTCTGCCTTAGCGTCTCAGTCTGATTGCATTTCCATGAAGTAATAATCATAAATGTTTTTCCTTGAGCTGTGAAACTCCATTCCACTCAGTGATCAACTCGTCAGGGCTCTCCCTACAAACAAGTGGCTGCTGGAAAAGAGTGGTTGAGTTGTGTTTAGTCTCTTTGCTACAGAAATTAGGCAAAGCTAAAAAGATGTTTGGTGGCTAGTACTATGGCTAGGACCCTATATGTACTGTTGGTTAACTTAGGTGCTGTTCTGAGCATTATTTGCTATAGAGTGGCATATTGGTTGAGGTTTGCGCGTGGCTCCATATACAACTGAGTATTGCTATCGTGCGGTTGTTACTAAAGTTGGGATAACTAAAGAAGCGAACAGTCATCTCTCGATGGGGAGTCTAACTCAGTGTTATGGTGTGTTTGATCCTAACTTAATTTTACGCCTGAATATCCCTTTAAAGAAATCAGGAATTTCAGGAAATCAGCTTTCACGACATAAAATCAAACAGATTTGTAGCTTGAGCTGAAATGTTTTTGGCTCCACTTGAATTAGGGTTTCTATTTATAAAGATTAATAAATCATTGTCAGATTACCACAGATTGTTTTTATAGCAACACATGATTAGTCGGTGCTACTTTGACTTCAAACATGCTGCAGATGGAGAGCAGAGCACTTATCATCCTGTAAACCCAGACTCAATATTTTAAAGTAGGATCTGTAGAGACTGGAGAACAGCTTCATAACAAAAGCCCCTCTGGAGGACAGTGAAATTTTTGTTTTTTACCACTGATATTTATGTGCAATCATGACTCTCGGGCTGCATCTTAGCAACGCAGTTTAAACAACACAAAAAGCTCATATTCCCTGGACAGTATGATGCAATAGCGAAAAAAGGCAGCATCATTGTTGATGTGATGTTACAACAAAAAGGAGTGATTGATGTAATGTGTTGCTCGAGTAGAAATATGACTGTATCTGTGAATAAAAAGAGTTTTCAAGGCTGATCAGAGGGCCATGCTGGAGTCATTATTGTAAAATTTTGAGGTTTTCTAATGAGGTGTTAAAATCTGAGTGTATTTTTATGTTGAGTTTTCTATTTAAGATTCAAGTGACTGAAGAAAAATAAGTGAGTGTTTTAAATTCAACACACCAATCCAAGGTTTTTGGCAGCAGTAATGCATCAGCTCATTTTCACTAAATGCCAATAATCTGGACACGGCTGTCACCAGCTGTACAGGCCGCTTTTACTTCACTCTCCTCCCATATTTATCAGTATGGACTGACCACACTTTGTCATAAAACATGAATAAAGTATTAACTCCGACACCGACACAGAGAGACTCTCTGCTGTCTGGACTGTACTGTACTAAGTTATGTTTCATAAAAGGTCCACCCTTTTGTCTTCAAGTAATCAAATCACTGTGAGGCTTTAATGGAGCCATCAGTTACCAGACAGGGCTGTAGCTGTAGCTGGTGACTTCCATGATACTCTAATGCTCCATTACCAAGATGTAAACAAGCACAGATGATACTTTTGTCGTCGACATTAAAACCCAATTATAGCTTTAACATCTCTCAATCTGGAAAAGTTTACAGATGTATTTACATTCTGACTTTGACTCAGAGTCTGATGCTTTTCTTAAAAACAAAACTTTCAATTAGAGATGCTCCGATACTAATTTTCCACTTCAGATACCGATTTCGATACCGAGTACCGTTCCGATACCAGTATGTTATAAAAAATATATATATCATACCAGGCCTGTATGACTGTGATATGATTATCATGGTGGTAAGGTCTGACTCGGGTTAAGCCCTTTGTAAAAGACATATGAATACAGCAAATTCAAGCCGTGTATTTTTAAATAGAACTGTATAAAAAACAGCAAATGCAATTTAAACTAGGAATAATAAAAAAATAATCATTAAAGTGGAGCCACAATATTTTTAAATAAAAAGAAACTGAACAGAGCTAACGGGGCTAACCAGGGAATAAATTACTAATTTAAAAAATTACGTGGTATTGGATCAGTGCATGAACTCCAGTACTCGCTTATACTGGTGCTAGCATATTCGGCAGTATCAGAGCAATTTCCGATACTGGTATCAGGATTTGAACAACTCTACTTTAAATTTTGGTGTTTTGGAAGTAATCAGGAACAAATTAAATCTGAGGAAGCCACTTGTTAAAGAGTATTGTATTTTTCGGACAACATGTGCATTAAAATCCTTAAATTTTCTCAAAAATTGACAGTGCGCCTTCTATTCCAGCGCTCCTCATGTATGATTTCTTGTTGTACTTACGGACCAATTTCATGTGGTACAGTGCACTCAAAAATCTGTCGAAATGTCTAAGTACAACTTTCGTAAGCCATGAAGCCGCTCCGCTCATGGATATTCAGAGCATTACGGTACGCTGTGTCACTACCTGAACGGCTTCGTAACAGGACCCCTGAGCGGTCTACAAGACTAGAAGTGCATCCATGTAAGGCAGCCCAGGCCCAGAGTACGCACAAGCAACAATAAACCAATCAATGCAAAATGCGCCTTGTGTATGGTTAGTTACTCACTTTTGTCGTGTCACAGGGTCCGACTCTGTAGGGTGGATATAAGGGGTCAAAATCTGTTCCAAGGTTTGCTGCTCAGACACCCTGAAACAAGAAACAGGAGGGACAAGACAAATGAGTGAGCAGCTTTTACCTGATATCATCTAAATCAATTCAATCATGTAGATGTTTCAGACGGTTATAGAGGACAGTTAGGGGGACGTGAGTGTCCTGAATGACTGATTGATCGACTGCTTGATGACATTACCGAGGAAACTGAGGATGATCGTGTCACTCACCTCCTCTGACTGAACTCTGCGCCGCTCTGAGGGAAAACCAGCTTCACGTGCCACAGGAAGACACGCTCTCTAGATGAGACACAGACAAAGTCATTTCATTTAGTTCCAGCTTATCAAAAGCAGTAGTGCTTGTTGTCTGTTTTCCTCCGCAGACAGATGAGGTCACCGCTGCGTTCCCGTCACACTCAAACACAAAATGCTCTTGTTCAAATTCAGAGCATAAAACGGATTCGGCCTTAATCTATCCAAGACAATACGCCTGGCCGGGTCCAAAATCTTGTCCATCTGCGTGACTGTGTGTGCACAGAGAGTAAACCAGAGTCACCATGGCGACCGTGACATATACACTCAATAGTAGGACACCAGCTGGTGGCTATCAAATAATGATCCCATCTTTTGGGGGGAAACGCTCGGGGCAGTTACTATCACATGCAGGGGAGGTTTTTATTTGGGGTTGCTGGGTGTGCTCTACAACCAAACATTTATCCCCCTGAGGAGCTGCTGTGTTCATGAGTATTCATGTCATCATGATGCAAAAATAGGCAACAAAACGCAATACAGTAACAGTTTGGGAGAGATGACTAACAAGGTGCAATTTGCCTGATTCTTTCGAAGTAAAATCTGCACTGAATTTTATCAAATTAAAAGAAAGACAACACACAAAGAGAGGAGAACATTTGGTTTTATGTAGGTCAAACTAAAAACACTAGAAAGGATGTTTTGCTTAAGGAGAACACGGCAGACCAAGACACGCACCCAAAAGTCCTTTCTCACCACAGTCATGTACACTACATACTAGGTCAAACATAAATATACGGGCTGGGAATGACAAAGACCACAGAATCGACCGTTTTTAGGTGGAGCTGATTCATCAACCAGCTCTCCATCAGAGCAAAGGGACGCAGGCCTTCGTGGATCTGAGGGATGACGATGAAACGACCCGAAGCATAATTGTAAGGCGTATATTATAGCCTTGTTATTAGGGGTTAGCCCTCACCGAGAGAGATTTAGAGCATGACTTCAAGGGTTCGTTTCAGATCTGTAATATGAAGCTCTTTTCATCTTTTTGGATTCGTCACAAAGTTGAACTACGCTCATCAATCTGCATATTTACCTTTTAGACTGACTCTGAGGTCCATTTTTGGTGAATCAAGTTTGTTAGCATGCTTTGATTACATCATTTTACAGCATCGTTTGTCAAACTTAGATGACAGCAGTGACCTCCAAATGTAGCCAAAGGAGAGGAGAATGAAAAGATGAGTCAATTCAGGGGGTGGACAAAGCAGTCTTTTAAGATGTTTAGTCATTGATCGATCCAGTGTCTTCTGCCTATCCAGGGGGGGACCGTCTACGCAAGTTCACCCAAACCTCCCTGTTATCAGCGACACTTAGAATAGAATAGAATAGAATATTCCTTTATTGATCCCCCATGGGGGAAATTTTTTTGTCACAGCAGCATCACAGACAAGACAAAAGTGCAAAATTGCAGTTATAACAATAAGGGTCCTAATATTAAGAACTTAAATAAATGTAATAATTAAGAAAAAAAATAGAAAAGGGAGAAGAAAAAATAAAGCTTTCTACAATATACACAATTTAAATGCCATAAAAAAGAAAAGTGGTGGTGTAAATCCAGTTTTGTTACTGTTCATTGTAAAGTCTTATTGCAGAGGGGAGGAATGATCTGCGGTAGCGCTGTACTTGGATACAAAGGTGTTCCCAGGCCAGGTGGGCCCCCCAAAGCTCATAACCAAAGGTGAGGGTTGGGACGTAGATCGACTGGTAAATTGAAACCTTTGCCTTCAAGCTCAGCTCTCTCTTCGCCACAAAGGTTCGGTGCAACGCTGGCAGTCCTGCTGACAACGCATCAATCCGCCTGCTCAAAGCTGATGATCGCCAATAAAAGAGTCAATTGTGAAAGTGTAGTAAGACTCAGTAATAGCATGAGTCAGAAGTCAGAGCTGTAACGATACGTTGAATGACTAACAGGAGTGGCATCAAGTCTTCAATCATCTCATGAACTTTACAGTACAGCTCCAGTGAGACACGTTCGAAGATGCAATGCAATGTGGAAACTGTCAATCAGAAATCTGCTGAGCCAGCACTCCCCCTGTTGCTTCAGGGGACACACTGTATTTCATTGCCAGTGAAGTTTTATAGACCAAACTGGTAGTATTGAAAACAACCCTGTGAAATGATCACATTGGGTGTTGCAAGCGACTGTTTGACTGTTTTAGATTTCTTCTTCAAAAAATTTGGTAGTTCAGAGATTCGGATCAAGACATCTCCAGTCTGATCATCACGCGGTCATTTTTAAAGCAACTGAGTAAAAATTGCAGCTTTTTGATGTATCTTCTCAGTATCAATATGGATAGCCAAATCAGTGTAGAAAAGATTTATCAAGGTGCTATTCAGTCATGTCAACGGTTTTGTTGTTATCTTGAAAATGGACGTAAATCTAAAAAATGTTTGTCTTTGATTTTGTCACTTTTCTGCATTCAAAAGATGTGAGAGTAAAGTAGACAAACAGAAAAACAAAAGTCGAAAATGAACTTGATTCTTGAGCTTGTGAGGTTGTTTTGGAATCCAGATGGAAACTTTATCAAGTTCACGGCCTGTTTTCTTTTTTTTCTTCTAAAGCAGTAACAGGAAGTAGAGAAAGTGAAAAGTTCTGTAGAAAGTTTGCAGAACAGCCAGTGAAAGGTGGTTATGATGTCCCGCATGGGTGTGAAAAGACGATGAAGTGGTAAAACTGAGACGTGAGGGCAGCAGCAGAGATGATGGCAGAGAAGACAAGGGGCTGGGTGGGGATTCCCTACGTAACCGAAGGAGGAACTTTACACCTCCAACCCCTTAGTCAGAGGAATTTATGTGTTTGCCCAGTTTTGGCTGAGTTTCGTCTCCGGTGTGCGCACACGAGCGCACGCGTGCAGGTGTGTTTGTGTTGGTACGCACAAGCAAATGAGGGTGGAGCACCAGGTGTGATGCCATTATTCTGTCATTACGGTGAATGGAAACTATGTCTCTGAGTGGAAAAGGGGCTTGCCCATAGATGCATGCGATCATTTCAGGCAAAGCCACGCTGCATACCTGGGATATGAGCCAGCATTCATTGTTGGGGAAAAAAAAGAGGAGAGAGCTGCTTAAAAATCCAAATCAAGGCACCTGAGAGACAGTCGTGGCAGAAGAGCCTTGAGCATGGCATTTCAACTCGAAGGACAAACTGTGAATGTTCAGTTATGGGAGGATGTTTCCACGTGGAGCTGTACACAGAAGAAGCCCCATTTCTTCTGAAAACCCATCTGTTTATAAAGATTAAGTGATTAAACCACATAAAGGTCATGCTGAAAGGTTTATAACATCATCATATTTCCATATAAAAGCTATCTGATACCTCACGTGTCCTGCATTAGGAGACATTTCATCCTCCAAGAGGGATTACTCATCAAACAGTTTGTTGGAGCATAAGGACCGAGACTAACTCAATAAAACAGAAATGATGCAGAGGAGAAATTGAAAAATGTAAACTTGTTTCACTTCTAATATTGGAGACATGATGAACGGCTTCTTTCTTGAAACAAAACCTGATTCTGTGTGTTTTGTGTTAACACACAGACCAGGACGGGTCTCAGTTTTCTTAAGGTAGCCAGGACACGTCGTGATCATGTCTGAAATTACTCCTGCGAGCTCTTGAATTCAGATTCTGTTTATTTTGTCTGGTTGTGAAACCTCAGTGTTCTGGGCAACAAATGTTGAGGTTTCAAATTATTTTCAGCGTGCAGATTTGCATCCTGAGCGGGTTTCTGTTTCATCTTTCAGAAACTGGCAGAACAACAAGAGTTTTCTGTTCCCTTGAGTAAGATACACAACATTTACACAATAAAAATAACTAAAATCACCCGTCTGGATTTGTTTTGAAGAGTCTTTTAAGAGGAATCCAAAGCCCCATCTTTGGGAACTAAATCCTGAAGAATTTGTGAAGAAAAAAAAGAGAGTTTTCAGTCAATCAATGCAGAGATCAGAGTTATGCTTGCCCTGGAGTGAGACTCAAAAGCCAACAAAAGCATGAGGAACGATGATTTTGAAATCTCTTCGGATTAAGTTGTCGTTCCTTCTAATAGATACATTACTCAGCTTTTGCCCTGAGGAGCTGTATAATTACAAAGTCTTGTGCCTTGGCTTTGATGTTTACTATCATTGTCTGGCTTTCTACAAACATGATTCAGTGTTCAAAAGGTGACTTTTCGGTGTAAACACATATCAAACATTTCACAAAAGATACTCAAAGTCAGAGATATATCAGGAAAACTTCTCTCTCTGTGAGTTAAAAGTGAGAAACATTCGATTATCATGAGAACGACCGAGGCACGCAGCCAGCTCCGAGGATGATGGATGAATTTGTTAACAAGAAAACGGTCTGCTGATTCAGTAAGCGATTGGAGTTGATGGTGCCATCAACACTAGAGAGCAGAAAGCCTGGCTGGAGGTCTGGCAGTGACAGCAGATCCATCTGGCTGGATTAAGGGCAGACGGATCCAACGAGAATTGCTCAACATTAAAGCGTATGTCCCGTGTATTTGCTCATCAGAGGATGGTGCCAGGATCTGGGTGGCAAGTAGGTGTTACTGGATCGAGATGATGGGACTTTGGGGCCTCTTTGGTGAAATACGACAAACACAGAGGAGGAACTGGAACATTTTAATGTTTGATGAAAAATACGTGCTTCTTATAAGTTTGACGTCAGCATTGAATGAATGCAGCAGGTAGAAACGGGTCTGAAAAGGGCATCCAAGAGATGCATCTGGATCATAGACCCAAAAAAAGAAGCTGATGGACGAGGAAGGCAGAGATGACAGGTGGCTATATCGCAAGACTCTGGCTGAAAACGACTGAAAACAATGTAGTGCACATGCCAAGCCAGTAAGTGGCGCTGTAATGTGAGTATACATGAGTATATGCTGTGTGGTACATAACTTTTTCAAGAGATATCCCGATCATAGATATGAATAGTAGATACGACATGCCCCTTTGAGGTGCGTGCCGACGGTGAGGCTAAGCTAGTGAGGACAACTTTCCCTTTAAAGACTTTAGATGTAGATGGAAAATATATCATATCCTGCTCATTTTTCAACCCATTTTTATGCAGTTTGCTTGATTGTCAAAGCTGAAACGTGCGATTAATTTCAATAATAATAATAATAATAAAAACAAGTTCTGTATTAATAGCACATGTTAATTTGGAAATAAACTAAACCGCATGAAAATCAGTGGAGAAATGAGCAAGATATGATTTATTTTCCATGGACATCTAATGCCTTCAATGGGAATGTTCCCCCTGCCAAGATGGCTGCCATGTAGGCATGCCGCTTAGCCGGCTGCTACAGCACACTGGCATATCTAGTCTTCTATATACATCTGTGATCCGTATCGTTTACAATCACCTGAAACGCTGATACGACATTAAACATTAGCGTCTATTCCTAATTTCGTATTTGTGTGGACAGGGTAGGGCTGGGCAATAAAACAAACCAATGTCATTTTGCCCATGTCAATATATTCTGTGTCAAAAAAATAAATTGATAAAAGTTGGTTTTGGATGTGTGTAGGTAGGCTACAGTCTCATGTCCTTGTCCTACATCAGAGACATGACTCCACCCCATCCAGTCGGTAATAAAGAGGGAAAGACAGGTGAGGAGATGGAGGACAGTTCAAAAGTTGTGGCAGCTAAAGTAGACGAAGTTAATGTGGGAGGGGGTGAGCAGCTTGTAGAGTAGTTATCGTCCATTTATCGTTATCGAGGTGAACTGTTCAATATATCGTGATACTGATTTGAGGCCATATCGCCCAGCCCTAGTACAGGGTCTGAGTCATGAGGTCTGCATTCCCTAAAAACCTCAAAATAAACTCAGTTTATTCTAAGAAATCATCAAGTCGTCCACATCGGTCCACACGTGTTTCTAAAAAGAACACGACTCTCGGGCAGAGGCTGTGAAGCTCGTTACTGAAAACCAAAAATAATAAGTAAACTCTTTGAAAGATGAAAAATCGATATGGATTTCTTCCTCTGTTGGATTCTGACCAGTCATGAGGCAACAATATTTACTTGGTTAGCATTAGGTATCACACCGCTGGCAAGCCTAACCAGCCGCTCCGTCCAAATGTACAGTCCCGGTATTACACAGCTCATTAGTATTAATCCTCAGAGGACCGTGTGTTATTGCACCAAATGTCATGGTAATCTGTCCTTTGGTAGTCGATACGTTTTGCCAAAGCAGCCACCTTTGAAGCCAAAGTATTAGAGCGGTTTAAGAAGCCAGAAGCCATACACACTGATGCTCTTCTGTCCAAGACAAAACTATGTAATTAATTCTCAACAACACATGGGAACCTAATTATCAAAATTTCAGTCAACCAGACGTGACACATTGCGAGATTATATTCTCTTCGGCTCATGAGGCACCCTCAGATTTCTGCCTAATTTACAGTTTGGAATTTCACTCAGAGCCGCAGAGCAGCATGCAGCCTGCAGTTATGTGGCCAATTGTGATGACAGCGTCTGCAATGCTGATGAAACTGCTGCTTGCCATTCTGATCTGAGGTTTTGCCTCAGATGGCAGCCGGTATTAACTCTGCTCTGCATCAGCTGTGGTTAATCAAGCCGATGGCAGCCAGAAGACACGTCTGCTGGAGGAGCCTTTCGAGATGTTTGGCACAAGCTGCCGTCGATTGTTTCATTTGCACTCTCTGGAGCATGAGTGTGCTAAGTGATGAAGAGTCATCCACCGCCGCCTCATCTGGGGTGAAATAAAGTTCTATCTGCTTTTATCCGTTTATGCATTCATCGATCGCGTGACATTTTTCATACTTTCTGCAAACCTGTCACAGCTAAGTTTCGACATTTCCGTAATTACAATAATTGGCCTAATTGAGAGAGGTACTTCGATTACTCCTGATTTTCATTGTGGGAGAATTACAAGAACCAGCTGTTTTGTTCTCATGCAATTCTTGTGCGCCGCTCCAGAACAAACCACTAAGTGTTGGTTATTATGCAATCTACGTTCAGCTTTTCGTAGCTTTAAAGTTCTTGTACCTGAATGTTTTGTTGCTACCAGCCTCAATCCTCAAATAAAAACAAGGGTGTTATTTTCTGCTTTCACTGCCTAAATTCCAGGCCTTTAATAAGAGGCAGGCCTGTTTTAGAGGCAGGCCCTCATGTCAAATTCTGGTATTGTTTTTATCATTCTTTTTTTTTTGTCTCCATACACGGGGCGCGCTAACCCGCTCGGCCATCTGCGCACCCCTTGTTTTAGTCATTCTAATATAAATATGAAATCTTATACAACCCGTTAGCATGTCAGAACACTTTGAAACGATGCAACCAAGACATGAGGGCGCTCAGTTTTAGAGAAGTAAAAAATAAGCATTTTAAAGTCAACAGTGTCAAAGCGAGAGAGAGAGAGAGAGAGAGAGAGAGAGAGAGAGAGAGAGAGAGAGAGAGAGAGCATGCAACTGACAAACAAACCTGTACCTGTGCTTTTTCACTGCGCTGGACTGGTGATACAGCGCCGCCTGCTGGTGTTTCATCGTTGTTAGGATAAGTCAATACTAGGATAAAATTACGACAGTGCCCGAGCTAATTATTGGAAATCACAGAGTACAAGTCTTTATTTGAGGATATACAGTGAGTCAGATCTGGCAAAATTGGAACTGCATTTTGTCCGAAGTATCCTTCAGGTGAAATTTCTGGATTTTAAACAAATTAAGAAAGTGTCAGGACAAACAAGAGGTATAATCTGCAACAAAAGTTGGTGTTTTACTTACATTACACCTAAAGTGGTTGAAATGTACAATGTTCACATGGCGATATGCTATTTACTTTAACCTATTTTATACTGTTAACACATTATTAATCTTTTTGAGCTTATTCTACCACAGGAGCAGACTCAACCAATCAGGAGTCTAAGTAGTAAGACACCACGCCTGCCACAAAGTTGCTTCAGCTTGTGTATTCTGAATATTTAGCACCAAAACTGAGCCGAATGGGTTAACAAGTCTCTGCAGACATATTATCGGATCTTACTCGGTCCAGAAATAAATATTCAAGTAAATGTGATCGCTTTTAATCAAACAAAACCCCAGCCAAACTCATATCCTCTCTTTTATAACAGAGAAAACAAACCAGGCCTCTTCTCATCACGACAGCTGGGTTATTTGAGGCTGATTCACATTTTAGGGCTAACTGACATACATGGCATAAATCCACAGCTGCTCATAAAACCAGCTATACAGAGTCATTATGGATTTATGTACAGTTATTATCTGCCTCTGTAATTTGCAGTCCGGTGAGGAGAATGCCCAGTAATGCCAGGTTGATACTGCAGGAGAACCAACGGCTCCAAATGTTCAGCCAGATACCAGCTGGTGTATCTCCTGTAAAAGCTGATATTCCTGCATATTAACTCTTTGAATCCTGTGCTTGAATTATTGAGGGCTGAAAGAAGGTGCATGGGTTTAGACAGAGAGACACATGCTCACTAACCAAAACCTAAACACACGCCATCACCAGGAATAAAAGCCCTGTAGTCAGCTGTCTGCCAGGAATGATCTTTCTCTGGCAGTGCGAGTGCGTAGCATGAATATGTCGCTAACCAGCTGCAGTCGCGCTGCTCGCACATCTGCTTTTTATATTATGTACTTGGTACATTCTGAAGCACATTCTCCTTCGATCCCTCCCAATTTATTGTACACCTTTCATCCCGTCCCTTGTGTCCGCTGTCTGTGAATGGGACACTGTTGTGGTTAGTTGAAATTCTTCCTGATGAGACATCACGAAAGCAGCCAGACTAAACAAAGAAATCAAACTGTGCAGCTGGCCAAAGACTCCTCAGCGGACGGTGAAAGCAGAAGGATTCTCGTGCGTTTTACCGAAGCTGACTTCCCAGGTGTTGAAACTTAATAACAAAAACTCATCTTAGAAAAACTTTCTGTCAGCGTCTGACAAGTGTTGAGTTGGGAACGAGGAGCGCGGCGGGGTTGAAGCGTGGTCAGCGTGTGCGACTACAACCTGACATAACGTTGCTTCATCCCGAGATGTGACGCTCACACAAACAGCAGAAACGGACATGACAGGGTGGTGGACTTGAGGATGGAAAAGAGGGTGGTGAAAAGGAAAGTAACAACATTAAACCAGCTGGAGGGCCTGACAAAGGATTTCTTTTAGCCGCAATCCTGATTGGCACCCAACCCTCTCTCGGGGCATTTCAGACTCGTAAAAACTTTAATATGCAGTTCAATAACTATTTTCCCCTCGTTCCCTCCTCTGTTCTTCCACAGGGGGATTAGAGTGGCAGGGATCAGGCTCTAAAGAAATGGGAAAATGAGTGGCAGAGGGTTGTCAAAGGAGGCAGAGAAGGAGCCAACATGACAGGACCACCAGTAGAACTGAGCAAATTGGAAAAGTACCCAAGCGAAAGAACGACTGACTTCTTCTGGGGGACTAAATTACTTCAAGTTTATAGAGTTCAACACAACGAAATTATTTCTCCCAAGCCATTAAAGCGAGAGCGGTGAAAAGTTCAATAGCAGCAGCCACAGTTGTTGGGATAATTCAGTAAGAGTAATATATATGTAATTAAACCATCAAATTGCTTTTTTATCTTTCTCTGCAGTTTCTTAACTTTCCCTTTAGAGAGCGAGGAAGAAATCGATCCAGTCAAATGTAGAAATATTCTGTATGTGCTGCTGTATTCAGTCTCTAAAAGAGTCAATCTTTCTTCTGGTAAATGGACAACAGACAGATATTGTGCAGATAATAAGGGCTTCAATTAATGTTAATATGTATGACAAATAGTGGGATGATGTTTGTGCTAAAGAGACTGAGCGATATAAAAATACAGTTTAGGGATGTTTCAAAGTCGTCTGTTTGCTGTGAGTGACTAAAGCCGGCAGAGCTAGCACCTCCAGACATCGACAATTACATGCAAGAGATGATTTTACAACTACATCTCTTTTTTCCGAATCTAAATATGGCCAAGCTGTCAGTTAATCTGTGCGTGTTTATATCTAGACAGTAGAGAAACTCAGCATTATTAGAAAGGCCACCAGCAGGAGCTACAGCCCCAACTAGTGGTGGGAGGCTGCGCCTACGCTTAGGCACAAGATGTGACCGATATTTTCAGGCCCATGATAGTAAAAAAACTACAAATTTGTTTGACCGATCTGTAGCTCAGGTTAGGGCTGGGCAAATCAATATCACTGTATATTGAGCAGTTCACCTCAATAACGATAAATGGACGATAAGTACTCCACAAGCTGCTCACCCCCTCCCACATTAACTTCGTCTACTTCAGCCGCTACAACTTTTGAACCGTCCTCCACCTCTTCACCTGTCTTTACCTCTTTGTTACAGACTGTATGGGGTGGAGTCATGTCTCTGACGTAGGACAGAGTCTTAAAGGGACATGAGACCATAGCCTACCTACACACATCCAAAACCAACTTTTATTTATTTATTTTGACACTGAATATACCAATATGGGCAAAATGACGTTGGTTATTGTCATAAATTTTGGTATCAGTAAATTTTCGGTTTATCGCTCAGCCCTAACTCAGGTGCTGACTAGCAAGGACACCAAATATTAGATTATTTACTTGACTGAATGCCTACATCCATATTTTAACTATATGCCTGATTCCTTCTTCTTTAACTTGTCAAAACAGAAATGTATTGATGGTGTCCTTTGAGCAGCAGGTGCCTTCTTCACCTTCTAATCTTTTCCAAGTAAATCTAGAAAAAACCCTTTCATACTCTCTGAGATTAATAGAGGTTAGAACATCAGTGCAATCCAGCTACGATGAAAGGTAAAAAAAATCACGACAGCTAATGAAAAAATGAGGAATCGAAATGATGAATAGCTCTTGACATAATTTCAATTGAGGTCAAAAGCCGAAAAGCTTGGGAAGCGCTCGACGTGACTGCCAATTTTTTCAGAAAGCAGATTTCAAAACCATCTCCACCAAGTTTTGACATGTGATTGGAACAAAAATGCAAGATAGTATTTGGACTTTTTGACAATATGTCTGTAAATAAAACAGGCATAACTGCAAACTTTGAAACTGTCTGTTACTTTTCCAATTTTCACTCTGCTTGTCTTGTTTCACACGGGTTATATCATCAAGGTGTGGACCACAAGCGTTTGTCTGCAGCGCTGCATTAAACACTATTTATCTTTTGCAAGCGGACACATCTGCGCACATCTGTCACAGCCCTCCATACATGACATAATACATCTCAGAGACGTCATCGTGGCTGAATATCTCTGAAGGCGATGATCAGTCAGCGCCCTGCAGAGTGATGTCAACAACATCTCAAGTGCCTTAAATCAAACGCTGATCCCAGGTTTGACAGACACTGTGGATAACCTCTGCTTTGTATTAGAAAGCTGGGCTAAGATAACCTGAACAGACCCAGCTCTAGACGGAGCAGCTGTTCGGGCTTAACAAGAGTGCCATCCTGTGGTTAAGGAAAACATCACTAATCAGAAAAGCTCATTTTGCTGCAGTTGGAGTCAACTTCATGAGGGAGCTGCTGAAGCGTTGGCCTCGACTGTGACCGACTGAATCCAAAAACAGTTTCACGGTGTTTAGGTAAGATTTAAAAGCAGCTCTGAATGAAACGCCAAAATCCTGCGGTGTTTGAGCAGCGCTGCATGTTTGTGCCAACATGTGTTTGCATTCTGTCTTTATGTAGCCGGTCTGCAGGGTATAAAACAAACGAGCAGTTGTCGAGCCTGATGGCAACAAATAAAACTGTTTTTTGGAGGTTTTAAATTAACAGCTTTGGCTCGAAGGCCGAAAACAAGAGACGAGCGATGAAGTTACAATACCTCTGCAAAGTCTGCAAAACCAAAACAACATTGAATCAAAACAAAGATAACGTCATCTCGTCTGCGGTACGAGCTGCAGCGAGAGTGTTTGAGTTTTTTACGGTTCTTCTTACTTTGACAGGAAGAAGGTGGAGTTTTCTCTGCTCTTGGTGAAGGTGACGGGGAGGAACCTCAGCGTGATGTTGATCTTCCTGGCGTTTGCCGCCAGCCTCTTTGCCTGGAAAAGACGAATGAAGGTCGTTAGCATTATAAGATCCGAGTCTAGACCCTCTAATGACCCCGACCACAGAGTCATGGTGGGACTGAAAGCTGACTCATGAGCTACCGAGACTCAAATTGTTGACTTGGTATCAAAATTTCTGGGATCTCAATCCAACTGAACATCTGTGGGATGTGCTGGACAAATAGGTCCAATCCATGGAGGCCCCAGTGTGCAGCCTGCAGGACTTAAGAGGATCTGTTGTTACCATGAGGCGGCTCTGGAGTTTAGGTCCTGTCCAGTCTGGTCTTAGCCGAGGAGAGGGAGGACTTTGATCGTAACAACTTGGCTAATAAGTGTGCGACTATTCGGGCTCAGGAAATCGAAAAGGATGAAAAGTTAATTCACTAAAACTCTTTTTTGTAGTTTTCTTGTTCAGTAAGTGTCGTCTATGAGTTTCCAACAGAACGGCAGCAGACGGAGGATAAATACAGTATTTGTATAAAACATGGAAAGAGTTCAAAAACCTCACAATAAAGCAGCAGAGTTAGATAATGAGAGCTCTATTAAGCGGGAAAGATTACATCCCGATGGTTTACAGGCGGGATATAATCACAGCGAACGTCACTCTCTATTCTCGTGATTCACTGCAGAGCAACCAAAAAGGAGAGACTGTCAACTGAGTGAAGGAGGACAGAGTCTTCATCTTGGAAAAGAGATAAAAACATAAAAATAAACAGATGTGAAGAAGACGTCCCTCCAGGAGTTTCCTGGGATATTACACTCGCAAGGATGGGACAAACGTGACGTCAAAGTGACCTGACCTCTGATCTTTGACCGGTGTAATCTTAATCTGAGTCCAAGTGGACGTTTGTGCCCAGAGAGAAGCTGCTGTGAGATACTGGGGAGGGAGAAGCTGGTACAGAGTCAGGGCTGAAAATCTTGCAAATACATAATTCTAGTAGCTTTTGCTTTTGGAGTACGTATACAGTAAAGATCTGATTTTATCACAAAGAAAGAGAGAAATTATTCTATTTAGTAAGTATACAGCGACCCTGCTTTCAGATCATGAACATCAAATCATAAAACTGCATATAGGACATTATTCTCCTGCTGTGCAGACCTGATACTGAAGCGTCACAGTTTCAATCACATTAACTGTTGATTAAAAGCAATCATCACCTTCAGTCCTACAGTGTGTGTGTGTGTGCAAAAGAAACACACTACATCATGTATGACGTATCAGAAAAGAAAAATAACAGCACGGGAGAAAAGCACAGTTTAGTCCAAAACACATTTTAAGCCCCAAAAAGAACAGAACGACCCACCAACCAACCACAGACGTTAAATAACCAGGATGTTACTGAGCTCTTCTTCTATTCTTAGCCTTGAACAGATTTATTTGGACCACAGACCGGTTGGCATTTGAGCAGCATGGTGAAGTCAGCAGGGGGACATCTTCTCCAGGAGGAACTGAAAAGGTCTGAATACTGAACATCTGTTCTGCATCAATAAAAATCGTCTGTGCAGGATTCATCAAAGATCAAACCCGAGGATGACCTGAACTTCTCCTTACTGGACACATCTGAGCCTGAAAGGGCGAGCGTTTCCTTTCTGGCACCGGCGCGAGTCCTTCAGGACTTTGGATTGGCAGGTAGCGAGCGACACTAAAATAGATTTATTAAAAGACAAGGCTACATGAGGCTAATAACCGATCGCTGCACTTGCAGCGCTCTGGTGGGAACCCAAATCCCTAAAGCTCATGAGCCAAGCCTTTATCTCTCGCTGAGAATAGGCCTCATTATTTTGACTGATCTGTGACCGCCGAGGCATTCGCTGCCTCTGAGAATCCCATAAAAAGACCTCGCATCAGTCCAAGTCATCACATATCATCAGAGGTTGTGTTTTCTTGTAGGAAGAGGACAGGTGAGCGCTGGCAGGGGTGCTGAGGCTTACATAAATGAAGGTCTGCGGTTTGGAGCAGCAGCAGTGAGCGTTACGTAACTCAAGCCACAAATTATCCGAGTGAAGAAATAAAAGAGAAAAACATTAATATGATGATGGTTTAGGGCTCGACTGTGGTGCTTTTATATCACTGTTTAGAACATTAGACGTATATTGGAGTTCTGCACAGATCCTGTTTAATTTGACCTTATGTAACGAGTTATTTATGAGCGCTGGCATTATGATTTTTTATTTGATTCTTTTGAAGAAGTTAAAAGAAAAATAAACTCCTTCAAGGAATAAACAAATACCAATAAGACTTATATTATCATACAATATGAAAGATAAATAAAGACTTAAACAGGATTGGGGGAAAACTTGCATGAAACTAACTGTGTTTATAATCAGACTGTTCATTTTTGTGAATTTTCAGGGTTGTAAATTTAACCACATTCACCTCTCCCTCCTACTTTTAATGCTGTTTATGAAAAACATCTGTTCTGATGACAATCCATACAATTAACGACCTTAATAAAGACGTCAGCATGAAAGCTCTGGTCAGTTTTTTAATTGCGCTTCCAAATGTGGATTTTTTTGGACTGAAGTGGTGCATAAAAAATAAAACCCCCTGCATCACTTTTATGACTCACAATTTTCTATATTAAAAGACATTTATCAAGTTTATTATATTTATTATTTTAATGTAGGACAGCTGCAGGGCTATGAAGTATCTTCTGAGTGAATGTCATGAAGACTGCGGTTCAGACGCAGATTTGAGGAAATGAGGACAGCGCTTTTATGTAAGAAGACTTTTATTTTGAAGGAACAATCAGATAAGAGATAGCAGGAAGAGGATATGTGGACACAGGCTATCTTAGCTTATCTGCAGGTGTTGAATTTGCTAATATTAACATTTTGATTACTTCTAAATTCATTATTTCTGATTGACATTACTGAGTTTTTAAAGATAGTAAGCTAAATTTTTATTTGCCTTTATATATTAATTTGGAGATAAACTGATCATGGAAAAATGTCATACACTGGGATGTTATTAAAGCCTGATTTTGATCTCCACCGACTTTTCTTTCATTCGCCAAAGTCTGCTGATACGTGATTGGTCAAAACAATCCAGACTACCACCAACGATCAGAAACAGGGACACTTCCCAGACTAAAATCCAAGTTCAGGGGTCCGGACTCAACCTTTTGAGGAGACTTTGTAAAATAAGGTAGTTTGAACTTCTGATTCACTGATTCATACAAATGGTCACATGATATGGGGTTTTCAATGACTGATTCATAATGCCAACACTACCTTGTCATTGTTTTTTGTATGTTCATTAAAAGTAGTTTCATGCACATTATAATCTGATACTCATGGTTTAATTTGCCGAAACAGTTTAAAGATTTATTTATACTGAGCTGTGTGACAGACTTATTTATCCCAAGTGTGATTATTAAACTCTGTTTTCTATTAATCTCAACTGAGTACTTGTCAAACTCTTGTTGTCAGATCTGATTTGCTGTCATTTTAAGTGTTTTGAATTTAGATATTAGTATTAATCAGGACTGATTACAAGGTCTGTCTCCGATTCATACTGTGAGGAAAAACACTTATTATCCATCTGTAACAGGTGTTTTCTCACACGGATAATTATTACCTCTTACACAGATTTGCACGTGGATATGGTCATGTATTTAGAGGCGGAGTGGCACCATGTTGAATATCACACACCTTCAGGTTTACTCTGATGTTAATTAAACTGTTTCATGCTTTTTTTGTCGTTTTGTCTCCTGTGTCGGGGCCTGACTCTATTTTTTTCCCTTTGTTGAGTCCCGACAAACAAAATAATAAATTAAACAAGATTTCGCTCCACTTTTCAGTCTGTTTTTGCACTTACCGGCCTTTCGAACATCAACTAAAAAGCTGGTGCTGATTGTGCCGACAGCCGCCCAGGCAGCGTCTTGTTCGGATTGAAAAACATCTCCAAGCCTTTAAATCTTTCCTGTATTACCTTCCAGTTCGCAGAGATTTGGTGCTAAGAGATTTTCAGCACCCAAGAGGGGAAGTCTTGGCCACACCGGCTGAACGCTTTTGCATCTTTTTTTTTTCTTTCTTTTTAAAGCCGACTAATGAGCAGTAGTCGAAACAATAGAGAGAAACCATCTGTTTTTGGTTCTTGAAAACCAAAACACTCACACTTGATTTCATAAACATACATGTAATGTTATTCTAACGTGACAGAGGTTCTTGTCAGCGCCTGCCTTAATGATGTGGGAATGTTATGTTCAGACATTTTTCATCCAAGAAGTTTTCAAGGACAAAAACATTCGATTCCTATCAGCTACTTATTCTTGAGGGTGATTTTTTTTCAGCTGAAACGCTCTGACAGCTCTGGAGAAATGATAAAAAAAAAGAAAGAAACAGTTCCTGGAAGTGATGTGAGACTTTGGATCGGACAAAACTGACCACTATTGTTTGCAAGATCATTCGACTGGGTTTGTAACGAGTCGAGGAGATTTCTGTCAAACCGCTAGCTGGATTAATGCCCGTAAAAATGATCTGACAAATCGCTCGCTTCAACAGAACAGTTTATCACTTCAAAACCTAATAAATGTGTCAGGTGCATTTCTTCAAACCAGATTATGCATTGTATCTACAACATAGCAAAGTCTCCTCCCCCTTTACTGTATTGCCATGGTGCCTTTTTGCAATATCAACTAAAGGGGCTCCATGACACTGCGTATTACTCATCTATGTGTCAAATAAAACAGCTACATCAGGCTGGTAAAGTCTGAAAACAAACTACAGACTTACTTTCATAGTCGACCGAGGAGTCCGGACCAGACTGTCTCTGTTGGTGCTGTCAGCAAATCTACCCGTGTCCTCCAGAAACCTGTAGTCTACAGAAACGACAGAGAAAAAGAGACAAAAAAAACAAACATATGGAGGAAAAGGATTAGCAATTATTTCAGCAACAGCACTCTTTATGGAATAATCTATAATTTAACAGTTTATTGGCTTCCTTTAAAAGCTTTAAAAAACAGTGTTTCCCACACAGTCTGCACCTGGACAGCCCACCCAGGTAGATCTAGCAGCCGAGATACGATCCAAACTTTTTATATTCTGAGGAAATCAGCAAATTTAATTGTTCAACTAATGAGCAATAGTCCTCACACGCTTCTCCTTAAGTGTTTGTTTGAGGCAGCATCTCACACAAGTACATCCCTTCTGTTTTTTTGTTTGTATTATTTTTCTTTTTATTGTTTGATTATTTTTCTTTTTTGTTTTATTATTTTTCTTTTTGTTTTACAATTTTCTTTTTTGTTTCTTTTATCATTTTTCTTTTTATTGTTTAACTATTTTTCTTTTTTGTTTGTTTTACTATTTTTCTTTTTTGTTTTACAATTTTCTTTTTTGTTTCTTTTATCGTTTTTCTCTTTTGTTTTCTTTTTCTTTTTATTGTTTTACTATTTTTCCTTTTTGTGTTATTATTTTTCTCTTTTGTTTCATTATTTTCTTGTTTTATTATTTTTCTTTTTTGTTTTATTATTTTCCTTTTTGTTTTATTATTATTTTTTTTGTTTTATTATTTTACTTTTTTGTTTTATCAATTAAATTTTTTGTTTTCATCATTTTTCTTTTTTTATCTTATTCTTTTCTTTTCTTGTCATTTAGTTTATTCGATGCTGTGTTGTTTAAGATTCAGCATGTTTTCATTAACTTGTATTGATGGGGAGCCCTTTACGCTTCTTTTCTCTCCTGCAGTTTCACTGAACTTCTTTGTTTTAAATATGTGATGATTTTATGTCTATTTTTGTGCAAATAAACGATAACAAATGACAAATAATGAAATGTATATAAAACAGAGTCATGGTACATTATTAAAGAAAACAGGTTGTGAGAGACAAACACAATTAAGCATAAATAAGATTATGTGTTAATTGAAATATTATTGACAGACATCTGTTCTTACAATCCCACTGCAGCTCAGTGTGAAAGTTTAACAGTATCAACTTAAACTTCTCTGTTTTATAAGCTTTATAAGTTTTCTTGTTTTAGGTTTTAAGTGAAGAGGAGGAATGAAATTTACTGCAGACGCTCACCGCTGAGAAGAGCCATTTCATCAAACTGTGAGAGACCCACAAAGGCGGTTTTATTTCTCACTCCGCTGCATCCTGATTCCTCCTTGTGTTTCTTCACACACAGCAGGCTGAAAAAAAAAAGAAAATAATAAACACAAACAGAATCTGTTGGGTAACCTTTGCTGTTCTTGAGAGGAATTCGGTTTGGCGCCATCACGGCTTGTCCAGACAGTGAGCAAAGGTCAGGAACAAAAACACCGAACAAAAAGTCAAAAAAATGTTACCTAAGAGCTGCTGATCAGCTGAGCCCAGACAGACGGACAATTATAAAACAAAGTCATAACCCAGACTAATTAAAATAAATAACTCACACTGCAGGTGAAAACACAGATGAGTTTCTCTCATTATGTAAGGAGTTTGTATTATTACAGACAGACAGACAGGTTATTCATGTCTGTGTAACAGCGGAAAGACCCAGAAAACAAGCCGGTGTTTTCCTGATTCCTATTTCTGCAGACAGACAGCGTCTATCAGAGGAGACTATTTAGAAGGGACTCAGCTTCACAGCATCTGTTAACCCTGACTACAGTGTAAAGAGGCAGTTTAGACACAATATAAAAAAGGCATGATGTGTTTAATAAACTAGTAAATCTGCTGCTGACGTTGGATCATTAAGTGGATTCAAAGGAGTTTGATTGTCATTCCAGTCGCTACTTACATGAGAAAAGAACAAAACTAGTACAACAGCCATAATGTGGAGACACAAAAAGAAATATTAAAGAGATAATACGTAAAAATGTAACTAAAAACAGAAAAAGTACAGATTTTTTACTTTTTATCTGTTTTACATTTCTTATTATATCTTTACATTTCTAAAGTGGACTTCACAAACTAACCCCCAAAGTTTTCTTGGGTTTGATGCAGATGTAACAGCACTTGTTAGAGCATTACTGGTTATTGTGTTGTCTCCATTCAGCATCTGTACGAACAATCACTACAAGAGTCAAACGAAGACTCCTTTGAGATCAATTTGCATGTCAGGACTACTGTCTCTTCTCTTCTTGTCGTGTTTTTGTTTCTTCTGTCATTTGGAAAATATTAATGAGAAAGGCAAAATATGACTTAGAAACACAAAGTAATGGGCTGAATAATAATTTCAACAGGAATATTTCTACACAACCAGATCCTTGATTTTTGGATTTACATTAACATTCAACATGCACATGTGATACGAGGTAAAATTTTACAGTTTTTAAGTTCAGGTTACAGAGTTGTTTTAGCAACAACATCAGAAGTGTTAACCCGCAGAGCAAGATGAGTAGATTAGGAAAAGGATTGAAGCTTTAAAAGAAATCATGTGTGGGAAAACAGACTGTCTTGATAGGAGATGAGAGAAAGACAAACAACAGTCAGAAAAAGTCATTTAAGAACTTGAGAAAAATTATGAAATCAAATAGAAGCTCATTCAGAGGTATTTAAAAAGCTCTGCACGCCACAGAGCTCCTGTTAAAGCCTTTATTAACACAAGTCGGTCGTGTGCGGACCTTTATATCTTTTCTTTGTGCTTGATTACTTTGGATCCAGCACTCACAGGAGACGGGCATGTCTCATTTTGTTTTTTCTTTTCGGTATTCAAAAGCTGCCTCTCACTTTTTGCTCGCCAACATCCCAGACACATTCAGATGTTATTAAAAAAAAACAAAGTGTGAAACCAAAATAATCAGTTCAACACAAGAAAAAAGAGCAAGAAAACAGGCAAATATCTGCACATGGGAGGATGAAAAAGGTCGTTTTTTCAATATGGAATTATTGAATCATCCAAGTTAATAATTCTGCATAACAACTTGTGTTATTTGTGATACTAAATCTACAGTTTCATGACTCTTAAGTGTATATACACTTTAATTTTGCTACTTTGATAAACTTGCACATTCTTCACCTCCTCCATCACAGCTAACTTTTACTGCTGGCTGAGATTTCTTCAATTAAAACTTGACTAGAAGCAAAAAGACTGTTCAACTGGACTCCTTACCGCCTGTCTGACTAACAACCGCACACTAAAGAGAATAAATACAAGCCCAGAAAGACCCACTTTCAGATACCTGCTGAGAGACAGGTATTTGGCTGGGGTCAGACAAAGACTGTATCCTCAGAAACTATGTTAAAGGAATGCTGAACGATGCCCAAAAAAAACAAGCAACCAGGAGAGAGAAAAAGGAAGGACGTCCCCTGGCGCTCTTTGATAACTTTTAATGAAATTCCCAGGTATGACCTTCAATATGGCATTTAGCAGGTAAAGGTTGGACTGTAAATGCTTTAGGATCCGCAGGATTCGAGGAATAGCTCCTTGGACGGTTGCCATTGCTGTTGGCATGTTGTTGCTGGCTATGAATTAAAGAAAAGGTCAGTCTGTAAAAAGCAAAACGCAGCCAAGAGACGAACATAAATATTACATGACTGCACACAGAGCAGAGGCAGAGCAGATCTCATAGCATAATTCAGTGATTACTGCTTTTTTCTATTATTCTCATTCTCAAGAAAATCAAGACGTTCACAGTGTTTTTGGACAAAACAGACACAGACAGACAGTAGATTCTGTGATGACAGGAAAACACGCTCCTGGAAAATATACTATCTAAGGTTACAGTCCAAAATATGGCTGTATTTTTTTATTTAGATTTGCTGCATGATTCTGTTCTCACCTTGAGAACAAAGAGGATCTAATCCTTTACCTCTGACAAAGGACTGAGTGGACTTAACATTTCACTGCATGCTTATACAAACAGATATGTGACCACTGTTTCTCAGAGCAGTTTAACTTTATTCAGCCAGTTCAGTAATAACTTCACTGACAGTGTTACTTTAAATAAAATAAACAAAAGCAAAGAAAAATCTCACCTGCAAGAATGTGCAAGACAGGCAGGACATCTGTACTTCGCCTCCGCTGATCCACACACACCACAGCTGCAAACAGACGACAACTCGGATTAATACAAACTGTTTAAAGATCTACAGCAAACTAGATCAACTGTGACAGAGGTACAGAGATGCAATATCACCTTACAGATCACCAATGTAGAGATAAACGGCTGGCTTTTTAGGGGTGATATCACTTTTATGTTGACTGAATTTGATAACTAAAAAGGATAACTATGATAGCACACCACAAGCACATATCTTGTAAATCACATGACACTGATCCAGGTCAGTAATGGTGTAACACTCTCACTCTGTAATTGGCCTTATTCTGTCACATTCAACCATGTAAACAAATCAGATCTTGCTCAACAGCTTACGTCTTCTGCCCTCTATAAACTCTTCTCTCAGAGGCAGCAGCTGGGTTTATTATCTTACCAGCATGGAGCTGACATGATGGAGACCACCTGTTATAAAAAGGAGACCAACTTTACAGAGTGATGTTGGTGCTTCTGTTTACAGACTTATGTCAATTTACACCACTGATCGATCAAACTACTCCACCACAACTGAGATAGGGGAGAGTGGGGTAAGTTGAGCCACCCCCTGTTGCTTGGAAATGGTAAAAGTCAAAGAAATTGATCATGTGAGCAAATATTTAGGAGATGGGCATCAATTCATGGAGTCTGTGAAGGTTAGAAGCACATGGATGAAGAAGGGGTTAGACATTTATTCACAAAAAAAACTTTTTCCACTCTTGAAAGTGAATTTAGTCTGTCATAAGTTTGATTAGAATTGTGTTCAGACCAAAGTACCAACAACAAGGACAAAGCACAAAGGACAACACACATGCAGATGAGGCACAGGATTATCTTTGCAGACTGTTCAGAGCAGCGATAGCAGAAGGGACAAAGCTCTTACTGAAGCGTGCCCACTTCCACCTCAGAGTCCTGAACCGCAGAAGTGACTGTGGAGAGGGTGGTCTGAGTCTGTGCTGATAGTCTGGGTCATGCGTGTGATGGAGATATTGTTGAAGTGTGAGAGGTCTGTGATGGGCAGGCTGATGATTTTGGATGCTGTGTGGGTGAGCTTGGTGAGTTTATTTCTGTTAGTGATGGACAGCATGTTAAAGTAACAGGGCGAGCAGTAGAGAAGTATGTGAGGGGGGAGTAGGGATACGGCTCAACTTACCCCGCTCCTATGGTCAACTTACCCCACCCATACATGGGGTAAGTGGACCATAGGAGACTATTTTGTTTTTGGCATGCTATATTATCAAGACAGTTCTGTTTACACTCATGTTTGTTTGCAGGGATGAATAACATCTTGAAATAAATGCAGATACACTAGTTAGAGACCAAACTATGATTGACTTGATGTAGTGATCCGAAATATGAAAAATGGCTCATCTTACCCCACTCTCCCCTATAATGCAGGGTGGCGTTTTCATCATTGAGTAAATATCTTAATTAGAGACTGAAGGAAAAGGCTTTAACTTTTAAAACAAGCATCAAAATACACTTTGTTTTTAGTTTGAAAATGTCTCTATAGCATGAAAGTTTAATATTGTGTTTTCTATCTAAGTTGAGACCTGTTGAGTCCAGCTGTTGGTTCAGGATGAGGACCTGGTTTTGATTTGACTAATGAGGAAAAAGGTAGAGAAACTTCTAGTTAAATTCAATAAAGGTTTCATAAATCTTAAACCTTATTAAAAGAAGTTTGTAGACCCTCGTAGATAATCTAGGTTGAGTAGTTTTGGATCAGGACTTTGTTTCCATGCTTCTCATTATAACCTCGTACCAAACTTAGACGTCTATAGTCGCCATTTTAGGTTTTTATTTCTCTGTCTTCATATTTGAAGTCTTAAAAACGTAATATAAAGAAGAAACTAAACTCATACCAGACTCGTAAACCTGGGAGCTAGCTCAGTTAGCTGTTAGCTCCCTACTTTTTAACTCTTTAAACACTCACTTCGAGAGGGAAATCTTCCTCTTGTTTCCTCTCAGCTCTTCTTCTGGACCTCCGTTTTCTTCTTCAGCTCTTAAAGTTGACATTATATCTGTTGTCGGTACAATAACTGCAGAGCACATCGCAGTAGAAGAGTAGAAACACGTTGGTCAGGACCAGGCTGCATCAAAACAAACCTCCTTCTTCTTCTTCTTCCGCCGGCGTATACGAGCAGCACGTGGAGGTGAGTTCCGGTTTGGAGTCTGCTCACCGGCGCCTCCTGGTGTTAGAGGAGAAGAACTACAATGAGTTTAAATGAAAGCAAACTGAGGACGTTTCCTCAAGGTAGAGAAGAAGAGCAGTCTTTTTTTTTTTTTCCTCTCAGAGAGTTCACCTGAGGCTTGTTTTTATTACAGCTGCTCTCAGAGGAAATTGTGATCTATATCAGACATAAAGTCGAGTAAAGTTTATGGACTCAGTCAATCTGTCTTTGTGTTACTGGTGAGAAAAACAAACGGCGCTTTTAATTCCAAGAAACCCGGATAGGAAATAATAATAATAATAATAATAATAATAATAATAACAATAACAACTTTATTTTTATAGCACTTTTAAAAACAGAAGTTTACAAAGTGCTTTGACAACCAGTCGTAAAGCACAGAGCATGGAAATAAAAACAAATAAAAATAAAAGCTCAGTTAAAAATAAGGCCTCCGAAATTGAAGGCCAATTTTATTTGTCATAAGAAACCCAGACAATCCAAGAACCCTACAACATAAAATGAGACCATGAGGACCAAAATAAAAACATAAAATAGGTAAGAAAAAGAGATTTAACAAAAAAGGGGGGTAGAAAGCAGAGAACAGGATCGTAAATATAAAAGAGGATATTAATAATGTCCATAATGGACTGGCCTGATGTCTCGCTACAAACAAGCGGCTGCTGGAAGAGAGTCGCTGAGTTGTGTTTGGTCTCTTTGCTGAATAAATGAGGCAAAACTAAAAAGATGTTTGGTGCCTAGTACTATGGCTGGGACCCTATATGTCCTGTTGACGAAGTTAGGTGCTGTTCTGAGCATTATTTGTGGTGTTTTTGTTGAAGCTTGTTTATGGCTCCTCAGACCGCTGTGTATTGCTATTGTGTGGTCGTTACTAAAGTTGGTTTAACTAGAGAACTAAGCGGTCGGCAACATTCATCTCTCGAAGGGGTGTCTAACTCAGTGTTACGGTGTGTTTGACCCTAAATTAGTTTTACGCCGGAATACTTTCTTCTTGGGGTAAATTCCAAGTCTGGATCAGTCTTGTCTAAAATCAAGGTCCATGCCTCAGTTAGGAAGAGGGGGATTATTCAAACACCACATGAATTGACCCTGGCCCGTACTCAAACCTCTGAACCCTCTTACTGTGAGGTGATATTGCAGTAAAATTTAAGTAAAAGATAATATTGAGTTCTCTGGCCCTCATGTGAAACAGAACCAAGACAACAAAAAACAAAAGCACGGAAAGGTTTTTGGATAAATTGTTACATTTATTTATTTGTCAACTTAATTATTTACACATTCTTATCTGACATTTCTCTCCCAAGACTTTATATAATTACACTTTGTTCAAGATAATATAACTTAAGAATATGATGACTGTGTTTTCTGACTCTGGCCTACTATAGCTGCCAGTCCTCCTGACCACCACTGACTGAACTGAAACAACAGTATGAAGAACATACAGTCACAGGTGTGAACACGCAAACACACACCTCTCCAACATAAATACTTCTTTGGACTGAGTTGCGGTGGACCAAATATTTCTCTGAGAGTATAACTTACTGTGATACAGTAATGTGAACAAAGAGGGATATAAATAAACATACAGTATGCTGTCAATATATACACAGGAAATGTAAAAACTCACTGATGACTCATTCTTTGTTGCAGCACCAATGATAGGGTTCCCCTGAAGAACCTACCACATAAAAGGAAAAGCTACAAAAAAAAGTAGTGTATCAAAAAAAAAATGGTTCATAAATTAGAAATGACCAAATCAAAATAAGTACTTATACAACATAACAAATCTTGATGTAACCGGTACATACAACACAAAGGCAAAAAAAAAAATCTAACCTGACATGAGCAACTATTCTAGAAAGCAACTGAGCAGGTAGAGGTAGAGCACCATCTGTCAAGATGTACAGGTCCAGCTGGGCGGGACCAAAGACAAAAACATGAAAACAATGTCAAAAAAAGCCTTTGTTTGAAAAAAACATGAAGTCACACATCATCCACATGCTATTGCACTCATTAAATCTTTAGTTAGACAGTGCTCCTACGTAAAGGCCTGAAACGCTCCTTCAGGTTTGGCCTCTGCTTAGGATGGTTTGTGTTTGGGAGTGGTGAGGAGTGAGAGGGAGGTGTGTGTGATCTGGGGGTTGGATAAGTTGCTGCTCAGTGAGGCCCTGCCCTGTGATCAGGGAAGACATGGGTCCATACACAGACAACCAAAGCACCAAAGTTTGACAAAACATACTTGAAACAATCATCGATAAATATTGCTATACACATGTTCTCCTCTGGCCCTCTAGGCCTGGATGGTTCACAGAGACTCAGTTCTTCCACAAAGATCCTCCTTTGATCGGACATGGCAGGTCCCATGAACCGTTTCTAGGAACCGTGACAAACCTCGGTTTGCTGGAGCGCACTCTTTGGTAGGCGGCCATTTCTTGGAACAGCCTTCTACGATAGTTCATGTTTGTAGGGTGTGGGATGGTGATGCTTGTGTCAGAGAAAGCAGACTGGACCAATTTCTATATGCCGCTGACTGTCGGGCTGTGGTGTGGGAAATTCCTGTATATCTACAATTGGTAGCTGACGACTGTCCTGAGTATGGAAGAAGAAATGTGACTGGTGCCAGCTGCCATCTTGGATCTGAAAGAGGAACAAAAAGAAACGTTTTTTTTTTGCATGTAACTCGGAGCAGCTCTCAACAGAAGTGATGACAAGCAGCCACCAAGATTTGGTGATTCATTTTATTTTCTACTGCTCCAAAACGCTGCACTATCCAGATGTAAACAAGCACAGATGATAGATGGCTGTAAATATTGTTCTGTTTGGCAGTAGTCTGATCTGGACAGTAGAGACAGAGGTTGGATGCAGGCTGTGACTCAACGCAGGCATGTGGGAGAAGTGACATTTCAAGATGCTGGCACTGCTACCGATAACCACACTGGGCAAAACAATCTGACTTTATTTACCCACAGACTTTGTTTTCTTCATTATTCTAAATAAATTATGTTCAAATTTGTCTTTTTTCCTATTTAGACTAGTTGCTTAGTTAGAGTTCAAATTTCCATCTGGGCAAACAAACTATGGTCTGCTTAAGTGAAGTTTATGCCATCAAATATCTTCTTAGTTTTTCTGTTAGTTCCCAAAACATTAGAAGAGTATGCTGGTGCAAGACTGATCATCGTCATTCTGTGCTCTAAATTTACATCAGTCCTTTCATAGGTCTGTACTGGAGAATCCCCAACATGAGTGTTCAACCAACCCCGACTTGACGACAACGTCATCATCCAAGATGGCAGCGCAGTGCATTAACAGTAAAGAGTAACAGTGAAAGCAACCGCTAACAACTGACAACGGCTAACGACAGCCGACAATCGTTAACAACAGCTAAGAACAGCTAACAGTAGGCGTCCATCTTGGTTTTTCGACCAGTTTCCTGGAACGCCGTCAACTCAGGTGTAACGTTATTCCCAGCTCTGACACCAGACTTCTGAGATAACTGGAACGCAGCATTAGCCAGACCCTCCAGGAACAGATTTTTTGAACTTTACATGCACCAAAAAGCTGCACTTTGTTGAGAAGTCATCCTCATCGGACAAAACTATAACAGGTAAAAGTTTTGAAATCCACCTTTGTTACGGGAGAACAGAGTTTAATGAATTAATATCTGCCTTCGTCCTTACCTTGCACTCATCTTGTAGCACCTGTGGTTCAAGTAGAGTGTATTTCTCAAACACCTGTTTGTTCCAGCCGCGAAACCGAAGAGTGGTGTCGTCATGGTCTTCTCTGGGTAAAGATTCTGTGGAGCTGAAACTGTCTGCGGTGTTGTACGGAGGATCGTTCAGGCAGTGGAGGATGATGCTGTGGCTGGCCTCAGTACTCAGTAAATGGAGAAACTTCATTTGGACTTTTCCGACGCCAAACACCATCTGAAGCAGACAGGAGAAAGAAAGAACATGAACTCAGGAAATCTACAATGTCTCTTATGAGATGAGGGAAAAACTGAGGTGGTCTGGGTGATCAGGGTTTCACGAAGAAAAATTGACTCAAATGAAGTCAGTGTCAAAAATGAATTATTGTTCGATCCCATTTAAACTGAATCATGAATAATAAACAGTTTCTATGAATTTGAAAGGATATTTTGTGACTTTGAGGGCAGTATTTTGCCAAAAAAAAGAAAGAATCAGACTGAAAATACAAACGTTTGGTTTCATGTAGATCATCTCAAGTATGGAACATCTCTGTTATTAAAGCTTCACTAAAGCAGAGTCAAAGACAACTTTTTCATCCATGTATCATATTACAACTTGAGTGTTACCTTGTTAGAGGCCACAGGATGTACACACGTCTGCCCTCCTGCAGTGAAGTTGCAGAAGACCCTGAAGGCATCAGAAGTACAGCCCAAGTTTGGATCGATCCAGAACCAACCTGCAATCCCCCCAATCAGAGAAACAAGTATTTAATGCTAGTTGTACCCAGAAAAATCGAACATGGCCTTCATTTTTGGGTAGCAGAGACTCTCACCGTCTTCTAGCTTGTTATGACAGTCGAGCAGATCTTTACAGAAACGAGCCGGGTTCTCCCGTGTCCCCAGAGGCTGTTTGATGCTCTCGATCACGCTGCTCAGGTAATGTAAAGTCTTAAGGATCTCTGTACTCTGGTCTGGGATGCCCACCTCTGTGTTCTGAAAAGTCTGGTTCAAAGAATTAGACGGAGAAAAATGTCAAAGTTTAAAACCACGACTATAAAGCCTCACATGGACAGAATCGACCTGTGAGTGCGAGTGTCCGAGCCTTACCTCTGTCCTAAAGGCGGTGTTGGAGTCAGAGAGGCCGTAGACTGCTGTGTCATCATAGATCTGCCTCTGCAGGATTCAAAATCAACATGTTCAGGATAATAAGAAAAGTCAGGGCTCTGTTCATTATTTAACCGAAGGGGTTTAATCCGCAGGCTGGTTCTTTGGTTTTAAAACAGCACCGCAGTTTCAATCCTGTACAGTTTACAGAGAAAACTTTAATAGGATAAGAATACTCTTTAATAACAGAGGAAATACGTAAAATAAGTCTTACAGCAATAAACCCTCAGATTCCTGACTTCAGCGGGGGGAAAAATAACACATTCCACTTCGTATAAACACTCCAGCTATCACATAATGTGTGTCAACAAAAGACGGTATCTGATATAGTTGTTTTTCTGAGGAGGAAAAAGGTCACTGAGATTAACAAAAGCTACACTTTTACCATGTGAGGACGGTTTCTATCAAAGCACCAAGAAAAGGATAATCGTCGATCTACACTGCAAACGCTTCGGGAAGTGGAATGTTCTTTTAGTAGATCCTCTGAGTGAGATAGAGGATTTGTTGAACATTTTAGTAAAGATAATAAGCAGCCCCGGGCTCTCTCACATCCTGGATATTACTTTCATCACTTAACCCTGTAATATCCAAAGGTTTGATGAAGCTCTGACATAACAGTTTCACTTCGAGGGATAAAGAGCGACGTTACAAGGTTAGTCAACGGCTAGACTCCTATTTTATCCTGCTATTTTCCTGGATGACTCTGTAAGTATGTTCCATGTGAAGATCTTACCGTTGGACCAGGAGCACCAGGAGGTCCCTAAAGTACAAAAAAAGAAAGAGGAAAAATCAGTTTTTTTAGTATATTTTAGCCAAATGTAAAAATCAAGTTTGTCTGTACTGATGGAAACGACCTCAAGCTCCACATTTAGAAAACTTTACGGTTAAACTCATAGAAACTGTTTGGATGATGATTAAATGAGACCACTCACTCTGGGTCCTGGACTTCCCTGTGGTCCTTGAGGCCCCTGAAAGTAAAGTCCACAAAATTAGAGTTAAACTGGATAATTTAGTTTCAATTCTTCTCAGCTTTGGACCTGTGTTCTCTAACACCCTCTATAAAAGTCTCATTACTGGTTTAGAGCTTTTCCCACAGCCAGCACTACAGAAGTGGTAAAATTACTGTATGATGTTTCTCTGTGATGGTGAGAAACAGAGGCAGAAATCTGGCTGTAAATCCCTGAACTGAACCACACCGGTCACCTACTGCCCCCTCTGGTAGAATTCACAACAGCAGCTCAACTTTATGGAGGATTTTTCCGACTTTGTTGGTTGACTTTCAGAACGAAGAGGGTGTTATACACACACTGTGTATTTGTGTGGTAGTTTGAAGGGCAGGTGCCTTAAAGGAGACCAATCATTGTGTCATTTTGGGGCACCTGTACATTTGCTTTGCAGAGTCGGTAGCTCAAAAAACTTTATATAACTGTTACGTTTACAAAAACCTTTGTGTTCCCGCTTTTCAGCTGCTGCCTGAAACACTTTGTTTTGGCTGCTTTTCTACTGATATAAAGTTAGGCACAGCTTGTACGTGTTACTTTTCACACCACTACAATGTCATGAAACGATTTGAAAGCTATGCTTTTATAGAAAATCTTTGCGGCTAGCTGTTAGCACCAACTTAGCTCCCCCATTTGGCCGTGTTAACATTCGCCAACTATTGTTACATTGCCTCCGCAGTTATAGTTCCAAGCCTTTATTGGAGGCCTTTAAAGATTAAACAACCCCAGGTTTCAGTAACAGCTTGTTCAGGCCTCAGTGTATGGTGGAGTCATCAGTAAAACGAGGAGCAGAAACAGCTGTGTTCTTATCTTGAAACCATAATAACTTCCACTGTTTTCTGGTGCCTTTGTCTTTGGGAGGAGAAAATAGATGTGAATTTTCTTCACCACCAATTAGAGAAAAACTTCTGAGTTACTTTATAAGACATACTGATTAAACAAAGTGTAGCATAGGGCTGGGCGATAAACCGAAAATTTACCGACACCGAAATTTACAACGATAACCAATGTCATTTTGCCCATATCAGTATATACAGTGTCAAAATAAATGAATAAATAAAAGTTGGTTTTGGATGTGTGTAGGTAGGCTATGGTCTCATGTCCCTTTAAGACGCTGTCCTACGTCAGAGACGTGACTCCACCCCATCCAGTCAGTAACAAAGGGGGAAAGACAGGTGAGGAGATGGAGGACGGTTCAAAAGTTGTAGTGGCTGGAGCGGGGGCTGAAGTACACAAAGTTAATATTGGAGGGGTTATCGAGGTGAACTGTTCAATATACTGAGACACTGATTTGAGGCCATATTGCCTAGCCTTCAGACTTTCCAGCTTCTGAGTGGACATGTCTTTAAGAGAGGTGCTAGCTGGGCTAATCCATTAGCATCATTAGCATTATCCTGATAGGTCGGCACAATCTCATGTGAGGAAAAAACACCTGGGGATTTCAGTGCCATAAATGTGTCTTATGTTATGACGCTTTCCCATGGTTTATTATGGGCATCTACTGTTGTAACATTATGTGTATGTATTACAAACGGATCAGAATCTCAGGATCTTACTACTGTTTTCATTACAGACTTGAGGCAGGTATGTAGGAGGGGATGTGTGCACCGCACTGTTGTTTGCAGTGTTAACATTTCAACAAGGCTTTCCTCGACTGTATTTACACAAGAGGGTACATGAGTATCATACAGCCACAGTGAGCTCCAGGAGACACTGAGTAAGAGCTCCTCTCACTATGACTCACTTCACCATGACTGTCAGCCATATAAACAAAAACTACAGCAGAAGTTCAGCTTTCATGCATCTTTAAACACGGCCGTCATCATCTTTTTTTGAATGACACATTTGTATTTGACATGGGTTTGTGTCAACTGGCTCTGCTAAGAGAAGTTAAGCTTAACACTTCAGTGCGGTTGAATCATGATGTAATCAGGCCTCAGACTGTGAACAGATAGAAGTCTTGACTTTTCCATTTACCTTCTGTTTTAGAGGATTCATTGAAAGGATGCTGGTCTTATTTGTACTTTTTCAACGACTTTATCCAAGTCAAGTTATTTCGTGAGTTACAATGATTACTGGTTAACTTCACAGACTTTCTTGGTCTTTGACAGATCTTACCATTTCGCCCGTGATTCCCTTTGGACCTCTCGGCCCCTGTGGAGAACAAAACAACAACATGAGCACATCACAACATCACAACAATGTTTCCTATTATGTAAGTTTGATGAGTTTCAATCAGCAGCTGGCCAGTAAATAAGCTTATGTAATTAAAAGAATAAGAATATTTATCGGTTACTGGTGGTGCCAATATTTTTCTCAGTACTAAAGAATTTTTCATAAGGATATCATTATCAAGCACATGCACTCAGAAACCTACAGGTTTTCCCACTGGACCCATCTTTCCCTCTGGGCCCACAGGTCCGGTGAATCCCTGAAAGACATAACAGGTGAATGAGGGTGTGAAATTACAAGTCTGTCATAATTTACATATTTAAGAGAGAGAAGTTACCATGTGTCCTCAAATTACAGTTCGACACTAAATAATGCAGAAAATAACTTTTTATTCCATTGCTGCAGTGACACTTCTAGTAGAAAGAAATGGGTTCCCATAGTTTCTATTTTTATTGAACTTACCAAAGTACCCATTGGACCTTTAGGGCCTGGAAACCCTCTGAACCCCAGATCACCATTCGGTCCCTATTTAGTGGGGAAAAAATGTATTTTCAGTCTATGTGTTTTATTATGCAAGATCAATACAGTCTGGGCCTAATTCATGAAAGGTGTGTGCCTCTTTTGCACCCACTAAAACAGTGCAAATGAGCCAAAAAGACGTTGTCTAATTCACAAAGTATGTGTGGAGGGATGAATGCTCGACAAAATGTGCTGCAAAGCAAATAGTTTGTCTTTGCATCAGTGTGTTATTTGCAGATATTTAAATGTGTCATTATGAATTCATCTGGAACAGAATATGCCCCAAATGGGCCTCACTGCTAAAACATGAGCACTGGTGCTCACAGACACACACATTTGTTGTCTGCTGAGAGCTCATGGTTATTGCATATGAGTATTTATAACTGTAGTCATGATCAAACTTCATGATAAATCGTAAAGGATTGTCCGTCTCCATTCAGCTCATCGTATCATGTTGGTAAAATTTAACAAATGAGAGCACACAGCACAGCTTTGCAGAGCTGGATGATGCTTGCAGCTCATTTCTGACACAGAACAAAGCAAAACTGGAGTTAACTACAAAACTTTGTGCTTGAATATCTTTAGCGTTATTTGTTTTGTCAGTCAGACTCTGAGAAAAAGGAGACAGCTGGCGTAAATGATGGGCAACTCTTGGTGTTATTAGCAGCTGTCCATTTTCAGTGAATTTCATCTCCTGTTTTTATTTAAGGCTATTACATTATCTTATTATTTTACATCTTAAACTGTTGCAAGCTGCTTTGTCTCTTACCTTTGGTCCTGGAAATCCTTGTAAACCAACCATTCCCACATCTCCAGGTTCCCCCTAGGAATGGAAAAATACATCATTTAATAAACAAGCACATAAAGTAGGTGATGCTGGTTTTGTGTAACGGGTTTTATACCTACTAAAGCTTTATATGAAGTTTAAAAATGCTCTGTGCACACATAGCTTTATGTCTGGAGGCTCTATCTTGGATGTAAAGTCTCACTGGCCCACATTCACACACCCTCCTAGTAACACACTGGGAGGTTTGGTGTCTGTCCCTTATTCCATGTCTGAGCGCTGTCTGCCTGTCGTCCAGGGTGGCAGACACGATGTTTGTACAGCCAGTCATCCACATCCTCCAGACAGCTTGGCTTTCAGGCCAGCCACTTTGACCAAGAAACTCTATTCACCAAAAGTGTAAAGGAATCTGACCCAAAGGGCCCGAGTCTGCTCTCTGTTTCATGAGCATCAATGGAGAAAATGAGTGGAGCGAGGGGGAGAGAAAGGGATTGAATGTTGTTTCTTTTTTCTTCATCTTTAAGGAGTTACATAAGAAAAGTGGAGCACCTCTTTTTCATGTCTCTGGAGTGTGAGGATCTTACATAACTTGGCCTACCAGGATGAATGTTTCCATTCCTGGTCTCGCCCAGATAATTTGTTACTTTAACTCAGGGTGGAAAAGTGTCAGATACACGCTTTTTTCGATCCCACCACAGATTGGCTATCAAAACCCCTGAGGCTATATTTAGAGAAGACTTCAAGAATGTGTACGAGCATATAAACCCCTTTAAAACAGAACATTCATAATTACAGAACCCGTTAAAAAAGAGCAATTAAGCTACCCTCCTTACTATGACTTCAGCGAATTAAGTCGGTACTTTTCGAGTAAATAAATTAAACAGTTAAATCATTCCTCCTGCAAATGGAATGTACCTGAGCTGAACCTCAAACCTGTGCAAACATCTCTACAAAATACTGCTGACAGCTTATGTTACACAATTATTCCAGGTAATGGAAAGAAGCTTGAATACCATTGAACAGGACTGATGATTCAAATAAAAAATAAAAAAAACGCCTGTTTATACTCACTGGTTGTCCTTTGAATCCAAGGTCACCTTTCCTGCCCTGGTCACCTGTAGCCCCCTCAAAGCCTTTGGATCCTGCGGCTCCCCTGTCCCCTGGCAGCCCCAGTTCACCCTGACAAAAGGTAACAGATTGTGACTGTAAGTTTACTTCGACAGAGATTTTATTTGTCTGTTTGTTTGGATGAAAAAGTTATGTATTAATTTTTATCGCCTTATCATTTCACCTTTTGACCAGGTGGTCCTCTTTCTCCAGGAAGTCCAGGAAGACCAAGCTCTCCTCTCAGACCTGGACGTCCAGTGGGTCCTTCTAGTCCAACCAAACCTCGATGACCCTAAATGCCAAGAAAGTTGGTGTCATTAAAATCCATCAAAAGTTTTTTATATTCAACAATGTGATTTTTTTGTGTGTTTTATGAATACTGGATGATCTACAGGGTTAAAACTTATTTTTATTGCTCACAAAAATACTTCTATGAGCATGAGTAGCCTGAAAATGGAGATAAGTCACCCTAGAATATCAGGGTCTGAAGGATGAAAATATGACATCAACTCATAGACTCTATTCTTTTAGATGTTTCATTTTATTTTTCTTTCATATTCAGACACATTTCTTTATTCTTTGTATAGTTACAGTTGTACACCTCAGCCCTGAAGTCTGCTCGCCTCTCTTGGTTTTAATATTTCTTGACAGTGTACTCCCTGAGCGTGCCCATAAAACTGACTGCCTGTCACTGAGTTGCTCTTGCTCTCACACCGCAGACCACAGCGGTTTCCTGCTCCATCAGCAGTGTGGTGAGGCAGAAGGGAGCGCACGATATTAGAATAACAGATTGAGCGGGTCGTCGCCTTGCATGTGTTAGCTCTGTTCCTCGATCACACTCTCTCATGACCAGTTTGGAGTTGCACTGACTGCAGTAGGCTCACTGTGGAGAACACCAACCTGCAGGTGTCTGGATGCTCTTGCATAAGAAGGCGCCTCCGTCTGTGAGCTTAATAAAATCACTCTGATTTTTAATTAAGACTGACCCCTTTGAGCCTCAGACATGGCCCCTCAGGCACATAGGCCTCTGTGAGCATTACACACTACTTATTACACTGGGGAAGGGGCCCGCTTTCGGTAAAACAACAATGAGTTATGAAGGGGTGCAGAACTAACAGCAGAAACAAAAACATGTCATGAAATAAAAATATTGATTGTGTCAGAGCTGCTGTTGATTTTCCTTCAGGTTCTCTGACTTCTGGTGTTGCCCAGGCATGTGCAAAAACAAGTGCAACGAATGCAACCACTTCGCTGTCGAAAGCTATGAGTGAAACCTTTACACCCTTAAAGGGGATCCAATTTGCACTTACAGCATAAAAAAATCTAACATTAAAAAACCATACAGAACAGCAAAAATCACACAACCTGGTAAAAGTAGGGCTGGGCGATAAACCAAAAATGTACCGATACTGAAATTTACAACAAAACCTGTTGCATTTTCCCATATCGGTATATTCGGTGTCTCGACCACTTAAGGTTTACAAATTAAAAGGATTCAGTTTGACATTGACAAATCTTGAACTAGGGCTGGGCGATAAAACCGAAAATTTACCGATACAGAAATTTATGAAAATAACCACCGTCCTTTTGCCCATACCATACCAGTATATTCGGTGTCAAAATAATAAATAAATAAAAGTTGGTTTTGGATGTGTGTAGGTAGGCCATGGTCTCATCCCTTTAAGACACTGTCCTACATTGGAGACGTGACTTCACCCCATCCAGTCCGTAAAAAAGAGGGAAAGACAGGTGAGGAGATGGAGGACGGTTCAAAAGTTTGAGCGGCTGAAGTAGACAAAGTTAATGTGGGAGGGGGTGATCAGCTTGTGGAGTAGTTATCATCCATTTATCGCTATCGACGTGAACTGCTCAATATATCGTGATATTGATTTGAGGCCATATCGCCCAGCCCTAGTTTCAAGTTAAAAAATCCATACAAACCAAATGCATGTTCTACTTCCTTTGAAGCAGGACTATCAAGCATGAACACCTGTCTCTTGCCTAAAGTTAAAACAGCACCCTGATTCCTGAAATGTTGCCAGTTTCACTTCGGAGGATGACGTCTGCTGCATGTACTGCATTTCTTTCTCGCTGCCAACCATTATTTCACCGTCCAATCAAGTGGAAATTCAACAAACTTGTTCAAATCTGTTCGGGGAAAGTATTTTCCTTTCATTGTGAAATCTCATCCAACTGGCAAAAGCAAACGAATGAATGAAAAACGATGAAAACAATGAACATCAATAAAAGGTGTAATAACTAACAACGCGAAGGTGCCAGGAGAGGCAGTGGGTGGGCATATCACAGGGTCTTCACCACTGCTGAAATATTGTGAAATTAAAGGTGATGTTTCCTTCACACCTCTTCTGCTGTGACAGACCAGAATGACAACTGAAGCATACCTCATAAAAATCTTCATTCCCAGAACAGCTCAAACATGCTTAGAGCTAAAAAAAATATAACAATATATACATGTATATTCTCTGTTTTAACATATAGGGAAGAAGTGGCTCAAGGGAAAATTATGAGAAACCTCATTTTTTGGTCAAAAACAAAAGCCCACTGCAAAACAACCTTATATAAATGAAAGACAGGCAGAAAAGACTTGGCTTTCCAATTCTTGGCTGAAAATGAAGAAGACATTCATGCATGAAATCCCAATACACTCCGACCACACACTTGTTTGGATAAATCTGTTGTGTGGCAACCAGAAGTAGCCAATCAAATCAAATCAAACGAGATGTTCAATGATTGTCCATCAAAGCCGTTTGTCTGTGGTTTTTAAACAATGCCTCACATTAAAAGCTGCTTCTGCTTCAAGAATTATTTGGCGAGTTTTGTGTGCATGGCTGAATGGGCAGCGAGTCAACATGGTACCTCTTCAGGAAAGCTGCAGACTGTTAGTGTGGACCTACTGCACACAGCGCTGAGGTGGTTTGGCTGTGCGCGGTGAGTCTGTGCCATAAACAATCAGCAGATTAAGTTTTCTGCTGCTGCATTTCACCTCTACTGTTCAGACCAATTGAATTAAAATAATTCTCTCCCTGCAATAAATATTTAACTTTCCTATAAGCTTGTTAAGTAGACAGGAGCACTCTGAAGGGAAAGTCTTCAAACGGCAAAGTTGAGAAGGGTGTATCACTGACTTCTCAAACCCGTCAACACCGACCACAGGTCTGCAGGACAGATTAAAATTAAGTACAGTAAAGGAAACTTCATCCTTAAAGTTCAGTTATGTAAGTTAATCTTCTGTCTCATTCTGTGACCTACATTCATAGTGCTGACCAAGAATATTTTGAGACAAAGCACATAACTGGTTTCCTTTGTGCGAGGAGCCAAACAGGCTTAGTTCACAGGACAGATAAATCAGATCTACTAACTCCTGTCCGCGCTCTTATTTGTGGTGATCAAATTGGATTTTCAGCTCATAATCTTGCCCTCAAATGCGGCAGCATCAGGCAGACACACAGGACTTCTCGTTTATCTGCTTTTTTGAGTTATATAATCTGTAATGCTTATTACCTGACGTCCTTGCTTTCCTGGGAAACCTTGTAAGCCAACCAGTCCTGGTAGACCATCTGGCCCTGGGTAACCTTTCATCCCGGTGACACCAGGTAAACCCATCGGCCCCTTAAAATAAAATTGGACAATGACAGTTTGACTCAGTGTTATTCTCAGTTAATGGGATATTTACAGAAACTGTTCGACTATTCTTACAAAACCAGGCTGTAACACTTGTTTTTCCACTGGAATCTCTACTCTGGATAGAGAAGTACATTCCTATAAAGCCAAAGCAAATATTTGCCAAGATATTTTGGTTTTATCAGTTACAGAGGAAGACAGTTTGCTGGTTATGTACTGAATTATTTTGAACACTCTGAGGAAAGTCAGTTGAGAGCGATTCTCGACATGATTGATTGATATTGGGCTTATCCTGAGGCGTTCGAGTCCATCCATCTGGAGTTCTGAGAAAGTTTAAATAAAACATGAAGAATTAAGAGCTATGCAATGTTCTGTTCCTGACCTCCACGAACAGATCCACATGTGAGCTGTGTTGCTGCACAACTGCGATGTAAGTTTTACAGCACGTTTAATTTGACCCCTTTTTAATAGATTCAAACCATGTGCAAGTCTTTGTTTTCCACTTTTCTGGAACTTGGTTATCAGGGTAAGATGATTTATCTGAGACGTTTACACTGAAAAACAAACTCACGCTACATCAACAGACAGTGGGACAAAGTACCACTGTCTTTCGCTTCTTGTCATTAAAACATCACCAGAAATCTTTTTGTAATTGTTAAATAGTACAGCCCTCTACAAGGATTAAGAGGGCTAGGGCCACAAGAGGAGAAAAAAATAATTACAGAGATTTAATTCCAATTTATTTATTTGTATTCGACTTTAATCTCAAAATTTTATTTTTTAATCTCGAAATTTCGACATTGTTCACGATATTTTGACAATTTTTAATCTTGAAATTTCCATTTCAAATCTTGAAATTTCGACTTTGACATAGTTTCGATTTTTTAATCTTGAAATTTTGACTTCAATCTCCTACCTGTAATTATTTTTTCTCTCTTCTTATCCTCTTTCACAACCCTCTAAAGAGATTTCCTTTCTGATTTGACTCATTTTGTCGCTTCTGCATGACTTTGTGGGGGTTATTTTATATCCTTCATTTGCCAGGGTAAATGAAGGATATTTAGGGCGCTTTAAGTAAAGGGACAGCTCTGTATGAAGTAATTAACAATGATATGATCCTATAAGACAATTATACTGACAGTATTTTGTGGCTGTAAGCAAAGTGCCAGACAAAGATTCTTCACAGCAAGAATGAATTTTCATAATTATAAACCTTTGCATTGAGGTATAATTATACACTCTAAGCCGTTATTTTAGCTTGTGGTAAAGCCTTAGAGATGCATCGATAAGGCTTTGTAAATTCTCTAATAACGCATTATAAGAAGTGGGGTCATAGAAAGTGTTACTGTTTGTTGCTGCAGTTCCTATCAGAGCTTTGCATTTGGTTGAAATGGTGTGATACTCACCTCAACTCCAGGAGCTCCACTCAGTCCTCTTGCTCCTTTCTTTCCTGCAGAGCCCTGAATAATCATACACACAGAGAATTAAAAACAAGAAAAACAAAGCACAAAAACACACCAGGTCAAGTATCTTAACTGGTAACTGATTAAAAAGAGGTAACACTTGTTGAGACTTACAATAAATTTAAGTTCAGGGTTACTTTTTATACTTTAACTGGTACAGAATGTAAAATAACTACATCTGTCTCTTAAAGACATGAGGTGTATTTGAAATATGGCATAAAACTAACACAGGAAACCCCAAGACAATGTTTTCCAAATAAAAAAGGACAGAAACAGACTTATTTCTCATGCTTCTGAGCATTAAAAGGATTTGTAGTTGAATGTTTTAGACAAATGTGTTTGTCAAAAACACAAACTGTCTTTTTCCACTAAAAACGGGGGGAAAAAACCCACAAACATCTGTCCTTGAAACATTGTTTTTGGATTTGATATTTACTCTCTGAGGCCTGTCAGTGTTAAGTTATGTATGTACAGTCCAGCAAAGACCTTCAAGGCTGTTAATTTGAAACAGACACACAGCAGATCCTTCAGGTTTCCATAGTTCTTGGCCGACTGTTTTGTGATGCATTTTTCGACACAGATGGTTCTATATGTTACACATCCCGACTTTGTTCACACTCAGAAAATATCGTCATAAATTTGAACCAGTTACATAATCGATCCTTCATTCAAGCTGTCTCACACGTGGAAGGAAGCTGCTGGTGTCCAGAAATGTGCAAATGTTTCGGTTGCAAGGTCAAAACAATGCGATAATTTAACACCATCAGTTCAGGAGTTCACGTTTTACCAAATGAAAGCGCTTTGATGCCACAAACTGCTGTGACTCTCAGTACTGGCAAGAACGTCTGGTGACAGGTGAAACATAAAATATGGAAGCTTCAGCCAAATATCTGTGGTCTGGCTCTGGTTTGGCAGTAAAAGTCGGAGTTTTTCCTCATTCACCGCATCGTTTCTACACAAAGCTCAACCTAACCAAGCCGTGCTGGCAGTAGCTAAACACTGTTTTATTTTACATCTGTTGGTTTTGTTGAGAGTAAAAAAAAAAAAGACTAATGGGAAACATTCAAATGTTGAAATATTCGTCTTATTTTCAGCCTGAAGGTCACGTTTTGAATTACAGGCTAAATGAGTAAAACAGTGTCTGCAGATGTTTTATTTGCATTCATTAGGAGATAAATATGAACTTACTGGAGGGCCGGTTTCTCCTTTTGGGCCTGGTTCTCCAGCGAGGCCTGGTGATCCCTGGACAAAAGCAAGAAATCAATAAATACAAAAAATGTACAATATAAAAATCACAGAACAATGATTTTACTTATTTCTGACTTACTGGTGCGCCATGTGGTCCAACAGCTCCACGAGGTCCAACAGTACCAATATGGCCCTGAAACAAATTTGAAAATAGAACTAGATGTCACCTCAAATTCAGGGTTTATCTAAAGGTTATTTATATAGAGTCATGTTGGTGGCTAGTAAAAAAGCTGTAACAAAAAAGTGGCTGTGTCAGAATCCACCGTCAACAGCGGACTGGTTGAAGGTAATGCATGATATATTTGTTATGAGGAAAAATGACTTTTACATTGAGATTGAAGAGTGATGTGTTTGAGGACTATTGGAGAAGTTGGATTGAGTTTATCACCACTTAAACCACTCAGATCAGACTTTAGGTAATCATCGACAGTAGCCAAACTACAATTCCCCTATAATTCTCTGCTGCACACAAGTGTTATTTAATGTCTTTTGTATTCGTTTTCTTTTTTTTTTTTTTGTTTTCTTTTCATGTTTCAGCTCTTTACAGCAGTTTGCTTTGATTTGAATCGATGTGCACCAAATGAGGATGTTCAAAACTTGATTTCTAAATAAAAAGAAAAAAATATATATAACTACATTTTTTTGCTGAGATATATGCAAGACAGATTCTTAATGCAGGCGCTAACCCCCCAAACGCTATGTTATTATTTTGGGGAGTAAAATGTTCAAATAGACTAAAGACGTGTCTCAATAGAGCGAAAGTCTTGGCACAGTCAAAACTGTAAGACAAAATATGAGATTCAGCGCTTTACTGAGGAGAGCTCTGGGCTCAGTGTATTATGCTACGTTCCAGTTGTACTCGTTGTTGGGATTTCAGAGCTCCGAGTCGGAAATTCATCTGGAACGCCCCCATGAAGTCGGATTTCCAACTCAGAAAGTCGGAAATCCAACTTCAGGTAATCCTCACCAACCCTGACTTGACGACAACATCATAATCCAAGATGGCAGCACAGTGCATCAACAGTAAAGAGTAACAGTGAAAGCTCTCGTAATGTATTATTTATTAGCACTTCTGTTTTGTTTTTGTGAAATTAAATAAGTGGTATATGTTGTACTGCCCAACGTCTAACTGTGAACACGATGCTATGGTGTTTGTAAGAGTAAAATACTGTGTTAAGTGTTGTTTACAACCGATATAGCTAACAACAACTAACAACAACTGACAAATGCTAACGGCAGCTGATGATTGTTAACGACAGCTAACAACGGCTGTCAGTAGGCGTCCATCTTGGTTTTCTGACTTCTTTACTAAAACGCTGTCAACTCGGGTGTAACGTCATTCCCAGATCCGACTTCTGACTTCCAAGGTAACTGGAACGCAGCTTTAGACTCCTTGTACGGTCATCCAGTATATAAGTAGAATATCAACAAAGCACAGGACAATAAGGGAATTTATGCAAGGTTTCTTAAATGTTTGGCAGGTTTTTAATTTTATCAAATGAGTCTGAAAAGATTGAAAAACCTTGGTTTGTGATGTCTGCACAGCTTTATTTATTCACACGTTAGTAGTGAGAGAAAGATTTGTCCGTCTTTCCAAAGCCAAACATAACTGTTTCAAATAAAGTAAGCGATACATCAACTTGCTTTTACAGTAATTGTGTGCATGTGTATGTCTGCTTTTGGCAAGCAAAGACTTCTTTTCAGGCTCAAGGCTCGGAGTGACAAAAACAACAGATTTCCCGAGCTTTAATGCAGGGAATTTGGTAATCCCCTCCAACATGTGTGGTCTACCACCCTTTGAGCAGAGCTGCGTTTAATGGAGCATCAAAAGAGTTTGAACAACAAGTAGACAGGCGCACTGAGTGGTGGTGAGCGTGTGATATGTCTGAGGTTGAATTAATGGTTTCGTCTACCTGATATCCTTCATCCCCTGGCTCTCCACGCTCTCCTCTTTCTCCTGTAGGCCCCTGTGTAGACACAAATGCACACACGTGAACACACATGCTGAATGTTTATGAATGCCTTCATCTTTACCCACAAAGCTTTAATTGAGCTGAGGAGCTCCTTCAGGACAAAATGACTTCTTAAGCCAACACATGACACATATTCTTAAGTTTCCACCTCAAAGTCTGAATCTTCAAAAAAATCAAAAAAGAAAAGCTTCATTTCACCTTGTACATTACTTCAGCCTATGTTGGTTGGGACTTTGGGCAGACAGACAGAGGCTGCCATTGTATTACTAATGCCATGATGTGCAGAACTGTGCCAACTAAATAATCCAGTCCTCCCCATATGGAAGTTTGCTCCCTATAGCTGTGTCGATGTCCAGTTACTGTGATTGTTAATGCAAGTAATCATGCTCACTGCTGGGAAATGCATCTAGGAGTCACGTTACTGTATTAAAGTAAGCCTACCTGAGCTGTTAAGACTCTATGATACGTCCTGATCCTCTTTTGGAAATCAGCCTAAGAATGACTTTGTTTTCGTGGAAGTGTTTCGACAAAATAAAAAAAAATGGGGTAGACTTCAGGTGAATGCCCGCCCTCACATCCACTCTGTCCTCATCAAACGCAAAAGTTACAAAACTGGCTGATTTAAAATAATGAAAAATGTGTGTTTTTAGGTCTTAGAATAAGACCTAACTTCTTTTAATGGGTAATATCAGAACACACAAAGCTCGGCTCAAGCTTAATGTGGAGATGTGAAAACTCTCACCAACCCTGTGTAAATGCACAATGAATGGAAACGATCTGAATCACAGAGTTAGATAATCATAGTTCATATGTATGACAGATTTTAGCTCATAACACTGATATATTACCATCAACCTGGTGAGGAGAAAAAATAATGTTCTCTGAGTAATACATTAGCTACTTATCCAGGTTAACTTGTACAATCTGATCTTTAATCGGCTTTGGCAGAAAGAGTAAAGGGTGCAGGGGAAAGGAGAGTTTAAAGGAAGGCAAGACCTACTGGTTCACCTAAGGGCCCTGGCTGTCCTGGGGTCTTATTGTCCTCGCCTGGATAACCCTGGAATGTTACAAAAACAGAGCAAATTACATACACACACATGAAGAACCAAGGTCTTGCAGCCACACTGAAGCATATTAAACCGAAATACTTTTGAGGCTCCACCTCAGACACCAGTTCAGGTATCTTATTACCTTTTCACCTTTAGGCCCTGGTGGTCCAACAGGCCCAGGCTTGCCAGGGTGACCCTTGTAAAGAAAAAAGTTGGTTAGTACACCTACAGAAGCAGCCATGCCTCTCCACTAGCAACAGCATGTTTCTTGAAAAACATGAGCTCAGCTGTCAGCATATTAATCAGATGTGTTTAATGTAAATACTGTTCTTTTATGCGAGTCTCCTCTATTCTGTCATTTCAGGAAGAGGTTTTTGGCACAGAGTCAGAAATCACTCGGCAAACTGAGTCAGCTGTGAATAAGTCAGGGAGCCCTCATACAAACAAACACACGCAAAAATAACATACAGAAAAAAGGGAATCCATGAACTCTAGGTGCCCTGTACAAGTTATGCAACTGTAACCCACTGATGTTGGCATGTACCAGGCCAAGGAGAGGCCTGGAAAAAAATACCTCGCAGATTTCACCATGTCCAATTCCACCTTTTGCCTTTTTCCCTTCACTTTTCATTCACTGGATAATAAACAGTGAAGAGTAATGGGAAAATATCAAAATCTGACATTTGTCGCTGGAGGCAAGGCAAACAGAGGAGATGACTCAGCTGAACTGAAGTTCAATCCAACGACTATGAGATCTTTGGGCTTGTCTTAAGTTAATTAAAGCAGAATGAATTGTAATAATTAAATTAATATAGAGCAAGCACTCATTTTGTCCATGTCAATATATTCGGTGTCAAAAAAATAAATGAATTAAAGTTGGTTTTGGACGTGTGTACTGACTCCACCCCATCCAGTCCATGACAAAGAGGTGAAGACAGGTGAGAAGATGGAGGATGGTTCAGAAGTTGTAGCAGCGGCTGAAGTAGACAAAGTTAATGTTGGAGGGGTTGAGCAGTTTGTGAAGTAGTTATCATCCATTTATCGTTATTGAGGTAAACTGCTCAATATATCGTGATACTGATTTGAGGCCATATCGCCCAGCCCTATAATGAATATAAGCATGGCTCAATGTCTCGGGCCAAGACTCAGACTGGTTAAGAGTTCTCTCTGACATTTTTGGTGTGAATAAAAATGCAGATGCAGCATGTGTATGTGTTATTAAAGAGAATGTTGATGTGTGTATGATGGTTGAACAGCCGTGAGAAACTCACTGCGTATCCTGCGAGTCCTGGTTGCCCTTCCAGCCCCATGACTCCAGGCTGGCCCTGGAAAAAAAAAATGCAAACAAATTAACACCATAACAGAGCAGTTAGTTTAGCCTCTGTAAATATAAACATAAAATACATAAAATATGAAATATAAACTCAGTCTTCGGCACACATGACATAAATACATACATAAAAAATCTGCAGAGCCATCCCAACATCTTCGCGGGATGAGACTTGTATCATTTTTTCTCTTTTAACACTTTACAACTATAAACATTTTACAAAACCATATTTTAAAGATTTGTCTATTAACAGTGATGGCTTTGTGTATTTTCATGAATGCTATGACTAGTCAAAAGTTTCAGACTAGTCTGAGACACAGCAAAGGGACTTAAGGAATGTGAACTAACTGGTGGGCCTCGAGTTCCCCTGGCGCCTTTCAGTCCGGGTTCACCTGGTTGGCCGACATCTCCTCGTGTGCCAATCTCACCAGCGAGACCTGAAGGACCTCTTTCTCCCTAAAAAAGAGAAAAAGCAAGATTGAATAAAATAAATAAAGACTATTGTTTAACTTGACTGTGAGCTTTCAACCTATTTTGGAAAGCAAATCGTTAATTTGTTTTAAAGTTGGGGTGACTCACTTGTTTCTTCATCAATTTTATATGAAAGAAAAATGATGGTTCAGGCAACAAGAACAGAGATACCCATCCTTTTTGTGTCATCATATGAACCTCTAAGAGCCTCTTCTGATGAGGAAACATATTGTACAGGAGAGGTTGTGCAACTGAGGTTCTCACCTTCTTGCCATGCCGTCCTCTGTTCCCTGGAGGTCCTAGTTTTCCTTCTGGTCCCTGTAACAAGAGAAGTATTTAAAAATCACCAACCACAACATCCCCCTATTTCACAAGCAGAGGCACCTAACTGACTTACTTCTATCATATCTTGATTGGATCATGACATTCAGAAAGTCCTCTGTCAACATTTTTCCAGACACCATTCAGAGCTCGATTTTCTGCTTTTCAGATAAGTTTGTAATCTATGTGTCATTCAAACTTTTATTAGATTATAAACAGGGGGGAAAGTACTTTCAAACAGAGCTTAGTGTGAAGCTCCCTGACTTCCTGACACCGCTGACCTTACTGCCCCTCAACGCAGATAACCCATCAGGATCGGTTTCTCAAAACAAACAAGCACTGAAAAGAGACTTTGACTGACACCTATCACACTGTGCTTTAACACCCACAATCCATGACTAAGTACTGCCTACAGTATCAAAAAGTAAAGGCTGACCCCTACTGGGATACAAGGGCATTTTTATAGAGCTTTTGTGTAATCTGTTCCACTAATTTAAAAATCTATGGGTGAGATTTATTCTGGCATGTCTAAGAGAAAAGTATGCTTGTATTTCTCCCTCTTTCCTGCTCCTACAAGAATCACCGCGTTGGAAACCAGAAGAACTTGTTCTGCAGGAAACAATAAAAAAACTTGAGGATTTATTTCGATGAAGTCTTTACTTCACACTACATACAAGCAAATCCTTTCAAACACCAGAATTTACATGTAGGTTTAATCTTTGTGGTTATTGAATTTCACTTCATTGAAAGCTGTGTTATCATATGATTATTGTTATATTACAATTAGACTCTGTTATTATATCGTTGTTGAAATATTTATCCATTCTGCTATCTTGAATCATTAACGGAACTTACACGAAAGCCCTGTTTCCCAGGTTCTCCCGGTGGTCCTAGAGGCCCAGGGTCTCCCTCAATGCCTTTGTCCCCTGGCTCCCCGACTGGCCCACGCTCACCAGGCTCCCCCTGAAAGACACAAAAAAGGCAGAAAATTGAGGCAGAGCAGAGGGTGATTTAGTCTTTTTTGTAGTATACACCTGAAGCCAAGAAAGGTACAACCAGAAGACTGTGGTTCTAAAACTTTACTATTTCAATCCTGACTTATCAAAGCCTGCCGAGTAAACTTAAAACACCCCCTACTGTTGTCATATTTGGAGGCCAACCAGAAAGCGTCTCTATACAGATGTCACCAGCAACTTTAAAAATATTCTTGATTTGGTTAAGATTTTGCTGCGTTTACCTTGGGTCCATCTTTTCCTTGGGGGCCATCTTCACCAGGAGGACCAGGAGGACCCTAACAATGTCAACATACACAATAAAAAAGATTAAGGCTGTGATATCTCAGTCGGCAGTCAACAAAGTAAGAACACGATTAATCAAATTTGATGTTAATTTGACTTGAAAAACTGCAGACAAATTCTCTTGAACTCATCTTTTTCTGTATTCTTCTCCTCCTCTTTCATCGTGCAGTTTGTGAATGCATGATGCACAATATACTGCCAGACGTGCTGTACATTGTCATGTAACCCAGTGTGTCCACAAACAGAATAATGCAAGTTCATAAAAAGCCGAACAGATAATGTAGATGAGTGGAAGAATAAAATCATCCCTCGGTCAGAGAGAAAACTTAATTTAAGACCCTCTTTAAAACATTTCAGACAAATCAAATTTAAGACTTTTTAAGATTCATCAAGGATCTCCAGGAACTTTGATTTATGAAGATATGATCCCTGGATTTTGGTTTCTTAGACAAACAGTAGATTATATTTTCCAATCTCTTCCTTTGCCCGTTAAAATAACTGTGGGTCTGCTGATCAAGCAGCCCTGTTTAAGATTGTTGAATGTAATCTTGTGGAAAGGACAGAAAATAAAACCTAACAGTGCAAAAACTATTGATATAATCCATCAGACAAATACAACTCTGCTTTCTTTGGCCTGAGGGATTAGGGATTCTTGTCAAAATGAAGGGGAGTAAATAAATGATCTGCTAAGATTTTCCCAAACACAGGGAAGGAAGGGATTAGTGGCTCGTTCACAATCACTCACTCGTATTCCCTCCTGTCCTTGCTCCCCTTCAGCTCCTGGAGGCCCAAGATCCCCCTGCAGGGACACAAAACACAACACAGGGCTGTCAGAAGGTCAAAAAACACTTACACTGGCGTGCACACGTGTACGCTCGCACTAACAACCGAACCTGAGGAGGAGTCAGACTTGACAATCAGCTGTTGTTTCACCTGAGGCTACAGTTACTTCAAGTGCGATATGACTGAGCAAGTTCACGGCTCCGAACACTGCTGCAGGCTGGTGAGGACTGTGACTAATGACTTCTGTGATGCAAGGGTGGGAAGGGTGGTTGTAAAGAATGTGGCAAGGTTATACTGACCTTTAACCCCGGCTCGCCAATGGCACCAGGTTCCCCCTCTGCACCAGGTCTTCCCTTTGGAAAAAACATGACTCATGTTCAACCTGAACTTCAGAGTTATACATAACACCCAAAAATCAAAAATGGTTCATTGGTGATAATTATTGAATGAAAAGTACTTCAGGTCCTTGCTCTCCATCAGGTCCTGCCTCTCCGGGGGGTCCTTTGGGTCCCTGCAATGACAAATAACATCAATAAATTCCTTTGAGACAAAACAAACTCATTACTGGAGTCACTAAGCACACTTAATCAGGGGGGATAAAACTTCAGGACAACATAATACACAACTCGAGCACATAATGGCTACACAAACACATACATCTAAATGTTGAGTCTATAGAGTGGGGACGACTGAGAGCTGAGAACGCACTGAGTGAAACCCAAGACGAGCCAAAGGCAAGATGAAACCCATAACATAAACCTGGTCTTATTGAAACCTTCCGTCCTAATAAATATTTGTATTAGATTGTTTGACATCCTTAATTCCCCCGAGGCTTTGGCTGATTTCCAGGAAAATCAAGAACTCAGAGACTTATCCAAGAAGGGAGGCATGAGGTTTGTAGCTTTGAGGTGTGAAGGTTGCAACAGGAGAGAGCAATAAATAAATGACAAAACTAAATGAGTCCGTTTTTTTTCCTCATCAAAGTTGTGATCATTCCAAGCCCTGACGGCTTCCTTCTTCAGAACTTTTTCAGCAGAGTTTTCCATAGTCATTACCGATTTCACAATGGCAGGTTTGTTTGTAGTCTCTTGGAAAAAAAAAAAAAAAAGACAAAGCATCAAAGCGCCAGTGAGAACAAAACAGACTTACTGGTTCACCGTGGGGTCCTCTCTCCCCTGTGCTGCCTGGAATACCTGGTTTACCCTGAAAATGGACAAAGGCGCTTCAGTCGTGAACTTATGTAATCATCAGGAGAAACAAGCATGGGGGAAACTTGGCTTTGGAAGAGTTTCCTCGCTCATCATTATTGCTGTCATTATTTGCATCATGGCATCATGGCAGAGTCTAACATATCTGTGCCGCCTTGTGTCAGACAAGTTTGCACGGTTTCCAACGGTACTCAGTCTGATGTTGTTTTTGCACTTGTATTACAAATATAAAGTTGGATGATAGAGAGCTGGTTAAGTAAGTATGAATTAGGTTTTACAGAGTGAAGCATGTTCAGCTAGAACAAAGAAGTTGGATGTGCTGAGGTAAAATTGGATAACAACATGAGTTTGGGATATATCCCTCGATGACTTGCACTCGCAGCATGAGAAAATCTTCAGGAATTTCCTAAAGATTGAGTCTAAGATAGATTTCATCCGACACAAGATGGCGCTATGACTCCAGAAGTCATCAGCAGAAATGAGGGATAAGAGAGGCAATATCTACAGAGAATTAAACACCCTGTCAAAGCATTAAAAGATGACAGTGGGCGATAGAGAAAGAAACGTCAAGCAGCAAAAATCATTTACGATTAATCCCTGTCTGAAAATCATTGCAACTTCATCCGATCCCTACACCTAAATGTGTGCTCAGGAGAACAGGCTGCAACGAGTCCTAAGTATGTGTGCTGTGGTCTATAGCTGTGTATGAATACTTGTCTTCATCTGACAGTGACAGCAAATGTCTGCGTGTCTGTTAAAAGTTATTACAAACAATCCTAAAGTGCCAAATGTGAAGCTGATGATGAAGTAAGAGTGACAGCAGGGTCACACTTGGAATGTATCGTGGCATTTTTACTAATTTGTTCTTCATTTCTCACCAGAGAGCTTCCTTCCTGGGTAACATGCAAAACTGAAACAGGAGCTCTGTCCCTATTTTTTTTAAACTACATTCAGTATCCAGCAGCAGATGTGAAGGATTAACTGTGAGTTAAGTTAATGATGTTTTTTTTGCACAGAAATGTTGAGTCATCTGATGAGGAACAGCTCATTTATCAGTAGATTCCCACAAAGTTTCAGCATGCAGGTGATAAAGCTTTTCTCCAACTGAGGATCCACCCTTTATGAACCCTGCCATCAACAGACAGGAGAAATGAACTTTAGGAAACATCGAGTGGCTATGAAAATGGCATGGATGGATGTGTTTTTCTTTTGGTTATAATCTGGTTATGTTTTTTTTTCCAGCATCCTAGGAGCAAAATCTAATTAAAACTTAAAAACCTCAAAACTCAACTGGTGGAAACTGAATGGACACAGGTTTCCAGTACAAATGGCTCATGACTCAATGCTGCCAAAAGTCTCAGATAGAACATCTCATGAAGGCTCTTTTCTTTGTATAAACAGTACGTCAAATGTTTTATTCATAGCTGCAAAGAGTGTGATATTTTTCCTAAGGGGATTGGAAAAGTTTAATCGAGTGGAACCTTGCCAATAAATCAGTTGTACGATTAGTATGATTAAGATTTATAGGTACTAAGACATGTTTAACATGGCAACATGTGTGCTTGTACTGTAGTGACAAGTGTGTTTTTTGACTGTACTGTCCAGATTCATACTCATCAAATTCTCTTGTTAAGCTCATTATAGATGTGCTTCTCTAACATATGGAGTATTAACAGACTCAAAATATCAGTAATCAGTAACCTGAACTAAATCACAACATTTATCAAAAATCAATAAATGTAAGGGAGATCAGTTTTTACCTCACTAACGCTCTGAGAGTAAACAACACAAGCTGTGTTCTAGCTGCTTGCTGAAGTAAAAGTTCACACCAACACAGACCAGGTGGGTGAGGGGGAATACCTGTACATTTATCTTGATTATGAGCCTGGAAACACTCCTAAGTGGTTTCTTTCACCGAGACAACTTCCTCTGAGGTGAATTTATAGGTGCAAACTCTTCAAGTTATAATTATACATATTACAAGTGAAAAGAGGATGTGGGAGTGTTTTACAGGTCTGTGTTTTCTTCCGTGGTCAAAGTGAAGCTTTCTGCCTGAATGAGGATGATCATTTAACTTTCCAGTAAAAAAAGAGATGAACATTACTTACAGGTTTCCCAGGGGGGCCTCTCTCTCCTGGCATTCCGGCTTTGCCCTTTAAAACAAGAATTTTAAAGTAAATTATAAACATTAGCATCCAATGAGGAAATACATATAAAGCGCCACCAAAAGATTCAGTATAAGGCGGTTCAGCTTGGTGCAACAGGATATGCATTTACATATTTGTGTTTTCATTGTTAACAACTGATCTGTGTCATCTTACATTTTTGGCACCCTTCTGTTGTGGTACCAAGCGTAAATTTACCTGTCAAGCCTTCAGACAGGAGCTAGACACACAACAGTGTTTTCATTCATATTCAGGAATGCTTTTGTTTACGCAAAAACACCAGCTGATAGGGACACAGAGATGAATGCAGCAAAGAGGTAGACCACTAAAGAGGAAATATGAACTTCTCTTTTTCATGTCAATTCATAATAAACGTGGTGCACCTGCAGTCAACGTGATTAATGACAACTTTTATTAAACAGTTATTCACAGGCTCAAATAAAGAGCTGTCTGAGTGACTTCAGAATAAAAGTGCTGTGTGGAAGTGAGGGGAGTCCCTCCACAGAAAAAAACACATTAGGGTTTTGCTTTAAAAAGCATACCAGGTGTGCTTAATGTGTAGAGCTGGGCGATATGGCCTCAAATCAATATCATAATATATTGAGCAGTTCACCGCGATAACGAAAAATGGGCGATAACTACTCCATAACCTGCTCACCCCCTCCCTCATTAACTTTTTCTACTTCAGCCGCCGCTCCAGCTGCTACAACTTTTGAACCGTCCTCCATCTCCTCACCTGTCTTTCCCTCTTTGTTACGGACTGGATGGGGTGGAGTCATGTCTCCAACATAGGACAGCGTCTCAAAGGGACATGAGACTATAGCCTACCTACAAACATCCAAAACCAACTTTTATTTATTTATTGTATTGACACTAAATTTACAGATTTTGGCAAAATGACATCGGTTATTGTCGTAAATTTCTGTATCTGTTAATCTTAGGTTTATCACCCAGCCCTAAAGTCAAAAATTCAATACTGAATGGTGATCTATGGCTTACAGGTGGCATCAATACAGCCCTGAACTTAAAATTTTTCTGTTTATTCAGACTTGATATCTGAGTGACTTGAAGAAAACAACAGATGAGCCTTGTATTCTCTAGATTTTCAGACAGTGAGATGAAAGGTGCTGCCCATGCCAGCTGTCTGAACCAACAGCCAACAGGTTACATTTGACTGTGGAAAAGCAAGAACAGCCAGTATTGTACTGAACCAAACTGGACTGTTGTGTGAAAATGCACCAACAACAAACATAACCATCTATCAACATGACAGCAGCCCACCTTGGGTGTTTTTTGCTGGCTTCTTTGTTTACTTCGGACAAACGTACATTACCATCACTTCTTCATTCACATCTGAAGCTGCTTTCTTTAAGTTAGATCATTGTAATGCAAAATTCACATTTAGCCTTTGTACACATCAGCAGATTAAGCTCAGGTTTGCACATTACAGGCCCGCAGCCATTCATAATAACCTCATGTGGGTATAATTTGGCATTAAGGCACAGAGACAAAGGCCAGCACTGCAAAGTAACAAGTGATTAAAGCTTGCATTGAGGCCTGAGGGTGAGACTAATGTTTAAGATGATGTGGTGAAGTCATTTCCATTAGGTCAGTGTGGATCTTCAAAACCATGTGGTGTTAAACAACGTGCTGCAGGATGAAACCTTCTTCTGTGATAATGATGATTATTTAGGCTCAGGATAGAGGAAGGGGAAACAAATAAATGTGCTCTGTCATTTGTAAGAGCCTTCAGCCCTCATCCTTAAACATGTAAGCCATGAAACATTCAAAGCATCTTAACTGTTTAGCAAGAGCATTAAAAATACTTACAATAAATCCTGGCTCTCCTTTTTGCCCGATGTCACCCCTTTCACCCTACAAGGAAAAATGACACATTATAACACTAAAGGCACTAAGTCCTAAATGACTCAAACACAATCACAAAAGTCATGTTAGTAAAGCAGATAAAATGACTGTTACACTGTAGCTTTAACAATGAAATAAATACATATCAGATACAGAAAAACTTGATGATCCCGCTGTCACAGGCATGTGTGGATGTTTTCAGCAGAGTGGTGTGCATGACTACCTTGGTGCCTTCAGGGCCTGGCTCTCCAAGTGGGCCATCTGGACCCCGGGGCCCCTATGTGACAGCAACATGAGACACACCTTTGAACATCACTCAATAAAGAATCATCAGTACAGGAAGACATTAACCATCAAAGCATCATACTAACCTCAGAGAAAACATAATAAACTCAGTAATTAGTCTGTATTCTTCATCTATTTGGGGAATGTCCGCCCCGATGCCGCAGCACACCGCTCCTACATACATTTTAAGTGTTTCTAGGCATTGTGGCACCACCACACAGCCATGGTGGCTGATACAGATCTGTGAATATATCCACAGACCTTTTTTCTTCCTGTTTGCTCTTTAGGGAAGTTTTCCACTTTCAGATTATCTTTCATCCCCATCTTGTCTCCTCTCTTTTATATTTCTACCTTTGATGGATCTTTATCTGCCCCATCTTTGCGTGAGCCCCTGGCTTTCAGCCAGTCCTTCTCAGGTCACTCTGCTCTCTTTAACCTCCCAGGCAGACAACACTGACTTTATCTGTCCCTCCTTTTGTTCCTATCCATGTCTCAACCTTCTTGGAAATCTTTTAATTGAGAAGATTGCTGCACTGAGTTTTTGGAGTGAGCAAAGCTACTGCACCTTGTGTTCAAGATAGGGCTGGGCGATATGGCCTCAAATCAATATCACGATATATTGATCAGTTCACCTCGATAACAATAAACGTACGATAACTACTCCACAAGCTGCTCACCCCCTCCCACATTAACTTTATCTACTTCAGCTGCTACAACTTTTGAACCGTCCTCCATCTCCTCACCTGTCTTTACCTCTTTGTTACAGACTGTATGGGGTGGAGTCATGTCTCCGACGTAGGACAGCATCTTAAAGGAACTTAGGACCATAGCCTGCCTACACACATCCAACAAAACTTTAACATATTCGTTTATTGACACCAAATTTATCGATTTGTGCAAAATGACATTGGTTATTGTCGTAAATTTTGGTATCGATAAATTTTCGGTTTATCACCCAGCCCATTGACATTCGTCAATGTCAAACTGAATCCTTTCAATTCGTAAATCTTAAGTAGTCAAACCACTTATTAAATACAACTGCAGATATTCAAATGCAACACTAGGCTGACAAGATGTTTAGCAAAGGTTCACAGAACAAGGTTAACAAATAGCTACTTTTGGGACACAAGACAGAAAACAGAACATAACAATCCGAAATTAATCTGTTTATTATAAGGGAACTCAAATGATAACATGCAAAAGTAACCTTGAAGGCAAGACCTGAAAGATTCAAAGGAGGGGGCAGACCTGATTAAAGGTGGAGGGCAGAGGGGCGTCAACGGCAAACAAGAGCAGTCAACTTAAGGTTTAAACTAGATTGAGACTGCCAGGAAGCCTGTGTCAGAGGTTGCATAAAGGCTTAGGAGGTAAGTTAGAGGTAGACAGAAGAGGGCCAGGTCATTTAAGGCTTTACAGACGAATAGCATAACCTTTAAGCCAGAGTCAAAAGTCAATCCTGAAGCTAACTGGAAACCAGTGAACAGAAGCAAGGATGGGACTGATGTGATCCCCTTTCCTGGAACTAGTCAGAACCCTCGCTGATGTATTTTGGACCATCTGCAAGTGGGGCAGGGGAGACTGGCTCGTATCCTGGTGTGCAGGGAATTACAGAAACCTGACCAGAAAGACTTCTTTGACTCGTTAAAAGAAAGGATGGTTTTCACTTTGTAATGGCTCTGAGCTGGAAGAAGCTGTAAGAACTATATTTCACTTTCTATTTAAGATTATCAACTCAGAAACTTATTATCTAAAGATGTATTTGTGTGTAATTATCCTTTACATTTTGCTTTACAGTGGTAGCAAAAATTTCCAAGTCCCAACTATGTTTCCTACACAATGGACTCACATAGAACGCTCATTTATATTCAGGTAAATTTTTGTTCAACATTGCTCCAGCCTTTACAACAACCTCATCTAACAAGGGAAAGACATGACTTTGATTTAAAGAGAAGATTTTAAGGTTCTCACTGATCCTTACACCTAAGCAAGGCAGGAAATATAACCACAAACTGATACTTGTGGGTTTACAGTAAACAAGACATGCCGCGGCATGTTAAGTGCAGCCATATGCGTTTCTTGGCAAATTATCCAACCGGGGGAGAAGTAACAAGGCAGAGGATAAAAGGAAGTGAAGTGGAGAGGATTAATGAAGTGTGTGAAGGTAGTCTGTGGTAGGTTGTACTCATTTGGCTCTTGTGAGTTTTTCTGTGTTTTCTCGCATTTGCTGAAATAGGCAAATACTTGGTCAGAGAGATTTAGCCATGGCCCTGTTAGAGAGTCTAAGACAGAAGTGACGCAAAAGCCAATTCTTTATTAAAAGTTAATTAAGGCCAAAACTAAAAGGACCTCCCAGAATGATGCTACTCAACAGCAGTTTGGAGGATCCTGCCAACCTTGAACCTCTTCACTGTTACTTTGGGACCTGAACACAGCGCTGAAGGAGATGCTGTACAGAGAAGAGTCAGAAACTTCTTTTGTTTCAGATGAAACCTAACTGGCATGAAATCAATGAAAACTTGGCGATAATCAATTAATTTCATCGTAATATTTGAGGACAGTGAATATGATTGTTGAGAAAGATTGATATCCAGATACTGATCTTCACAAAATGTATCTTTGGCTTTGCTTTTTGATGACATCTTTTGGCCACTGTGTGTCCCTGTCAGGATTCAGACCTAAAGACCAAACTTTGTGTAATTTCTGCCAGTGGGGAATAAGGGTTTGATTTCAGCGTTTGTGTTCCAAACACAACATTTACTCCTTTGTTTTTTTACAATAAACCCTCATTATCTAAATCAAAACAAAACTCTGAATTATTCTACTGCCCAAATGAAACAGAAGACCAAAACACAGTTGATATAAGATGTCAAAATCTGTTTTCCTCTTCGTTAAGTAAAACACACAGATTAATTTGGGGCAGAAGTTGCTCCGTCCACAGAGATATGGTTGATAAAACTGTCTTTTCCTTTTATTTCTTAACTGCATTATCGACATAATGTACCTCTGTTTTTGCTAAAGCTCCATGGGGCCTACCATCCTACATCTGCCATCATGAATCTATCCTTGCTTCTTTAGCAAGAGGTGTCATTCTCTTCTCAACCACACGGTGTCTCACCAGTATTACCACACCATATCCATGTTCACAGAACCATAACATCTTCCACTATGAGAGTTGTGGGCCTTATGAAACAGACGACTGGTCCAAGTGGAAGGACAAACACATCTTCGTATTTGCTCTGACCTTCGGTTTATGAGAGTGGAGCTGTGATGTGAACCAGACAACCAAATCCCTGATAAGTGAACTTTTCATGATCACTTTTGAGTCACAGTAGGTTCAGGGTCTTGATAAAGATAAAGAGACAGCTCTTACCCTTCTGCCTTTTGGTCCAGCAATGCCTGGAATGCCTCTCTGCCCCTGTGGACCCTGTTTGAAAACATGAGACAAAACAAGTAAGAAAACAAAACGACAGAAGTGAGACACCCTGGTTGGAAAAACGAGGTAGGATTAAGAAAGGTTTTCATTGTTTCTTCTGCATGATACAGACCAGACCAGACGGTGAGAACACTTGGCAAACTAAACAGAGCAAGACCTGTCACTGCATCTTTTCACCCACATCAACACCTGTCATGTAAACTTAATGGATGTAGTTAAGCAGAACTACTGGAGAATCAGGCAGTGAAGAGAGACTGTTTACACAGGTCCAGACTAAGTTGTGGGAACAGGAAAACTGATACACCAAATCAAACCTCTTTAATTTTTATGTGTTTATAGCAAAGGGAACATTCCCCTAAATCAGTTTTAGAGTCCAAGTCAATCTTGCAATTTAAGCGTTTATAATACCCAGCCAAGACACTGAGTAGAGAGGATGGGAGTCAATGCAACCAAGCTTCTCAGTCCATTAAGCACTGATTTGTGTGTGACTCAATCGGAAATGCAGAGAAAGCAAAAGACAAGAAAGCAAAGACAGCAGAAAATAGGAATATGGGTACACAGGATGGTTAAGGATTAAATGTTATTTAAATAAAAGGTAAAAAACAAACATTCAAATAAAGATATTTGATTGAAAGAATCACGATTTTGAATGACAAGGTGATGAGGTCTTGACACTTACAGGTGCACCTTGCATGCCGATGTCCCCTGGACTTCCTGGTAACCCCGGGTAACCCTTGAACCAAAACAGAAACAGAGAACATTTTATTTTAAAGAGCAGCCAAGAAACCGTGTCATCTTTTTGAAGGCATCTGCTTCATGTCAAGTTAAAGCTGCTATCATACAGATTATACAAGCTGCATAACATCTGAGTTTCCGATTTTTAAAAATGGCAAGTGGAGCAATAAAATAGCAAAACTACAAGGCTGTGCAATAAAGATGATTACATGTGTGACTGAAAGGATCACGACTGTTTATAAACTGTTTCATCTTAAGTTTACTGAGAAATTTCTCCAGACCCTTAAAGAAGATAAATTAATCCTTTAAACCTATTTTTTTAATCAGAAACAGAACTTCACCCGATTATCATTTGGATCTTTGTGAAACAGCCCAGAAAACTGCAGCTCCTTGCTAATGTGGCTAAAGCGTAACTCTTCACAATTCCTTACATAAGTCAAAAAAAAAATCACCCTCAGAGTCGAACATGCTCTCAAACTAGAACTGATCCCATCATTTAACTATTTAGTCATCCAGCCACCAAATTCGTCATTCTTTCCTCCAGCCGGCCAATCAGACAGTCTGCTAGTCAGTCTGCAAGCCAGATAGGTCAGGACTTGGGCCCAAAGCCACAGGCATGGAGATCGTCCAAGGCCCAGGACAGTGAGAGCTGCAGGCCAAACAGGGATGGGACTCACGAACGATTCCATTTAGAAACAGGTCCAAGTAGTCCAATCGATCACATCTGTACACTCCTGAGCCCCTTTATTTCTGTCATTAATACATACAGTTTTTGCCATTTGAGCACATTAATCAAAGCTGCTTCAAACTTACAAAAGGAAGCAACCATGGCACAAGAAAAAAAAGCCATATGTAATGTCTAAAAAATGATAATTGCAAAAAGGGAGGTAACACCAGTCATATGCTGAAACGTCTTTCTATGGAAAACGAGCAGACATTCCAGGAATACCATGTATTTGACACTCTATGCACGAGAGCCAAAGCTTCCCAAAGAAGCAGCATGTCTGTAACCAGGGCAAATATCCAGCCTTATAATAACAGTAGGGCCGTGCAACCTGTTCCAAATTCAACAGCTGTAAAACAGTGGAGCTTTTGCACACTCAAGTAACATGCACAAAGTCTGCTCTGCTCTGCTAGACTTCTACAGTATCTTTAACTGAATACAGTTTAAGGAACATTATTGTAAAAACCCACAAGCCCGCAAATTTTACTCACACAAAAGTTATTTGAAGTTATTTGGTGAGATTCAGACCAATTGTCCTCATGACCACATTTGCACACATTATTAAGTGAAACTTGATCACACCACATGGACCACAGAACAGCTTGTGTGATTTTCATTCTGTAGTAGTGTCAGTGAGCATTGAACTCCTTCAGCGAATGATATTTTCAGCCTTAGTGTGCTTGAAAGAGATGCTTGCAAGATGTGGTCCCCGAAGTAACAGTCTATTCGGGATCATTTATATTTTTAATGCAACACAAAACCTCTGAATTACTCAATATCTAGATGAGCAAAAGTACAATTTCCAACGTTTTGACAAAGCTGAGCTTAACATTACATTTTGTTTACCATTAGATGAAAATAAGGGTGATATGGTAACTAAAATTTAGCTTTGCTCCAGGAACTTTGATTGGGGTGTACTCAGTTTTGCATCCTGATTTCAAATAGAAAAAATAATACTTTTTTGTATGCAACTTTAAAAATCTTGTTTGCAATCATTGGCCTACCTTCAGGGGAGTATTTTGTTGTACAGAAAAATGTTGATTTTGAAAAGAAACTAAAGGTTTTCTGACAGCTGTGAAGGGGTGTACTCATTTATGCTGAGCACTGTATCAGGTCTCACATTGTGAAACCACAAAAGTGGACTTGATGGAATTATTTACCACTGGAGACCTTCCCTGTCACAAGGTGATGGAGGGAGTGATTCATTCAGGTCAATTACTACCAAATACCAAAACAGCAGTGTTTCAGTCTTTAAGGTTTAGTTTTAGTTGACAGCTTTCCTCAAATGTTTGCACATGAGTAACATGTATTAAAGTTTGAGTTTATTAATGAGGCTTTTTGGAGCCAGAGTTATATCATCTACTCTGTATGAACACAAATCTTTGCCTCCAACGGTTGCAGCAGCCTCATGTATAGTTTTTGGGCTTGTGAGGATCTACATGATTACTCAAACAGTTTCCTCTTCGCTTTGCTTTCACCTAGTTCTCATCTATCTTCTGTTTCATAACCACAATTTCACCAAACATCTGCTACAAGGTTCATCAGTGCCTCCGGTGGATAAGCTCTGTGTACCACCATGATTGTCACAAGGACAGGTTTAAATCAAAATTTTTACCTCAATTTTGTGAATCAACATCTTATTATTAACATGAAAATCGATTATTTTTTTATTTACAGAAGGGAGACATCACTGACAGAGAACAAAGACTTCAAACTGCCCTTTGGCATTCCCAAAATAGGAAAGAAAAAAAGACTCTCTCAGTCCCTGTCCTCAACATTGCTGTGGGAAAACCAATTTGCCATGGTTGAATTTTGCACAGATCCACAAAAATAAAATACTGAGGAGTCTGGAAGCCTTTAGGTCTATTGAGTCTGCTTTCATTTCCATGAGCTAAACCTCGTTAGTTTTACTCCTCGGTAACATCTGCTAATTTTTACAGCCAGAACTGCTTCACTGCAGTTGGTTTAAATCAATCCTCCTCTGTTATTAGTTTACTGAACAAAAAAACTCAACCTCTAGTGGGCAGCAGGAGCGAGTCGAGAGTTTACCAACTCTCAATTCAAAAGCAGAGCTCTGCAGGGGTTCCTATGGGACGTTACTTACCCTTGGCCCCTTCTCCCCAACTGGACCTGTTGGACCCGCTGGTCCTCTGTCACCCTGGGGAAAAACAGCAGAGAAAGAGAGAGAGAGAAAGAGAGAGGGGGAGAGAGTCTGTTCACTATGACCTGAAACTTGAAAACAGAATAAAGGCATCACAGCTTCTCAGACTTTTTCTAATAAAGAGCAATGAAACTTGAGAGCAGCTTTTTAAAACAGAAGGTTGGAGTGACAGCTGCTTGAGTGGTGAGGAGATGCTTTGAAACCCAGTTGGTGGTACTCTGAGTAGTGTGTTAAAACCCTAGGTAACTCCAGGTGAGCAACAAAACCCCTCGAAAAACTCGTGTCAGTAAAACTCTACCTTTCTCAAACTGCATTTTACATTCACGACTGTGCAGGTACCTGTTGAGTATTTCTGTAATCTTAAATCAGATAGTGAGCATGGTAGTCTGTAACCTCTCTCTATGGGAAACACAAATCTAAATTTATCAGTCTATAATGTGAAAGGTATTTGTGGGCTGTCAGGGTATGGCTGGTGCTGACAGAGCAAAGCGGGAGGAGGCAGAGGAGAAGCGAGAGTCTGACAAGCAGACGGCTTCCCATCACGAGAAACATGTTCTGACACACAGGGGGCGTCTGGAGAGGAATGAAAGAAGAACAGGTCTGCTGCATTCAGAGGGGAGGAACAATGGCGAGAGGTTGCAGACAAGAGGGCTGTAATGTGTTGACTGCTAATAATCATTTCACTTAAGGTTGCAGAGTTGACTTTTAATAATTACCTCTTCAGCCAAGAAGCAAATGGGTGATAAAGACAAGGAGAGCCTGGGGCCTCTCTAGACTGCATCATGAATATTATGACACCTGAGTCATTCTATGCCTTAGCACATGTTATTAAAGTGTGCAAGGGAACAATTTTATAACATGTCAACAGTATGATATAGATGATATAGCATGTGACTAATGTCTAAAACATACAGTAGGGCAGTTAATAAATACTATAAACGAATTTTTGTAAGCTTTTCAATGGATATTTTTTTCACCTAAAAATTGCTGCTTCATCCCAGAGGTGTAAGGGTGATTAGTATCAATCCTGGTGTGGCTTTTACTATATTGTTATTGATTTGGATGTAAGAGTGCTGAGCACCTATCTAAGCATGTGTTTTAGGGCCTCAAGCCATGGCTGCTTAAGACAGCACAAATTACAGGGGTCGGCAACTGACAAGCAACCAACTGATGCTGAATGACAGGCTAATGATAGAGAAACACACGCCTTACCTTTTCACCCGGAACTCCCATCACCCCAGCTATCCCGATCAGGCCCACTGGACCCTGGGGAGGAGGGGAGAAGAGAAAGTGAGTGAAAAGACTGGAGTTGAGCGAGGAGGGAAAGAAGTATTGATGGATAAACACAACAGAACAGAGTGTCAGTGTGTGGAACTCATCCTCATTCAATCCTGTTACACAAGAGGCTACAGATAACTGCGGCAAGAGTAGACTAAAGATGACCCCTAAAGACCATATTTCAAATACTGCTATCAAAATAACATCTTGATATTTATTATTGGATAATGTATATTTTGATATTTAAGGATTGTCTTTGATTTTTTAAGTGGGACAAGATGTTAAACTGACTTATACTTCAATAAAACATTGTAAAAGGAAGAAAACAAAAAGTCAGATACCACATAGTTGAGTAGTCCCATACAAGCTCACAGATCTCCAATAAAAAAGTTGGGTTGTTGAGTAAAATACAAACACAAACATATTTTATTGGTTTGCAAATCATTTGTGCTCATTTTAAATCTAAGGCCAGCAACACCATTCAAAAACACTGGCAACAAAACACTGAAAAAGTCATGTAATGCTAAAACGATACCTGAGGGTGACATATCTCACCTACTGGGTTAGATTGCAGCAGGTAATCACATGACTGGGTCTAAAAATGGTGCTCTGGAGAGGCGGAGTCTATAGACCATGGCCTACCTACACACATCCAAAAATAACTTTTATTTGTTTATTTATTTGACACTTGTACCAATCCGGGCAAAACGACGCTGGTTGTTCACGTAAATTTCGGCATCAGTAAATTTTCGGTTTATCGCCCAGCCCTACATAAGAATCAAAAAAAAGATTCAGAGAATCCAGCGAAATTTCTGTACACAAGAGACAAAGCCAAAAACCAATACTAAATGGTGATCTATGGCTTGATGCTTACTGCATCAAAAACATGAAAGACTGTAGTAGAAATCACTGCATTGCTCAACATCACAACAAAAACTTGAACTCTGAGAATACATACTAGAGTCCTATTTCAAGGGGGATGTTAGCAAACATGCCCCTGTCCAATTTTTTTTTAAATGCACAGCAGAAATCACATTAAAAATTAAAATGTATTTAGCATGAAACAATAAATTTTTTTCAGTTTCAATGTCTGATCACATGTCACGAAGTTGTCTTTGCACTATTTTCAATTAAATACAGTGTTTAAGTAATTTTTAACACCATTAAAATCTGCTTTCTGTAACATTTTACACAGGGATCTCAGCATATTTAGAGGTCAGGTCCTATCTATTTAATTTTTGTTCATAAAATCCATGTGAAATCTATAATCCAGGGTAAATTAAAAAAATTATTTTCCGCCAGAAAAACATTGTAGCCTTAAATGTTTTTACAGCATTTGTGAGTCTTGGAACTGAATTACGTCATCTGGAGAAAATAAAGCAGGAACACGATTTTTGGGGCACAAAAGCAATGATTGGAACTTATCTGAGGAAAGGCGATTTTACAGTGAGCACTAACTTAATACATATGGCCTCAAAAAAGATAATCACCATGTAGCAAAGAGGTCCACAGTACAGAGCACAAGCCTATGTAAATATGAGACTTATCGGAGAAGCTTAACCACTTCCAGATCAGTTGTCTAGGACAGGGGCTGTGGTTTGGACCAGTGCCAGCTTTTCTACTAGACAATCCACACCCATGGTGGGGCTTGTGGGTGGCTAGGAATATACTCTTACGATGACTTTACATTTTGAGACACTGTAATTATGTTTATATTTGTAAAAGAATGATAGAAACTCTGAAGTAGAGTGTTAAAAGTCTGAAAAGTGAAGTGACACAGGCCATATAGCAACGTACACTTATCGCACTCAGGACCAAAGCCACAATAGCGCCTGTATAGCAGTACAGCACTTTGCAGCAAGCCACCAGGACACTGTAAAATGCAAGAATATACGCTCTGACCTAAATCACTGTGCTGTAATAATTCATGAGACTGCCCAACTGTAGACCACGGTCTTGTTTCTGGCTGACCACAAAAGCCAGTGTGGTCAGTCTGCGGCTGTCGCTGGTTGTGAGGGATAATTTCAGCTCTGTTTCCTCACTGCAGTATCATACATTCACATTTTTAGCAGGTTTAAGATTCTATATGACGGCTACTCTGTCTTCCAGCACATAATCACTACGTTTATAACCTAGTATTTCCTTTTATTTCTGTGTAATCTTCTTCTACATCACACTGGCATACCAGAAAAGGGACTAAACAAGACCAAGACAGTGAGAGAACGACAACCACAGGTAAAAATGTAATCTAACACAAGGACCAAAGAAGTGAGGTTAGGTAACAGACATGAAACAAACCAGTGAGATAAACACAGCAAGATTTTGTTCCACACAACATTCCCTTATTCAACAAAACAACCTCAGTGTTTTTGTGTATCATCACCTTAAAGGTATTATCCTGTTGGATGCAAGTTAGGCATTAGAGTGAAGGATTAGAAGCAAAGTGTCTGTGAGGGAAGCAGCCTGCAGGCATGGGAACAGGAGCTTTAAATTGACCTCAAATCCTTTAATTGGGACAAGAAGTGGGACAATGTGGTACCCCCTATCATCTAGCACAGGGAAATGGTTTAAAAGTGGTTTCCATGTGACAGGGGGAGCATGACATGGGAGCTCTTAGCAAACCGTTTCAAGGGAGATCTGGTTTCCCAAACAAAGCTGGGGTTACAGAAGTAGAGGTACACCCATTAACCGTACAGTTCGAAAGACAAGTCATATATTAAAGAGCATTAAGGCCCTCTCTTAGACATGCACATATACTGTAAGTTGAGTCGCTGGCATAAAAATCAAAGCATAAAGTTGACATGTGAGCCACATATCATGCACACCTGCGGCTGCCTTTGGTAATTGCAGACTGCTCCATGTTTTATTAGTCATGGACTGCGGGGGTGAACACCCAGCAGCAGATCTTAATTGGCTTAACTATACCACACTGTAAAAACTTCCAGTAAAATTTCACTTGAAACACTTTACAGGAGGCTTTTGTGGTGATAAAAGGGTGTTCAGGAAAAGACAGGCAGACCCCGGGTTAACCTGCACAACTCCACAACAGTCTTTCCCAGTTTTTCACACAACTAATTTATTTGGAAAGTGATGTAATGGCACTCATTAGAGCCTCCATATGTTTTAAAGTTGTTTTTTCTCTCTCTCTCTGCATAGCCCCGTGGCTCCTCCCAGGCTTCAAAGGTCCCTCTACACAGTTTGTGCTTAATCCCTCTCATATGTGTGCTGCAGAAACACAGTCCAAAGCGGCCCGCTTGGTTGCCTTCACTTTGCGCAGAATGCAAATATTAACATTAAGGGGCCTCTGGAAAGGACAGACATACTTTGGATGTCCAGAGAGTTTTGTGCATTTGAGGATTTTGCAAAAGGAGAAGCACGCCTTGACAGTTATCAGGAGTATTTGTGTTAGGTATGGAGCATTGATAGTGTATGAAATGGAAAAGGCAGCGAGTGAAACTAGATTTACAAACAATCTGAAAACAGATTATTAAACTTTCACAACATGCAGATGATACGTTGGAAAAAACAGATATCAAACACTTCTGCAGACTCATGTGTAACCCAAACAAGGTGACTTCCACAGAAGGTCTCTGATTAGTACCCCTTCTGTTCGACTTTGGTGTTCTGCCAAACTTATGATGTCAAAACAGTATTTTGTGCTGGGAGAGGATCCAAATTGTCTTAACATTGAAAGTGGGTCAGGGAAACAGCAAGAGACCAGGAAATACTTCCATCATGTCCTTCAACATTGCTTCGCTATAGCGGATTTTATTCAAATTCATTCATGGTGTACTGCATCAAAACATACAGGGTAAATCAACTCTCACTGTGAATGTTAAAAAAGACAGGAACTGAAGCTAGTAAAAGCTGCAGAAAAGGCTTCATATTAACACCCATAAAGAGGGTTTAATGAAAAGCTACTTTGGCAGAGCGGGGAGTCTGTTCATTAATGTCAGTGCTGTACTTAACAAGTGTGAAAGCAACTTACTTGTGGTCCAATTTTTCCAACGTTTCCTATGTCCCCTTTCTCCCCCTGCAAGGAGAACACATCAAACAGTGAGCTGGTGAGCTTCCTGTGGTTCAAAAGACGTCTGTCACCATCTTTCCTGCTGCTGCTGGCCCAGGACTCAGGATATTACAAGTGTTAAAAGGAACACATACTCTTCTGGAAATAGTTTTGTATTGCTCCTTATTGGTTTGCTGATACATGCGATGAAAGCATTTGGGAGAAGATTTTCTCCCTCCTAATTAAGAGCATGTGTATAACACAGTCAGTCTCGGCTTACACTAAAGTGGGTCACAAATGTGGAGACGCTGGAACTCGGAGATAAGGAAGATGTATAACCTAAAATTACTGATATCTTGAACACACGATAGCTTTATCATGTCAAATGTTATGATGGCAAAACACTATTATGCTACAGACCAGATTAGGAATGTTTCATTTGCCCAAAATAAACCTAAATCTATAAAATTACAGTATAAGTACTCAAAAGTAGTCAGTTCTTGCTGAAGCTAATGTGAGGAGCCTTCAGTTTCAGTTGGTTTTGGAGAGCCCCTGCTACAAAGTGGTACATCGCATTACTGTTAGCTGATATCAAATAGTTTGTCCTATCAATGTTTTACATAGAGGTGTACAGGAAAAAGTTACCGTATTTTTCGCATTTCGGATTATAAAGCGCATTAAGCCAAACAAAACAGTCAGATAAGTCAAACTTAACTGAACTCATTCAATAACTCCGCGAGGCTACGGTAGCTGCAGTGCTCCGACAAGCCAAAAGGATTTTAAGTGTGCCGTATAGTGCGAAAAATACGGTATAAAAAATACAAACTGTGATGCACACAAGAGAAAGCAGACACATAAAAATGCACTCCACTTTCAGCTCATATCAAAGACTAAAAATACGTCTTTTTGGTTTGGAGTAAAAACTAACAGTTCACTCATTATGTCTTTAAAACTGTCTTGGCAAGAAAAAATCCTTACTTTAAATAAAATTTTGAACACATGTTGAAGGAAGAAACTATAATCGTAGGGGAAAAAAAGAGCTTAACTCATTCCTTGTCAAAGAAAGAAAACAAGACCAGACAAAGTAAAGACACTGTGCTGCATACCTGAGTCACTCCGGGATCTAAGGATATTTTTGTTTTAAATATCATCATTGTGTATGAAGTACTGTAAATGTAGAGTTACAGGGCAGTATCTAAGTACAGTTTAGTGACTATAAAAAAGAAGGATCTCACCTGTAGGCCTTCAGGACCAGGTTCACCTACGTAGCCTTTTCTTCCAGGTCTCCCCTAAAAGACAAGAAAGAGAGAATGACTTAAAGATACCAAAGCTCATAATCTCTTATTACTCATTTTTTATTTGTGTTTGTTTCTCTGTTACTCTTACAGTAGGGCCTGCACTGCCGGGTGGGCCGAGCGGTCCTTCATCACCCTGCAAAAGACAGCAGAATTCATCGAACACAAACACTGAAACATTCAAGCACATATCATCTCTAACATAAACACAATACAGTCTTTTCTCAGTGAAAGTAGAAATCTATGAGGGGGTCACCCACAGGATTGTTTAATGACAACAACAAAGCTACAAATAAAAGCAGAGGAGGGTACATTAGCCAAATACACCTTTGAAGTACTGTATCACTCAGCACAAATCAAAGCATGCATGAGTGTTATTTACACCCCTGAAAAGCTTCAGTTCCTTTCTTCACAGCTGGAAAACATCCAAGCTTGTTTTTACAAGCACCCAAAGATGAATCATGACTTCACCTACCTACTGGAACATGCCCCGAGTAATATCACAGTGAAAAAAAGAAAACTCCTGTGATCTAAGCTGCAACTGCTTGAGATGTGGCTACATGCTAAACGAGAAGTATTGCCTCAGACTAATGATCCAATGGAAATCCCTTTGATGAGCCATACTTTCCACTTTTCTGTATCAGTGAGACAAGAACCAAACAAACGGAGAGACTTCAGATAGCTGCAGAAGTGTCTTACCTGTGTTCCTTGTGGACCTGGTGGGCCTTGTGGTCCTCTGGCACCCTGCAATCCCTGAAAAAAAAGCCAAAGATATGATAAGATTGGATGAATTTAATGAATGGAAAGATAAGCAAAAAGATGCTTTCATACCTTTAGCCCAGGTGGACCGTTGGGTCCAGGTACCCCAATGTCCCCAGGAAACCCCTTTCAAGAAAAGCAGAAATAAGAGAAACATTAGTCTTCCTTGTTATGACTCACATACGAAACATTGAGCTTTACCCCACACATGTCTAGTGCATCTCTGCATGCACTGATTGAACTGCATTCATAAAATCAAGTAATAAGCATCTTGATAGTTTGTTTGGTGTAAAATGGAAAGTCATCTTTGAAAACTGTGGAAGAATCTGAGTCAGACAGACACCGGGGTGGAGCCTCTTCAAGAGTAAGCTGTAGAGGCAGGTATGCAGAAAAACTGATGTAAACTTAGTGATGGACAACCACCAAAAACAACGAGAGAAGCTAAATGCCTTCCAGCACACCTGCCACTGCAGGCTCACTCATCTCAGTGAAAGATGGCTGTTTGCTGTGACCTTCTACACGTGATCTATGAGCATTTTGAGGACTGCTAAGTGCAGCAGAACTGACACCGACCAGGTTTTTCAAAGACGAAGCAGAATCTATACTGACCTCTTTGACAAGGTTAAGTGTTCTGCATCCACTGCAGAACAGTGCCATAGGCAATGCCAACAAGGCGAATGATGGATGTTGTTTTGATGCACATTGTGGGTGTGGAGCTACTGACAGACGAGACTGCACTCACTTTTGCTCATACTCTATCAGTGTACTGACAAAACAGTCTTCACTCTCTAACAGCAACAAAATCAGACCTCTAGTCACAGTATAGAACAGCTGGATTAATAGTTTGATTTTGTAGCTTATTTAATGTCAAAGTTAAATTTTTGATGTAAAGGACTAACTGTCTCCAAACACCAAACGTGAGTAAAATCATTCGCGCGACTGAATTACATGATAAGTTCATGCAAAGACGCGATTAGACGCTCCTACAACAACTCTGGGGACGCGAATGAATTGGGAGAGAGCTGAAAATGTCTTAACTTGAGCGAATAGTCGTGTCGCGTCAACCAATCAGCACGAAGGCTGCCAGGTGACGTATGAAATTGGACGGTTGTTCACTGGTATCTAAAATGGAGAACTGGTGCCCCGAATTATATGATACCTTTTCTTTCGATTGCCGAAACCGGAATAAAAAGGAGCTCGCCTGGAGGCAATCGCGCGAATGAAGCGTGTTGATGATTTTACTTGCCCTTGGTGTGAAAACCCCATAAAAGCAAGAAAGGTCATAAGATTATCACAAGGTCATCAGATAACGAAGACATTGTCTGGAAAATGTCATCTTGTGAAGTGAGCGATGGCAAAAGAAGAATAGGTCAAGGAGTCAACCAAAATACTGATCCTCTGGTGTCAAAATAAAAACGACCAATAAGCAAATCTAATTGTTTAATATTCTCAGTTCAGAACATGACCTGATGGTTGTGACGACGTAAAGCTGGAAGAATGTTAAAATAAAGGAGCCGTTATGATGATCTGCAGCATCCTCACAGACTTCTCATGGTCAGGGAGAATTTTATTAACTTTTTCTCTGCGCAGTAAATGTATATAAACAGGAAATTCCAAGGTAATCCCTCCATTAATTTCAAGACATCCTGTCAAGGATCAAAGCAGAGTGGATCAAGTACCTCAGGTAACCCACAGAAATATGTGCAATGAGGAACAAATGATCTAACCACATGTGGGCAGTTGGTTAAAACAAATATAGATGTTTTTCAAAAGAATTCTCATGAAGCTTTTTTTTCCTGTGCTCTATCTCTTAACCTAGATTGTACAACCTGAAAAGCCACCAGGATTTCATCAATTGTGAAGCCACATGATTTTGGAGGTTCTTATTAGGGTTATTTGGTTCCAGGTCAGAAGTGTATTATTTTTAATTTTATCAAAAATAATAATAATAATAAAAACAATTGACTGTAATTTTATTCTCAAAACCCCTGTCACTGACTTGTTTTTTGACCGACCTACAGATTTATTGAAAAATAATTTGCTTTTATTCATATGGTAACAATGATATAGTTCATACTGGGTTCTCCATATGTGCTGCGATGTAATTAAAGTACTAACATGATGTTATCTATCTGTCCTTGTTATAAATAGTCAGCAGAACCTGCAGCCATAACCTGAATGTAAGAAAATCTGCATTTTTAACTACCTGCTACTTTAACTACTCTTAGATCATCATGCATCATTACCGTCTTTATGTGACCATAATCATGAGCGGGTGTGTTATTAAAGAGGCCTTGATCTGGCTGTGGGCCAACCACATTACACACTCTACTAGTGAAGTAAAGATACAGCAGGATGATGACATTTCCAGCTTTTATTGCTGTGTCTGTGTTTGAGCTGGCTTATATTCAAAGATTTTTTCCACCATCTTCCCCAGTTGATGCATACTGATAGATTTAAGTTTAGAGGTTTAAGTTCTTGGAGGTTTTTAATCATAAACTGTAAATCTCTGTTTACATTGTGTGATATGTCTTGCATTCTTTAAGGACTGGGATCAAATAAATGATATACGATCAATAATTATTCATTAATTTATGGGTCATACCTCTGGTCCAGGGGGCCCAGGTGGTCCTTGTATCCCAATATCCCCAATTTTACCCTGTGAAAGAAAAGAAAAAGAAAAAGAAAAAGAAAAAGAAAAGGAAAACACAGTTAAACAAAGTGGTCCAACGTTACGTTATCAATACCCTTCTTGTTAACTGGACATGGTGTAAAGTGTGGGCATTTCATTTGCCGTCTTTGGAGCTCTAATAAGACGTGTTTATTTACATGATGAAGAATGAAATATTGGAAGTTCACATCACATAATTGTCCGACAAATATTCTCTTTTCCAATTTTCCAATTGAACATGAGTCATGACTCTCAAAATGGAAAATCTTATAAATCTCTCACAGTTAAACATGGCAGCCCAACAAATCAGGACTATTGGAGTAAAGGTTTCTAGCTGCTTAGAGAAAATCTGTAAATCTTTTGCAGTAGCAAGTTCTTTCAACTTTTTTTTCTTTTCCACAAATGAAGAAGTTGGTCCTGTCTTTCTAACGTCCATAGTTTACATCTCACGTGCACTACTGTTGCCATAGCTGCATTTGTTTTGCCTCCTTCTTCAGTCAGCTTGTGTCCCAATTGGCTATTGTTCCCACATAAAAATCCACTGACTTTCCAGCTTTCTTCAGGATTCCCACACACAATTGAACTTCTGATTGTTAGTGCTGAACAATTAATATTTATTATTTCAAGTCAAGGCAGCTCAGTTTGTCAGGGGAGTAAAATCCTTCCTAAAACACTCCACATCACAGGATTATCATTTTATGAAAAGTCACATGATTGGGCCTTTGTTGACTTGAATAGTAAAGACGGCCCAAGCTTAGAGCCCTCCTGGTTTTGTTGTGATGTGTACTCCACTTGAACCGCAGAAACAGCTGATACTGCATATAAACTCTAACTCTGTAACACGAAAGCATGTGGATCAGTTTACAGTGTATCCACGTTATCTAAAAAGGGACTTTACAATGCTTTTTCCTCTCAGCTTAATCCTAAACTTGCTTTTGTTGTTTCAGGGCACTCTGTCTATATCTTTCTTACTACACTGGAGCTCAATAAAAGCTGAAGTGATATGGATGTGACCGACCTGACTTTAGTTTACAAGCTGATAAAAACGTTCCAGATCTGCATTGTGGTACACTGCGTTTAGTTGGCTTCATCTATAAAAGCTGTACAGACCCTTGTAAAGCTGTAACGCACACACACACACTAACACACACACAAATACAGAAACACATGCAGACACCTTACACCTTTGCTGTGTTATACACACTCACACGAACATACCGGTGGTCCTGGCTTCCCTCTTGGCCCAGTAGGACCAGGAGCACCAGCAGCTCCCTGAAAGACACAGACATAAAACTCTGAAACTGTTCTAATAATCTGTTTGTGTGTGTTTGCTATAACTCATTTTTATATGAATATGTGCATGTCTGGATGTACGTATGCGCACAAACCCTCATTCACAGGGGAAAACTATTATGTGATGACTTCATGCGAAAAGTGAAGCTACATCTGCGTTTATTCAAAGCCACACATTTCTAATTTGTGAAAAGTATCGATAAATCTTTTCCTGATTTATGAAAAACAAATGTTACTAGACGGCTCAAACTATTGTCCAATTATTTATAAAAGTAGGGGGTAAAAAAGATCACTTATTAACATTTAATATCCAGTGACATTCGTTCTTAATAAAGCTTCGGTATCTTGTTGATTTTTATTAAAGTGGAGTCATGCTTTCTGCTCATGTGATGGAGGACATACCTTGTCGCCTTGGTAACCCATGTCTCCTGGATCGCCCCTTTGTCCCACTTCACCCTGAATTTCACAGCATCATACAGAGATATAACAAAACACTGCCCCGCTAGAATGATTACAAAACTACCACAATTAAAAACACATTGTAGACAAAAGCATGTACACAAAAGTATTATGCAAAGTTTATGTAATAATGCAGCAACATATGGGAACTGTAAAAGTACAGCGCTATAAATACAATACACTGACAGACTGTCATGTGCAGCAAATACGCATCATAAACATTTAAATTAATGGGATGGTAAAGTTGAGTTCATGTTGCGGTTTATGTAATTTACAGTTTATGACAACAGACTCCCTCGTAACATGTCAAAATTTTGGGTGAGGCAACTGACACATTACACACAGACACACTGCAATAATATAAATATTTAGATCACCTTATCACCTTTCAATCCAGGCAGGCCAGCTCGTCCTCCTGGGCCCTGCCACAGCAAGAGAAAAAGAAGAGAGACATGGAATTCAGTCAGTCAGGGAGGAGAAATAAAAAAATATTATAAGGCAATGGAGGAAACAGTAGAATACTTTTCAAAGCAGGGCTGCATGACTCAGTGAAGCTGACGTGGGAAATGTCTGAGAGCAGGTTTCTATCATCTCTAGATTTTGACAGGTTTATCACATCGAGATACATTCAGTACATATTCATTCCAGAAGTTCTACTCCAGGGATGCATATATTCAACTGGTAAGCTTTTAACACTCAACATCTTAAGCTCACAGAGAAGTTGACGTATGCGTTGACTGAACTGTACACATTGCTTATCTGTGCAACAAAGCTCTTTAAGACTGCATCAGATCTACTAAACCAGCCATAACTAAATGACCCATTCTCTTTAGCTCAGGGCCAAAATAATCCTGACCTGATGAGACATAGGGCACATTCATACCAGGACTGTTTGGTTTGTTCTATAAGGAACATGGTCCCCTTACTCCTTTGGTCCGGGTGGTATGAACACGCAAGCGAACCGTGGTCCAGACCAAACAAACGGACCATGGTCCTCTTGAAATGCAGGACTCTGTCCCCTTCCAAATGAACCATGGTCCAGTTCACAGTGGGTGTGAGCACAGTGCTGATGCAGCCTGACTTTTTTTTATGTCAATATGAACCAATAACACATTTACATTGTAATGAAGCCAAGAAATTGTGCCCGGCCAGAGGTTGCAGCAGTGTGTTAATTTGTGGTGTTTTTCACTACAAATTAAGAACATTCGCTGTTGCCATTGGCTAACCTACCTGAGGTCCCACCATACCAGGCAGTCCACGCAGTCCCTCAGGCCCTGGGTCCCCCTGAAAGGAAAGGAGGCAAGAAATACAGTTTAAGTTTCACAAACCATTTCAAACTATGTTTTTGACTGTTAGTTTTATCCCAACTGTTAGCAATTCCTTCAATTTGCAGAAACATTATTGAATTATGAATAAGCCCTGAACAATTATCAAAAAATATGGAATGGGCACTTACATTGTTATATTGCTATAAAAATATTTTGTCTGATTAACACATCAATAATAGAAAGCATTTTAGCCTGAAATAGGGATAGGAATAGGGATATGCCGTGATGATGCACAGCTTAAACAGCGTATCCCCAAGGTGAGCTACGCAATCTCCGTACGCCCATAGGCTGTATCAAGTGTGAGTCATAGAAAACATGAACCCCCTAATAACTTTTAAAAATGGAGCTGTACAGAAAAAAAAGGACTTGAGCACAAACCAGTCTTACAGTAACTATGTGTCAACATTGCAAGCAGGGGGGAGAAAAATTTGTATTCTGTGTAATAAATTTCTAAAGTTTGTCCACAACTCCATAGGGATTGCTCGAGGGGGAGGGATTTATGACCTATACTGCAGCCCGTCACCAGAGGGTGCTGTTCTCGCAGTGGCTTCACCCAGCGAGGAGGCAGACAGCGTCCATTCTATATGCAGCTAGTAGCTTTATCAAAACTGCATCGAAATGTTGTGAAAGTAATGGTAAATGGCTCACTCAGTCTTCTGACCACTCAAAGCACTTATACATTACACATCACCTTTACATCACATTCACATACAGACGGCAGAGACTGCTACAAAAAGCACCACAAGTTTTGACTAACTCCATTCACACCAGTTTGGGCAGACAGGGTGTCTTGGGTTTAAACCCCCAGCCTGATTGAGAGACGACTGACTCGACCACTGAGCCACAGCTGCCTTTATATCCAGACATCCATCCAAAAGTGTGTAAGAGAGCATTTACTAATGACATTAAGTATTTTTTCCTATGAACTGAGCGGTGACGTTTGAGTTGTGTTTATTGTAAAGGCTCGCATTGTGAAAACATTGACTGATTTGTCGTGCAACCTCATCCTCAACACTGCCCACGTAGCATTCATCTCTGTCACAACTGTACTAAGCTGACAGTGTAACCACTTATGCTGTTTAGGTTTGGGCTTGGCTCTACTTACTTCTGCCAGGCCACATCATCAGCACTGATTGGCAGATGTAAAGTGAGAATACGGAGCTGAAGAGAAAAAAAAACTTTACATGAAGTCTTAAAGTAAATTGTGGCAGCTGAGATAGAGAATCTGTGACTGCTCCAGTCACACCAGTATCAAAGATGCTGTGGTGAAAATAAAAGAGACCAAGTGTGTGCAAGCACATGCACTTATGTAAGAGTCACGCAGATGCACATTTGACTAATTATAGACTTTTAGAGTAAATGGGCATGATTCCTTTGATGATGTTAAACATTTTATCGAAGTAACCAGACAGCCTGCCTGTTTGATTTCTTCCCTTTGAGGTTGCGGGAGAGCTAAAAGGAGGCAAAACTAAAGATGGAGGAAAGTATTTTGTCAAACCAATCAAAAGCAAAAACAGCCGCCTTTGACAGCCAGGCCTGAGACTTCATTTTTGATCATATGAGCTCAATCTTCCATTCAAATAATCAATAACGTAAGGACGAAAAAAAGTACAAGTTAAGGAACATGACTTGATTTTATGTCATCATGCACATATGGCCTAAACTAGAGGTCCATCTGGATCCTCCAGGGCTGGTGTTTGATAACTGCCGCTTTGCTGACACAAATCACATGTGCTCCATCAAAAGAGGCCTTCAACAAAGAACACATAAAAAATGACAAGAGGAGGAGATAAGCTCAAGACTTGACCCCCAAAACTCTGGTTTCCGATGCCTGGCTGAAGAGATGTGGTACACAGGCATCCCATACAGAGGCGTGACTCAAACTGAAGTCAAGATGAATCCTGACCGCCAGGTGGTGAGAGTTTATTCAAACCACTTTCTCCCAGGATAATTGATAGGGGACTTGACAAAAAACAGACTTTTGCATTCCTATACCTCTTGTTTCAACATAACGGCCAGAGAAATTTTGACTTAACATGCAAGCAATTCTCTAAATACAAGATTATTTTACAAACTTAATGATTAAAAAGACAAATAGATTATATGATATGCGGACTAAATCACATGGAAATGACTGAGAACTCTATCTGCAGTAAGAGGATCAAAAAAGACCATAAAAGTCAAACAAATGTTTTTGTCTGCACCTCCCCTGTAGCTCTACATGCAGCCTGCAAACGAGCGTCTAGCTGCATCACATTTTGTTGAGTCACACACTGGCAAAGACATCAAGTGCATACCAGGACGGACACTTGCTGTTCTGTTTCTGCTCTCTTTCTGATTACTTAACTAAAATGTGAACTTTGTGTAACTGTCTTTAATAAATGAGTGCGCGCAGCTTAAAAGCTACTGACAACGGGGGGTGAGTCAAATTCTAATTTCCCTTAGGAAACCTTTCTAAAGGGATCAATAAATTTCTATCTAATCTAATCTAAAACACTTTTTTTAGGATTAGGATGTGGATTTCATATTTAAGTTAATTCTCTATTTATTATAGAAATCATATGTGTGCATCAAAATCACACAGCAGAACAGTTGACTGAATATAAAGCAAACACTAAAACAAGTCATCACCACATCATCTGTAATGTATTATTTTTTATCATCATTATTTAGCTTTGAGAATATGGGCTTTCCTTGGACATACCAAGTTTAAATTAAATTTCACATACAATATGAAATTCATGATCTTTTCATTACACGATTATTTACAAATGTTACACAGGGTTAGCTGGAAAACATGATGGTTCAAATGGCGTCACACAACCTCCTCTTTGAAGGAGGCAACAGGGTGTGAGAAAAGTCTGAGTTTTAAATACACAACAGGACAGCATACCTGCGGCTAACCAAGTAAGAGAGCTTTAACATGTGCTGCACATTTGTGTGTGCATGTGTGCAAATCTGTGCCTCACTGTGTAACTCCAAGACCAGTCAGATCTAAGACATGAGATGCCCTCATCTGTGGACGAAGAAAATACTCACTCTTCTGATGAAAAATGCCATAACTGGTTGGTCTAGAGACTGCAGACATCATCCCTAGCTGGCACCAGAATTATTGGTCAGTTAAATGAATTAGATATATTTGTATGACTGTGGGCCTGAAATACCAATCATACACTGGGTTAGGGCTGGGGGATAAACCGAAAATTTACCAATACCAAAATATCGGTATATTCTGTGGGGAAAAAAAAAATTAATTAGGTTTGGTTTTAGATGTGTGTCGGTAGGCTATGGTCTCATGTCCCTTTAAGATGCTGTCCTACGTCAGAGACCTGACTGCACCCCATCCAGTCCGTAACAAAGAGGGAAAGACAAGTGAGGAGATGGAGGACAGTTCAAAAGTAGTAGCGGCTGGAGCGGCGGCTCAAGTAGACGAAGTTAATGTCCATTTATCGTTATCGAGGTGAACTGCTCAATATATCATGATATTGATTTGAGGCCATATTACCCAGCCCTACAATGGGTATGAGCTGTGATCCAGCCACCAGCTTTGAAACAGCCTCTGCCATAGTGTCATAACGCTGTATTACCTGGATGTAAACAAGCACTGATGAGAGTTGGCATCTCAGAGCGCAGCACAGATTGGTATTGATATGATCTCGAAAGAATTGAGACAAAGTTGTCAGTCGGATGTCAGCTTTCCAAGCATACATGATTAGGAAATTAGTCACTTCAAAACATCTCCTAGAATAAGAACACGAAGTAGATCCAAACCAATTTTTTCAAGAATGAGTTAGAATTTATAAGATCACATAACCAAGAAATATTTTTTAAAACAAATGAAAATTATTTGCTTATATTTATCTCTTACTTAACTATCAAAAAATGTGACCAACTGAGGGAAATACCTTTTGAGTACATGTAAATGAAAACTGTGAATGAGAATGAGATAGTGTCTACATGCTTTAGGTCTGAGCCTGCAGTAAAGATAAATTACAGCCAGAAGTGAAGTGAAGCCCCATCTATCCAGATGTGTCCGGCACACACAGAGTGACCCTTCAAACACCCCAATAAATCCCCACGCTATGAGGACAGCTAACGAGTGTAAATGAAGCTTGAAATGATGGCACAGGGATGGTGTAGGTTACAGTTGTATCCATTTTGCTGACATGTACTGGGGGGTGTTTTAGAGGCCATGGAAAACGAAGACATTTCAGCGGTTGTACATTCCACAGTAAAAAGACAGCGTGCTCTCTATTTGCCCTGTGACAGTCTTCACTGAAGTAATAAGACAGAGCCACCCAGGTGGTTATGATGGCTTCATTCTGAGGAACTGTGAGCAACGTGGTGAGAAAACCTAACATATGAGATCATTTCTGACACTGATAAAGAATGAAATGAACAATTAAACTTCTGCAGCAATACACCACAGAGTTTCTACAGAAGTCATGGAACTTTTAGTCATTATTCATATATTATATGCTATGTGTATCCTTCAAAAGGCAACAAAATCATTTTACTGTCAATGAAAATATCCAGAGTGATGTAATCTGTTGCGTATAATGAAGGTCTACTGACATGACGAATCAAGATTTGGATATGCCAAAAGAAAAAAAAATCAACTCAGACAGGCAGTCTCAACAATCCTAGTGTAGGTGATGCAATTTTCACACAGTTTTATTCACTGGGAGGTCATCAGAAAACTAGTCTGCCATGTTAACCCTCAGTAATGCTGATCAAAGGATGCTTGAGGTAATTAAGTTAATGCTTAAAATTTGAGAAATAACATTAGGGCTTAAATACGGTTGCCTAGGGCTGGGCGATATGGCCACAAACCAATATCAAGATATATCACGATATACCATAGCCTACCTACACACATCCAAAATCAACTTTTATTTATTTCTTTATTTTGACACCAAATATATTGACATGGGCAAAATTATGTTGGTTATTGTCGTAAATTTCAGTATCTGTAAATTTTCTGTTTATCACTCAGCCCTACAGTTGCCCCATATAATATTCAAAATGATATAACATAGAAACCAACCATAGCTCTGTCCTCTGTGATAAAAAGAAATAAATATATTTAACAAATTTTGAGCTCTTTTTTATCTCTTTCAGGTACTGTTAAATATATATGGAGAGCAGCCAAAACATTTCAATCCTGAGTCCTAACTTTAGAATATTCATCTCTTTTATATCCAGTGGATTGCTCATAATTTGGTAGTTGCTGTCATTCACAGGAACAATTAAGCTACTGCTGTGAGTAAAAGTGTGAGCCGAGTGAATGACAGATCAAACATGGTGTGTAACCGCCGTGGGAAATGTCAAACATCATTAAAGTAATAATGTTACAAAACTGAAACTCACCCTCAGACCAGGGAAGCCACTAATTCCAGTCCCGCCAACAGGCCCCTGCAAAACATCACAGCAAAATCGTTAGTATACAAGACACTAACAGTACTGCAACCTGCTATATACTCTATGCAATATTAATGTTTCTATTTGAGATGATAAAGTATGTAACCACGCTTAATTTGAGATAATAGTATTTGATTAATCAAAGCTGCAAAGAAATCCAACTTGGAAAAACAAAACACTGGCAGTATAGTCTTACAGTCTCTGCCAGAATGCAAGGGGATTCATGAAGTCGTGTGAGGTGAACTGAACTGAGCCACCCATCTCCTGTATTACTATTAAAATTTACCATTTTTTGGTCAGAAACAGACATCATACTTTGTGTAAATAGTTTTGGGTGTCATATTCATATAATGTCTTTTTGTGGAGGGTGTCCTTGTATTACTAACTTTGTAAGTGGGGGAGGAAATACCTCAACATGCATAAAAACATATATAGAATTGACTTAATGGCTTTATCATGTTGCTGTAGATCAGTTTATGTACGAAACAGGCAAAGGCACATTTTGTACAAACAGTCATAGATGAAAAGTTACAAACAGAATTAAAACAACCTCCTGGGGATGGAGGACAGGATGGAAACAAAGGTTTATCAAACTCAGGACAAAAGAAGGGGACAGCTGAATTTAAAGGAAATATGACCAGAAATCTCACCTCTTTGCCATCTGGACCAGGTGGTCCCCTCTCCCCTACATCTCCCACTACTCCCTGTGAGAGAAGTACATCCACATTTAGTCAAGGAACATCAGGGAAATCACCACCAATCATGCCCTCCATTTAAAGGGTTTGGCACTTTAGCTCTTGGTAACAAGAGTCCAATTATGTATTTATGCTGTAGCAGACTTAATTAGTGTAAAGGTGAGCTTATGGACTGGATTAAAATTGCCCTGTGGACACAGACTTGGATCAAGCTGGCCAGACATTGCTCAATTATACAGAAGAAATAAAAAGATGAAACACGCTGGGCTGCTTGCCTGCTTGGCAACCTCAAAAGAGAGAAGCTGAAGCTCCTTTTAAGACATTGACTTTTTAAGTGTGAGGGCCCAACCTTGACATTCCATCTGTTGATCTCTTAATCTAACAGGGCTTTCTGTTTGATGCCACCTTGGAACAAGCATCCCAGGATCGATGCCAAAATACATTCCCGCACACATTTCCAGCTTGATTTTCTAAGCATGTCTTACATGTCTTCCTTTGGGACCAGGTTTTCCAACTGGACCGGGTATCCCCTGAAAAAGAAAAGCATGTCCATAAATTACTAAATCTGGGGCATTCTGCCAGAGAATTCGAGTTGGGTCACTGGAATAAAATCAAAGACTCCCTTTGTAGAGGACTGACAGGGCACCGCTTTTCAACCCTACAGATCTATCTGAAAAGAATGTAGGAGATCTGTTTTCCTATCAGCTCAGTGAGATCATGTATACACTATAATACAGTATGATCCAGTGTAAGCCGGGATTCATCCATTGTTTGTCTTATTAACACAATATTCCCATTGGCATGTGCAAAAATGATGTGTGCAAGTCATGACAAAACAATAAAGACCAGGTCTTCCTTAAAACCATAAACCCACAAGACTCAAGACATGAGTAAAGCCTGGCCTAATGAGAAAATATACACTTGGCTCAGTTTTTTTGTATCCTAACCATTTAGCAATAAACTGAACTAAAGCTTTGTCTGCTGAATAGCACGTTTGATATTTGCCACGTGCAGTGATTATTAGAGAGACATCACTTACTCTCTCCCCCTCCAACCCCGGTGGTCCAGCAACTCCAGGAGGCCCAATGAAACCCTGGAAACAAGCAACACTTCATATCACAACACTGTTTGAACAAACCTGAACAATAATAAACAAGCTTTGAAACAGTGCGATTCAGTGTCTCAGACATATCTGTGACTGTGACCCTGAATTAACCTGTAGCTAAATCAACAAGAATCAATCTGTTGTCACTTTACTGGTACAAGTATTGTTTCTTAAGGGGCTTTGTCCACTTGGGGCACTTTTTGCACAGGCAGCACCAGTTCTTAATACAAAACCAATACAGTCTAGCACTTTAAGCCCAAAAACACCCTGGGGGGTGTCAGCTGTTTTACCTCAGTGTTCACAGAGCTCCCCATCATGAGTGTAATGTCATACTAGGGCTGGGCGATAAACCAAAAATTTACAGATATCCAACTTTACAACAATAATAAGAGTTATTTTGCCAATGACGGTATATTCAGTGTCAAAATAATAAATAAATAAAGTTGGTGTTGGATGTGTGTAGGTAGGCTATGGTCTCATGTCCCTTTAAGACGCTTTCCTGGGGACCCCACCCCCAGGAGATGCAGGACGGTTCAATAGTTGTAGCCGCTGAAGTAGACAAAGTTAAAGTGGGAGAGGGTGGGCAGCTTATGAAGTAGTTATCGTCCATTTATCGTTATCGAGGTGAACTGCTGAATATATCGTGATATTGATTTGAGGCCATATCGCCCCGCCCTATGTCATACATCTCACTGTCACTTCCCTGATTAAAGCAGTTAGCATTATTATCTAAAATAAATATATATACACAAAATACACATTTTATCATTGGTGCCTTTACATTTGCAAATCAAATTCTTACAGTACTTTAAAACCATCATGGTTCACAACACTATTAAATACTGGCAGGATTTTCCTTGTGCGGCTTTCCTTATGCTGCTGTATATCAGTTTTGGATGGAAATTTGTGCTTCCCAACTGTTGTGGTATTTGTTTACTGTTTCAAAACCAACATGAGTAGGCTTTGCCAAACACGTGCAGTGAATTAACCCAACACATGCGAGTCATTGCATATACTTGAGGTGTTGTAATAACTTTGGATGTGCCAACCATTACAAGTAAAGGCTTGCCATATCATAACTGGCAGTGCACAGCAGGCTAGCATACATCAAAAATAAAGTGGTCCAAACATCACAAATGAGCCTCTGTGCAGTACCTCTAGGAAAGAAAACAAAAGGTAGCAACACCTTGGCTGAAAGTTTCTCAGATTGGCACAGGACGTAGTCTCAGCAATCGGCTGAACCCTGTTCCTCCCTCATTCCTTTTTGTTTCCTCATATCTCAACATTACTCTAACTCTTTTTCACTCTGTCTCAGAGCATTAGTCCCAGCTATCTTGTTTCCCTGAGCCGCAACGCCCCACCAAAGCCTCTTTTCACACAAGCTCATTTGACCCTTTCCTTCTGCTTTTATTCTGTCTTCCATCTCTGTGTCTATCTTACCTCCCTCTTTCTTTTCTTAGTCTTTTTTTAGGACAGTCCTGCTTGCTGATGAATGAACTATAGTAAAAAGAACCAGCCAGCCTTTTAGAGACACAGTTCCCTGAACCAGCCCCCACACAAGCAGTTTCACTTCAGGTAGCATGACAGAAATACAACACAGATCCCTGGCAGTCTCTCTGGAGGAGGGCTGACAGCCTGACACTGTCCTAATCCTTTCAGGAAATGAAGTATTCAACCCAGTGCTGCTGAAAAGAAAATAGGGCAGAAGGAGAGTAGAAAGGTACTTGTACTTACACGGACACCTTTAGGCCCTGGGTTACCTTCTGGACCTGCTGAGCCCTGTAACAAAAGAAAGAGTCTATCATAACAATAGATTCAAGCTCAGTTATTTACACATGAAGGGAAGCTAAAAACATTTGACACCTAAAGGCCTGACGAGAGAAATACTATGAGCTTGACAACTAAAAGGACAAAAACTGATTTTACTGTATTCTTACAGAGCAGGCAGTGCATATGTAAAGTCTGCAGACTCAAACATAAAGGTAGTCAGGGGAATAATATCGAAAATTAAAGAGTTTCATTATCAGCTGTATTCCTGCAAAAAGTTTGTTTTTAATCAGCCTTCGTGGAAAAATTGATTTCCTTCACTTTATTACATAACAAAGTGCATCACAAACTGTAAGCAGTGGGTATTATGTAGTTATAATTACTGTGTGTTTTTTGCAGATATCTTAACAGAACAATGAAAAATGTCAGAGGAACGATGGAGGAACTGGAAGCGGATTTGTCTATTTTTCACTGCACCTGCCTGCCAGGGTAACCTGCAGCCCCTGCTTCCCCAGGAGGTCCTGGTATGCCCTGCAGCAGGGAGACAGAGAATGAATGAACAGTGAATAAGGAGATTAGATGCATGGATAAAGTGAAAAAGGAGACACACAGACCTCTGCTACTGTTGCCAGGTGAAGAATAAAACAAGCACTGTTCACTCTGGAAAGTCTCCATCTGACAATCCAGTCTATAAGCTGTACCTTTTCTGCTCCCCTCTAGCCCAGCCCTTCCTGAACTGATCATCCTGTCATTGTTTTCCACCAACGTTCAACTGATGCTCTTCCACAGCATAATCTAAATAAATGTATTTTTTTTCCTTCACACAAATTGTAGATGCTTAAAAGGAAATAAAACTATTTTACAATATTCTGCATACTCAGCTGATATTCGGTACAACAGTTCCGACCAAAATATAAGTTTCAGGTATGAGAAGAGTTCTTCTCACTTTTCCATTTAGCTGAAGGCAGATGACTCTTTATTAACGAGGGCACTAAAACACATCACAGCAATATTTATATCACATGAAATTTTATCTCAAATTCTCAACTTTGAGGTTTTTTAGTTGACAGAAATGTGCTTATTGCTACGGCAAAACGCAAAAACAAATCCACACACATACATGCACATCAAAACTTACTGGATCTCCTGATGGTCCAAATGGTCCTGGATAACCTTTAGGACCCTTAAAAGAAGACAACACATTTTTTTTAGTATATTTCTATCGAGCATCCAAGTCAGCCACTGGCTAAGACGTGTTTAACTTGATAAACTTATGATAAACTTGAGGCCTGATAATGTCCCTACAAGAAATGTGAACATGTGGTCATTAAACAATGGCTTTCACACACCCTTGCATTGTGGCGCTGAAGTTAAACCACATCCATCAAGCTTTTTGGCATGATTGTGTATCTATGGTATGGCAGTGTTGACAATGAAAATGATGAAATATAGAATTAAAAATACTTTCAAAAAATCTGTGTAAGTCCGCAGGTGTCAGGTAGGTACAAATCGGACGTTTTTATTCGAGAAGATATGGGCAGAATTAGCCATTTGTTCTTGGGCTTGGCTGATATATAAGTAAGTCTAAGTTAGTTAGTCTAAGTCTGATATTTGAGATATCTAAGTTTCTATATCCTTTAATTTTCTCTTTTTGTATCTGTACAATACTGCTGAAATTTTGAATTTCCCCCCGTGGGACTATTAAAGGAACATCTTATCTTATCTTATATTTCAGGTGCATGTTGCGTCTTAGTAAAAAAAAGAAAAAATGCATCTGATGGTTGTGTGTTATTCACGTGAAGGGGGTTAAGATTGAAAGTACATAAAAATAAAACTTTATTTCAATATATAAATCTCAATTTGAAAAAAAACTCTTACATCAAAACCAGATTATAACTTTTGTCTAAGTGGTGTCTCCAGTTACCAGCTGTGTCCCATTCGGGATCAGACCAGTATTTGGAAATGTTCAAGATATTAATACATAAAAACTTCAATTAGATTAACAGCTCGCTTACTCTGTTCCAACATGACTTATGTGCTACAGCCAAAGTCCACATTTAATTAACTTTTATACACCAAACTGGCTCCATAGTTTTGTTATTGGTGCTTTTATTTCTTGCTTTTGACATGTTTACCAACAACAGCTGTTTACAACTCCAAAACAAAGGGTCAGGGCCAGGTCAGTATTTCGGGTCAGCGTGAGATGGTCTTGAACAGCTTAGTGGGCTCTGCCATGTGCTTCCGAGGTTGTGACACATGAACCTTCACACTCAATAAAAGACCCACTTGAGAGTAAAGAGCACAGGCCCCGAGCCAGTCATTTCCTCTGAAAATACTTGAAGGGCCACAGTTCATCTGCTGGATATATATAAGGTTCAGCTACTGCAAACACTGGGATGGCCTCCTGGGAGGCTTAGGTGAAGGCCAGCAATGTGGAGGCCAGCCTTGAAGCTTCAATAAGATGCTACCTGAACAACTGACAACTGCTCTATGTCGTTGGCTGCAGTACAAAAACGTATAACAGATTATGTCTGTTCTGTATCATTTAATGTCATGTCAAACACAGGAGCGCAGAGTTAACATACTGGCATAAAAACAAGCCCTAAGTGAGCGAATGCAGGACGTGTGTCTGCCTGTGATTTTATCTGTTGCAAAAAAAGATTCCCAGCGATCTTCGTTTTATTGATAGCAGGGTTCAGCTGTGAAATTCTCCTTCCTCTACAGTGACAACTGCTGACCTGAGGAAGCATGGGATATTGTGCATGTCATTGACCCCCAGACCCCATGGCAGGGTACCTTTCCTCTTTTGGATGAACTCTGACCATGACCTCAAAGCACATGAGTTTGAAGTGAAACAGAACTAGGGTCATCTCTACAGCTCTGACTGAGACAGGGGGGACAGTGGCAGAGACAGGCATTTATAGCAGGAGACAGAGGTATGCAAAGTCAGGGAAAAGAAGAGGACAGGGCATGAAAAACGCAGATGAGGTTAAGTTGCAAGAGAGGGTTGTGTATATATGTCATCACGTTTCTTTCTACTGAAATAAAAAAGACAGGAAGAGTGAAGACAGGCAGAGAGCTGGATGAGCTGCAGACCATCTCTGGAGGGGTTACCTTGGACTGAAGATACAAAAGGCCTCAGCTGATGTCTTTGGCTAACACTGGAGAAATAACACGGTGAGGATACTGTGTGTGTGGACATGAGATCAGACTGTGTAATTGGGGTGTCACTGGCCTCGTAAGGAGGTTATACCTCAAGCAGTCAGCCCGGATTCACTTCCAGCCTGTGGCTTCTTCCCTACATGTCACTCTCTCTTTCTCTCTCTCTCCATTTCCTACTCTGTCCACTGTCCTGTTCTCTCCAGCTTTAGGCAAAAAGCCTGTAAATAAATCCCTGATAAGAAAACTGCTCAATCGTGTTTGCCAGCATGACCTTGACACTTAAATAAACTATTTCCTGGCATAAACAAATTATATACTGTATTAGTGTGTTACTCTCTTTGTCCTGGACCCAAACAGGCTCTTTCAGGTTGTAAGATTTAATTCAAAGACTCTTTAAACATATGCTGAGTCAGCAAAATGTGTTAAATGTATGCATATCATATAAAAACCCACTGCTGTCTTCAGCAACACCTTATAGTAAAAAAAACAGGTTGTTAAACAAACTAGATCTTACCGGTGGACCTGGAAATCCATCCTGTCCGGGCAGACCTGGTGGACCTCTGTCACCCTATTATAAAATTAAAAAGAGGTCAACAAAACACAGTATAACAATTTGGGAGGAGGTCACTGCATCAACAATCAGACTTTAAAATAATGAATGCAAAAAACTGGCTATGAAGTCAAAATTTTAAAAAGTCGAAATGAAAAAAAGCGACATTTTGACATTTAAGTCGAAATTTTGAGATTTAAAAAAATGAAATTACGTGAATTAGGTCAAAATTTCGACTCTAATCTCAAATTTTTGATTTTTTTTAATCCCCCATTTGTTAACTTTTTACCCAACAATAATTCCTATCAATATAAATAAGTCTGTGTACACAACTACTCTCTCCTTCTTCTTTATCATCCAATCGGTACATTTTGGATGGCCACTCACTTGTTAAAAACACGCACATGATCATCAGTAGTTTGTCTGTTCTGCTAAACTGTAGAAACCATGGTTTTGCAATATGGCAGCCTTAATGCAAGAGGACCTGGTACTTATGTAGATACAAAAGGCTCATTCAAAGTTAACTCAATTCAAAATGTTCTTTTTTATATTCAGCTGATTGTGAACTTATTTTAACTAGTATAGGAAATTTACATTCCATTTCTGCCAAGTCCATCCTTCTATAGGCCTCTAACTTCCAAACACTGTACACTGTAAGAGGGAAATGGCACATTTTCCATATGAGGAAGATACTAACTGTTGATAAGTGTTCTTCCATTACCGCTACAGTGTCCATTTGTACAAATAATGTCTGGAGCTGATTCAAATAAAAAACATATGTGTAACTTTCAGAGAATAACATACGGGACATGAGATGAGATAAGGGATGCAAAGCTAAGGACCGGTTCAGAGTGAAAGACTTATGAAGATCGATGAGAGGTTCGAAATTATTTCTGTGGCTGACATCAGGATAAAGTTGGATAAATAAGTCACATGTTACAAATTTAGTTTTAATCTCCATAAATTATGACATCTGATAAGTTTTTTTTTGAGCGCAAAGAGGATTTAAACTTGAAGAGAGATAGATGCTTTTGGAGCCTAATTGTTTCAAGACATGTAGGAGTGCTGCTCTGGAAAATCATTACTGTGATGATGGTTGAAGGGGGAAAGAGACAAGGATGAGCAGATAGTAAGAGAAACCAGCTGTGGTGACGCCTGACAAATCATTGATAATAGAGAGAGTCAGGAATGCAGAGAGCGGGTTAAAAGGAAGTTCCTTCATGAATTAGATTGGATGAGGGAAACCAGACTATCAACTCAATTGACTAAGAATCCCAACAAATAAACAAGAGGCAATTTATCAGAAGAATTCTACAAAATACACTATTTATACATCTCTAAGAGAAGAGGACAGAGGAGAAACACATTCAAAAAATAATAAGATTACCTATAAGGAAACTGAGACTAAGAAGATTCTTTACCTTCTCTCCTGGTGGAGCCTGGCCCGGTGAAGAACCCGGGTCCCCCTTAGAGCCCTGGAACAGAAAAAAGGGGACATTTCATCTCCAATCCATTACTTAGTGGGTGCATCATTTTAAACAAATATAATTGTTCTTTAATGATTTCATTTTGTATTATGTCATTTTTAGACTTTTAACAAAGAGGTATTTCTAAACAGCAAAGACCTCATGTGTAAGTACAGCAGCTGTGTACTTGGATTTGATTTCTTTTTAATGCACAAGCCAGGAGGTATGAGACTGTACAAACCCTGGACCAGGTGTGAAAATAAGCAGACCACCCCCACAACTTTCTTTGAAACTACAAAGTACTGAAACTTGTCACGGATGCCAAAATAGATTTACCTCTGAACTTTGTTTAAAAAGTGGAATAAAAAAATTAATTCTTCGCTAATTTCAGTAATGTCTAACACAGACAACACTTATACAATCATAACACATTATCACAATCAGTCAGGACAAGCTGCCTATAATAAAACCAACACCATGAAATAGGGCTGGGCAATATGGCCTCAAATCAATATCACGGTAAATTGAGCAGTTCACCTCAATAATGATAAATGGACGATAACTACTCCACTAGCTGCTCACTCCCTCCCACATTAACTTCATCAACTTCAGCCGCCGCTACAACTTTTGAACTGTCCTCCATCTCCTGACCTGTCTTTACCTCTTTGTTATGGACTGGATGGGGTGGAGTCACAACTCCAACGTAGGACAGCGTCTTCAAGAGACATGAGACCATAGCCTACCTACACATATTCAAAACCAACTTTGATTTATTCATTCATTTGACACTGAATATACCGATATGGGCAAAATGACATTGGTTATTGCTGTAAATTTTGGTTTCGGTAAATTTCAGTTTATCGCCCAGCCCTACAATGAAACTTACATTCACATCTATGTAATAATATCAGAGAGAGAGAGGGAAACTGCTGTTTCACCTGATGACTGCTGAGGAACCACTTGAGCAACAAAGTTTTTTTAAACCCTCCTGCTTTAACAGACAAATTAAATGTTTTCTCTGACCTTCATTCAGGGGCACCTCAATTTCTGTGTCAGAGACTTCAGTTTCTCTACTCTTTTCACCCTAATAATGTGCGCATGTCATGTACTACACAATTTAGATGCCTCTTTGCTCTGTACCTGTGTAATTCTGTCAGTTACGTGCCTTATGTTTCCACAGAAAATAAAGCTTCACAATGAGGGTAAAAGCATGTTCGTTGTTGTTTTGTCACAGAGAAAAATCTATTGATAATTTATCACTGAAATTTCCAAAGAAGATCAATTAAGGAAAATAGCTACAGCTAGCATTGCTTTATGACTCAAATTAAGGCCTCTTTCAGAAATCGTTGACAATGTGTAACTCACTATCTGCTGCAGTGACCAGGCAAGATAATACAATGGAGAGGAAATACAATGGATAAGGATTCAGATTAAATTTCCTGACTATCTGAGTCATCTTGGACCACATGTGTGATTCCCACAAGGTGAATAACAAGAGGAGTGTGTCAAAGAGTGTGCCAGAATGGAGCTGTAAAGTGCATTTCCACAGAACAGCAGTAGCAGAGTTCAACAGCCAGAGCATCTGGGTCATCTCTATCAAAACAGCAGGTGTTAATCAGGGTCATAAAACCTTTTTGTTGGTCATGAATTAAGAAAACAACAATAATGTTCTATTCTCCCCATGTTTTCACAGTCATTTCTATGTTTTTCTCTACCTGCACCAAAAAAATCACAACCCTCTTGGTTATTAAGCATCAGGTTTCCATAGTTTTGACCCACAACCAGTGAGCGAAAGAGGAGCTGGAGGGTTCAAGAGCGGAAATTCTAATACAGCATAAAACCAGGATTTTGGTTTGTTTGACAAAAAGTCAGCAGGGCATGAAGCGGCGTGAAAGAAGCTTTAAAATCCGGCAAGCGAATCGTCATAACATCTCAGACTAAGCCCAAAACACATGTCAACTAAGCTCAGCAGTAGGGACTTTAGTCCTTTGTGTACATCCTAGTAACCAAACACATTTCAACAGTGGAAGTTTTCCCAAACTCAGACAAAGAGTCGCTTAATCCGTATCCCGCCTTCACAAAGGGTTTGGGGGTGTGAGAGTGACTCATCGACAGACCACTACGGTATTAGATACACTGGTTGGGGTTGTGCATGTGTGTGCATGACTGTGGGTGTATAGGCAAGGGGAACAGCAAGCAAGCAGGAGGGCCATATTTCAAAATGACCAACTGTTCCAGGGAAGTTAGAGGTAACACAGAACTTGTCCATCTGTCTCCTGTTTGACTGATAAAGAAAATAATCATTTTTGTCTTTGCACGCTCAGACTGAGGTAGGCAAAGTCATTCCCAATCTTTTCTCTTCTCTTCTCTCTCCAACTTTATATGTACTGAAAACAATTTAAATTGAGGAGCTATACCCTAAGGAAACAACCCGTGTCTTTGTTTCTGCTCCTATAGCATGACAGCTCTCCCACTGATTACATGGTGTATGGTAGTCACGCTGGCTGCCAGACCACACTTACCATAACCATCTGCACGGAGCTGACCACATCCTCACTCTGTTGTATCACGGTATACCTTATATCTGGACCCACACTGAGAAAAAGTACCAGATATTTAAAGAGCCTTTTTTTCCCCTCTTATATTAGGACAGTCTCATGGATAATGAGCCCGGACTTCTATGATTGAAAACCTCTGGGTTGAGTGATATATAATTTAGCCCAACATCTAATCTGTTCCCTTTTAGTTTCTTCTGCAAACACTGTTTTTGCTAACGCTTGTGAACCCCTGACGGCAGTTTTCCCACTTAAAGCCAGTCATTTTTTTCTGTTTTATTCTCTGATCCAGAGGAACTGTCCTTCAGTTCAAGACTAAAGAATTCAATGTAAGTCGTGTTCTTATGGTATTGTTTTCAGCTTAATGACAAAATCCAGTATCTGCGCAGCTGGACTGAAATCCCATTTCCAATTCATCTCTGAGAACAATAAAATTGACTGATTTGATGCAGCTGTTTACAAAAAAGTCAAAACTTTTTCACAGCTGTTTGACTAACTGTCCAAGCACAATCAGAGAGGTGTAAAGCAGATATTAAAGCCAAACATGGCTTGAGTTGTCTCCAGTGATGCAACCATGATAACAAATTTGCTGGGGCGGCTCCTCCTCCCATCTCTCACCTCAAACATTTGACAGCTTAGTGGTATGCCTTTTTCACACAAACCTAAACAAAAATCCAGAAATTCTAGATTTTTCACTCGATTAACAAAGGCTAAAAACTAAAGGAGAAGATTAACACAATGGCCAATCCTGGCTTGTGTCTTCTTGGGCTAAAGTGAGCTGTTTATTTCTAACAGAAACCTTGGCTAACACTCTCAGTGAGCTGTTTGTGTCTCATAACAAATGAAGACTACTCACCTTGGGGCCAGGGGGTCCAGGTTGTCCGGGGTTTCCATGAGGACCAGTTGGGCCCTTAAAGAAAAGGAGAGATAGAGAGGGGGAAAACACAAAAACTAAATCATGACAGTTTTTTGACAACAACTGCTCAGTAAAGACAGCCTAATTTCGTGCAAGAATCTGTGAAGAATAAAAGTAAAACTCTGAAACTGGTTGTTCCCTGAAAGGAAAAAAGATTATGTCAGACAGTAAGGTCCTGTAGTTGTGGTTTGAAACTTGATCAAAACTTAACTACGGGAAGCACCCTCAAGCATGAACAATTATGAGAGCTCTCACTGGCTATGTAACATCACACACAGGCCCTTGGCCAAAAAATGTGGAGCACAGAGTTCCTGCTGTCATCATCCATTGCACATGTTTTCAGTGTTAAAAATGAAGGATAGTTGCTCTCCAGGGGGAATTCTGCGTACAGACAGTGGAGATTCTCAGTCCTCAAAATGACAATCCAGTCTGGCAGCAAGATGGAGATTTTAACATCTTGCAAACAAGTAGTCTTCAGTGCTTTTTCTTTTGAGAAACTTAGAGAAATGTAAAGAATGGAAATACTAGCTCACTAATGGCTATGCTTTTCATGCTCCATGTGCATTAAGTCATATCTCCCTTCCTGCCTAGGAATTGTGGACAGAAACTCTTGATTTTGTGTTGTTGTTTGTAATAGTTCTCATACCACCTTTTACAAATGTTGTACAGTCAAATGAAATAATTAAACAAATAAAAATATAACATCACAATCGGTCAGGTAACTAGTGTTGGCCAGGGAATGAACCGAAACACTCCTTTATTTTACTGCTGCAGAACTAAATTGCTAAATGGACAAGTTGGCTTCTTGCTGCCTGCACATCAATTCCAAAGTGGAAAACTCCCTCTGCTTATTGTTGCTGCTGTTGCGATGAGGGAATTCTCCCTGCAGGGATTCAGGCTGGCTCAATACCCCAGTGTGTGGCATTGTTGCACAAGTTCTTTCATCTGTTGATACTTTTTATTACACTATTAATATAGAGGTCAATTTGAAAAATGATCATCAAGTGTGTTTTCTTCAATGTTATATAAAAAAAGGCACCCTGTCCTCTGCTAGATTCTGTGCGACAATGCCTGTGAGGCTTTACAGTTGTATTTGGCAACTGGGGTAAAATCTACATGAACTTCAAACTGATGGCTGTTACTGGCATGTGCTGCTCCACAACTCTGTGCTCAGACCTCAAAATTAAGCGTTTCCTTATTTCACAAAGATCTTTTTGGTGCCAATTTTTTATATCGCCTCATCTAGATTGGCTGGTTCTACTTTTTCATTTGCTTTGATGAAGTTTCAGGATGAAGTTAAATTCAGTTTAGACACCAAGGCAGCTGCACATAAGCACTTAAGCACATAAATTCACATAACAACTGGCTTGTTGAACTTTACAGGCAAGGGCCTTATTGAAAGTGGATTAATAACTTTACATTGGGTGACAAAAGCAGTGCAAATCTCTAAGCCCTTTGTAAGGTATCCCACAGCTAGATTAATGCTTGTATGTATTACGGTATGTGAAAGAAATACCATGTGTGTATACAGTAGGTTGGGCCAGCCAGTGTAATAATAGTCACTAGTGCCAGACAAGATAGCAGTGGTGTGAGGTGACTGGTCATGTTTAAGGGTGCCTCCAAAAGTCAAATACAGACAAATAAACATGGTTACCCAAGTACCCAAATGCTTTCTAACACATGTACATAAGGCACTAATACAAAGAATAAACTATCCATAATCTAACTATATCACCTTTGCTCCCAGTGCAGCGAGGCAAGTTCATTCCTTGAACATCAAAGGTATGCTATGAATGCACAACCACATGCACAGTTACTCCTACAACTAGATGTGAACAGTCAAATACACATGCACACTTTAAATACACTACATTCCTGCACATCTGTGGCCCTGCTGCTCGCAAGCTGGTCTTTCTCTGCACTACAGCTAAGGCCCAGATCAGAGGAGCTAAAGCTCTCTTTCTCACTTTCCTTTCCTGTCAGGATTAAAACTGAAAATGGAAGAATGAAACGAGAGAACTCATTCTTTAAAAAACTAAGAAAATCTTTTGTAGTACGTTCTGTGATATCCCATTAGCTCAAAAATGCTGAACAGTGAAAAAAATGTTGAACTTCAGTACTTTAACTGTTACCTAAAGTGAATTAGTCTCTCCTTATTACAACAGCCCACACCAAATGGCATCCCTTTGGGTTAGTGTGTGTCTGATAGCATTAACAGGCAAATACTGCTGAATAAGTCTGTAGTTTTTTGCTGAGACTGCAAAGATACAACCACAGAACCACACACTGCCCTCGCTTTCCCACCGCATAATGAGTCCAAGCCTCCCTCTGTCTCCACTTTATGACTTAGCCTATGGGGTAACAGTATGTTCTTTATCAGCTTTGTGCTTTCCTTGGCTTCTACTAGGAGACATGTTTTATTGTCTACCATCCAGTCTTCCTGTCTATTCACCTTTTAGTATGTCTGCTTTGCTTTCTGTTAAAATACAGTAGGGTGAATTTAGACCAGCTTGAGCCCGGCAAGAAAAACCACAGGTCTTTCATTCGTTTTAACAGGATCAGGCTGTAGGTACGACAGTGGGTGCCAATGCCGGGTCGGCCCAGCTAAACAAAGCAGTCATTGGCCAAAAATCATTGGCAGAAGTGCTGAGCCTGAACTCCCTTTTATTTCAACTTCCTGAATTGTCCTTCACTGTCTCTCAGGTCTCATAAACAGCATGCCCCCATGTATACAGTGCTTTGTTCTGCTTGATTGATTCAGGAATTTTTCCTTTATGAATCTACAGTTCTTCGAACACACCTTATTGTCTGCTGGGTGCATGTGGGGCCACAACTATTCACTCCAGACTTTCTGTGGACTCTTTCCTGACAGCTGATGGTAAAAAGTCATTGTAGTGTTGAGGTGAGATGTGTGAACGCAGTCTGGAACATTTATTATGAGTCAATGCGGGAGGCTGATGTTCCTTTCAATGTTGACTTACAGCCTGAGTTTCCAGATACTAGTGTATTGTATGAACTGTTTTTGTATCATGAAGCTTCCTTCCATATGTTGAAAACATTGCCATTAATACTTAACTATCTTCTTTGCCTCCCTCTGCATGCTTGAGTGAGGTGCCAGCCAAGCATTGATCTAGGTAGGCAACTCATTCACCTCACACTTACACTCTTAGTCAAAATGTCAGCACAGCTTAGGGCTGGGAGATATGGCCTCAACTCAATATCACAATATATTGAGCAGTTCACCATGATAATGATTAATGGACGATAACTACTCCACAAGCTGCTCACCCCCTCCCACTTTAACTTCGTCTACTTCAGCCGCTACAACTTTTGAACTGTCCTCCATCTCCTCACCTGTCTTTCCCTCTTTGTTACAGACTGGAGGCGGTGGAGTTTTTTCGGTTTATCGCCCAGCCCTAGAACAGCTTATTTATAACAGCCAAACATTGGACCACAGAGTTTGTAGTGTCAAACTGGTTTGTCCAGTGTGGCTAGCACTGGCAGAGCTAGCTCAACCAGCCTTTGGTGACCCTTGAAGGTGACATACCACTCCAGATAAGTGGCTATTTTCCAGTTTATCCAGACACATCCTACACACAATTTTATCTCCACTTTCTAGATTAAAATTCTGCCGAATCTTCACATTCAAAATACCATCTGTCACCTGTGCTGGTTTATATCTACATAGTAGGGCATTCTATCATGAGGGCGGTGGTCATTAACTTGTGCTACAGCCCCAACTAGTGGCAAATGGCTGCACCTCTAGCCCAAAAGAATAAAAACATTCGTTATCTGTTTAACAAACGAGAAATTCTGACACCTAGCAAGGCTGACAACTCTCAATTGTTAGATTAATTAAACTCACACATCACTAATCTACACACTGTCAGGAGTTTGTATATGAAACGTGCTAATAAGTCATGAACTATGATATAACATAGACAACTGCAACCCATGGACACACACAACATATGCATACAAGACGACCCTACAAAAAGGACATAGACAATGTCCACATACACCAATTTTAACAGGAAATTTGTCAGACATTTTCTGGACATATGAGAGTCCTGGTCTGATGTGGTTAAAAAAGTGTTTTAAGTTGTCTCAGAGTAATCAAGCACACAATTACACTTTAATGCACCGGATATTTAACTGAGCTACATTAGCCATGATATAGCCAATGATGTTTTCTGCAGGGCAGAGCGACTATAAAAGACCAAGAGTAAACTATTTATATACTTTCCTTACTGACACATACCATATCCATTGAGCAGAATGCGTCTTGTTCTGTTTAAAGATGCCCTCGGGCCTGTGGCATGATCACAGCATTACATCATGACAGTCTTGGCAGTTAGATGAACTATAGTTTCAAGATCAGAGCAAAAATGCAGCCTGTACCGCTGCTGACACGGCTGCTGGTTGCAGTTGAAGGAGTATGATCACTCAATCTTCGTGCTTCAAAGGTGCAGACAAGTAAACAATGCTTCTTGCATCCTCAAAGCAAAGTTTCTAATCGTCGTGAGCTTCAACAAAGCAAAGCTTGTTTCTGAGTTTAATCAAGCTAACCACAAACATGTCTGTCGGTGCCTTTTCCCGATGGCTGCAGCTGGATTGTGATGGTAAATAAAGGGCAAAACACATGTGGTCAGTGTCTGCTGACTAGCATACTGTAAGATGAAACAAATGGATGTGACTTGGGTGAACTGTGTTAGTGCAGTTAATCAAAATATTCACGACTCTGAGAGACAACAAGCCTGACTTGAACATCTTACAGAGTATGAACTAATCTGATGACACCAGCCTTGTTATTCTGAGTTTAGCAAAGCAACACTTTCTGTACACATCTTTCTTTTTCTCTTCTCTAATTTTTGTTTTTGATCTTTCTTCGTGTCTTTTAAGAAACTATTCGTCTTCAGCCAATCTATTTCAATTCTCAATTTGAGTTGACAGAGCTCCCCTGACTTCCACTACATACATGTGATAGTTTAAAGCACAACATAATCGTAATTCTACTCCAATAAGATGTTCAAGATTCTTTCATGATCAACAGTTTACGTCAACTTTACAGGATGCTGTCTGTGTATCATCACACCAGTGCAAATTACTTACCCTAGAACCTCTTTTTCCTGGAGGACCAGGTAATCCAGGGGGGCCAGGAGGACCCTAAATCAGAAAGACAGAGTGATATGGAGAAAAAAGAGCATTGTAGAAAGAGAACAGGGGAGGAAAGAAAGAGAAAGATAGCATATGTTAATAACAAGCAATAACATGTACTTCACTGTCATGGCCTCTGGAGTGATAAGTGTGTGCAAAACTTATGTAAGCGCTACATGAAGATTAAAGAGAGGAGTGTTTTTAACTGAAAGCTCTATCTGGAAGGCTCTAAGCAGGATGAACTGGTACCTTCAGTCTTTGTCCTGGAAATATACTTAAATATATGGAACAAACACGTGGCATGCTTTGATACGTGCATTAGTATGAAACTCACACTGAAACTCTACTGATCCCATTAGTCTTAATAGAATTAGGCTACAGAGTAATGCAGAGGACTATATCAAAAATATTAACAAAAATCACTTAATTTGTAGGCAAAATATCCGAAAAATGTGTGCCTTTGTCACCATATAACTGGAAAATCACCAGGAATATTTGACAGTAATCATGAAGACATCTAACAAACTCAGACCATCAGGCATTCAAGCCTGATTTTAGTTTTGATGTAAATCTCTCACAGGACATCTCTATACTGACACTTGAATCCCTTCTTTATCTGACGGACGTTATCTGAGTAAGAAAAACATAACCTATCACATACATCCTTGCAGCTTGAAGTGTCAGTTGCTGTGGAAGGATTTAAACTTGAAAGACCTTGATATCGTCCACTGTGTCATGTGTGTACGTATGTACGTAAATGTGTAAGTAAATATTCATAACTTTTTTGAAAAGCACTGAAAATGTCTTCATTAGACTTACAAAATCACTTGGAAAATCTGTGTGATGAAAAATGAATTGCAACAACCCTTTTAAACAGTAGGGGGCACTATCTGCTCTTTGCTTAGTTTGACATCATGAATACTTGATCTGAACATGAAACAGGTTGGGGGGGCGTAATCCAAATGTATTATCTTATATTCAGAGTGCAGTATTTAAATGCCAGTGTTCATTAAAACAGTAGACAGCTTCTCTTAGTCTGTGAAGCAGGTCAGCCAGCGGGCTCTCACTACTACAGCGCTCTTGTTCTCTCACTCTCTATGAATGAAAACCTTCAGACTAGTTGAACAGCAACCTTTAGACAGTGGGGAAAGTGAAGTCATCTCAGAATATCATTATTACTGATACTGGCTCTGTATGTTGTTGTCATTTACTCCATCAACTTCATGATCTCACTGAGAACCTTTTGCATCCTTTCAAAATAAATGCCTACTTGTTATTAAGAGAAAATGGTCATATCATTCTGTCCTCTGTGCTCCAAAAATCCACTTAAAAAACGCATTTCAAATCTACAGTTTTCAATACATTTGAAACATTGTCATTATGTTGTTTTATTTACTGCTCTGACGTGTTGCTATGACAAAATATTGTAATGAGTTGATCTTGAGCATCCCGAGTGCCTGTCTGAGCAGTGGAGATTCACAAGGAGGGAGACATGAAGAAAGAAACAGCTGTTTGTTCCTCTGGACTCCCACACACAGACACATGGAAACTGTGAGCAAACCACCGCCTTCCCCACAACAACAAGGCCTACAGAAGATGAGGCATTTATGCTGCAGGATGATAATATTCATAATGCTTTATCTGTGCTGCCAACACAAGGGACGAATCTTTCCGAGTGAAGTCAATTCAAACCAAGTTAAAGGGTAGAATGAGGCATCCTCTGAAGTTGTTGCATTTCATAACATTGTGGCCTGAGCTGCATTCACAATACTCCCTGAATTATGAGCTAACACGCAGCCAACAAGCAGACAACTGTTGTGGTACGCATAATAACAGGCCATGGAACTGAGACAGTACGAAGATAATCAATGCATTAAGGAGGTGATGACTGATGTCTACACCTCCTTCCTCCAGGAATGACATTTAGAAGATCAAGATGTTTCTTCTCACAGACATAGTGTCAGATTTAAATGTGGGGAAACCAGCGAGGAACTATCTATCACCAAAGATTTTATGAACATAAATATGGTGGAGGAGGTAAATCCAGACACAGATCTCAAAGTTGATTTATTTCTCTTCATTCTTTCTAATATGGTCTTTGACTTATTTGTGCGTTATATAATGTTCAAGCTCTAAAGCCATCTATTAAGTTTCAGTACCAATAGAGAGTTGTCCCCCTAGGATTAAGTTGCAAAGTCTGCCTCAACCCTACCTCTTTGCATCTTTCTGGGTGCCAGGGCGGCCAAAAGTAAGCCAACATTTCTTTTTAATTTGGCAACCGTTGTCAATAGGGTTCAAAATTCTACTTCAAAAACCAGTGAATTTGCTTTGGTCTATGTTGGCGCTCAGCTTCTCTCACAGACTCATACAGTCTATTCAAAAACACCCCCTTTGACTGCAAACGCTCGAAAGTTCACTGGCAGAAAACCTTTGTAACTTTTCAGATTAAAAGACAAAGTGGTGAAAACTTCACACCCAAGAGCTGATGGTGTCACCTGAGAGTGAGCTTATGAAGGCTTGAGGCAAAGTTGGCAATCAGCTGGGCGATTACACGGGTATCAGTTTCAGTCACGATTACGGCCCCCCACGATCATAAAACCACGATAATCAAGCCTGAAAGATATAGTGCCATCTGCTGTGTCTCGCCTGTCTCATCCTACATGGTAGATGAAGCATATCCTCCCTTTCCTCGTTAAGGCAAGGTGTGTGTACTCTGCACCTCCCCTCAAACTACACTTTAACACCATCATTACAAGCTCAGGTTGGTGTGCAACAAAGTATGGAAGCGTGAGGAAGTTGCAGATTTAACTATGGAGCACTGTTTCATCAATACACAATGCTACAGTGGTAAAAACTTTGCAGCTGCAAGTGAAGAGAGAAGAGTAGGGTGTGTGAGTGTATTTGTATCTGAAAACTAAGGTACAATGTAAACACAACAACAACAGAGAAGTTGTAGCAATCTCAAGCATGACTGAGCATGAGCGAGCTAATGTTTTCCAGGCTACACACTGATATTGGTCCATATTTATACCGATATGGGCAAAATGACGGCGGTCATTGTCGCAAATTTCGGTATCAGTAAATTTTCGGTTTATTGCCCAGCCCGGAATATTGTGTAGGGGGCATCTAGTAAGACCAGCAGTGTCCTGTTGCCACTGTGTTTGTTTGGGCAGACAGGGCAAACAAATAGCTGTAAGACTGAAAAACAAGCATGCAGGCTAAATATTCTGCTAGATTAAAACACACTGGAAAGGGGCCTGAGGCTCGGGCTGTTAAATGCCCATAACACTCCAGTACAGTGTACTTATCCTCTGAGACTGAATATTAACTAGCAGCAACTTAGTGCAAATGAAGCTGTGCAGCACTAACAGATCTGCAGGCATTTAACAGTTGAGGTGATGTGGAAACTTGAAGATGAGTCAAGAAATCTTACATCAATGCATAATCCCCTGAGTTCAAACAGATCAGACAGGAAGACTCAACATATCTCACACATGGAAACAAAAGCAATACCAGAGGATCTATGCCATAGAATTATGTTCAGAGGCACAGCTAACCTGACAACTCTCTTACATAATGTGGCTGGATCGACAGCGAGTCTCTTTTGCCAAAGGTATACCTTCTTCAACCCTCTAACTTTCCCTCTAACTTTGGAGCAGAAGTAGCTGGCAGTGTTTAAGGGAGAGAATGGTGTGTTATTTTAACAACCTGTAGATACATGAAAAGCTCACAGTGCTTGGACATGCCATCACCTTTAAATCACTACGCCGCCATGCCAGAACATTTTTTATACATTTATGGCTGTATGTAACAAAAAACTCAAATCTGAGGATTCAAATAGTGGCCATGAATTTGCTTTGATTTAGGGGTGTCTCGATACGATATCAGATATCAGTCCGATATCAGCAAAAAACGAATATCGGATTATATTGACCTGCATCTACAATCTCCTATATCAGCACTCCGAGACAAGCCATCCATTCCAGACTCTGCTCCGGCACTGATATCTAGCAGCGCCCTGATCCAGCATGTAGAGCCCACAAAATCACAACAACACTGTGTACTAAGGTACTAACAAAGTACCAAGGAGTAAGAGGAGTGTTGGCTTTGTTGCAGTATTTTTTGTTTAAATACGGAAAAGACATTGCAACTGGTTGAAAAACTTGTCTACGGTATTGTATCTGAATGTCAAAAAGTTGTATCGGGACACCCCAAAATCAAAGCAAATTCATGGCCACTACTTTGATTAGCTCATTGGTACTAGTAATAAACTTGCTAACTTGTGTCTCAACTGTGCCATAAACATTCATAACTTGGCCTGTAATTCATAAATTCAGTGACTTACCATGGGACCTGGCTCTCCTTTGGGGCCACGAAAACCATCTTCATAATCATAGAAGAAGTCTGGGTCCCCGTATCCGTAATCATATCCCTCCAAGTCGACATCATCATAGCTGCCATCCAGATGTTCTGAGATGTCCACCTGATTCTCACGATACAAAGTGGTTCCATTGGCTTTCGAAGGGGTCTCCAAGGGCTGATAGATCTGTTGGTGAACCAAGCCAGAGTCGCTGGAGCTGGTGATGGAGTTGTTCCTGAGACCTTCCTTCACTCGACCTTGCCTGGCAAGGGAAATTAGGCCTGGCAAGGTGGCCCCTGGAGTCTGTAGGCTCCCGGAGCTGTTTTCCTCCTCTGTGCTGTTTTCAGAGTGATCGGTATCTCCCTCGAGACTTCTCCCTTTTGCCAATTGATTGTTGATAGTGGTGACCGTAGTTACAGAGGTGGTATAGCTGAGATCTGGACCTGTTCCCTCACCTGGGGTAACCAAAGTGGGGTTTAAAGGCTGAAGTGAGGATGTGGTGGAGTGGGCAAAGGAATCCAACATTGAACTTTGGCTCTTGTTCCCCAAATGAGGTTGTACTGATGTGCTCAGAGTTGAAAACTGTTTGATTGAACTACCTTGGGATAGTCTGAAACCCTCTGTGGTTTTCATAGGAGTTTGATGGGTAGCTGCTACTCCAATAGGGGACTTTGTCAGGGGATCAGAAGGAGGGTCATTTGCCTCAATATCCAAACCAGGTTGTGGCAAAGGCAACCGGTAAGTGTCGGCCAGCCGGCACTGTGTTCTAAGGTAGTTGCAGTAGTGGGCGGCAGCTTGTGCCGAGGGATAGATATCTAGTTGGCAAACTCGACCATAGAATGGCGCAGCTTTGGAGTTCATCCTCCCCAGAGTGAAGAGACCCCCAGAATCCCCCAGTGTCTGAGATCTCCCCAAGATTTGCTCCCACTGCTGCACTGCTCCACAATTTGCAAAGAAGGACACTGAGCGTGCACGAACACCCACAGCAAAAGGGTGCTGATGCCCATCCTGCCAGTTGTAGGTGAAATAGATGGGGGCATTCTCTGCGGTGTAGACCACCACTCTGCGTGGCAGCAGCTGAATGCCAAAACGCAGCCTGTCCATTCCATCTTTGACACTAAAAAGAAATGCATTGTTTGCTCGCCAGGAGCTTAGGCTAACCACAACAGAAAACTCCTCACCGATCTCAGGCGGGAAAAGACCGCCTGCTGGAGCCTCATAGAGGGAGTTTGAGTCGAGTAATACCCCATATCCAGAAACAGGAAGATTCACAGGTGAGGGAGCTGTGGTGTAAGCAGTCCAATGTGAGTTTGTCCTCGTGTCTTGATCGTCTGTCTTGCCTTGAGCAGTAAGGCCCAATCGAGAGAGGATATCCACTCCTAAAGAAAAGATGGGAACATGTGTAAGGTTTACAGGACTTTTCATGGCTTTTGAAACAGGTCACGTATTTCAGAACAGGTACCAGTGTACTCAAGTATATGAGGTCAAAATTAAAATATTTGAAAAATTTGGGGAAAAAAAATTCTGTGAACCAGTTTTAATGTTGGCTAAAGCTTGCCACTTGCAGTCAAGTTTGTTGACTGCATAGCTTTATCAATTAAACAGTTAACAGCTAGTCAATCAGTCTGAAAAGCTTTATGCAATGAACCTGTGAAACACAAAGTTTAAGTCCTATTGAAAAATAATAAAACATGTATTCTTTCTGTGTTCATTTTCTGTCTAAAACACGACAAAAAAGTTTCACTTTAAAACATGGACCAATACAGGAATATGAAGTGTCCTTAGCTTACAATGATTGTTGGAGAAAATTTGATCAAATCTGATTACCTTGTAATTGTAACTGTCTCTATATTTGTGCCCAATGAAATGTTTTGCAAGATACCATGTGTGAAACATGAATCCTCTTTTTAAATGATACAAGTGTTTTCTGCTGTAAGTTGCACCAAATCTGCGACAGTGATTCTGTTGATCCAGTGGTTAAAGACCCCCATAAGGTGTAAGAGAAAATGAAAAGCAAGGAAGATTTAGTCATCTTACAACATAATTCATTGCAGTTGAAAACGATGAATAATGTTTTTTGGAGTATTATATAACCTCCATTTAGAGAAGTTTACTGAAAAAGTCAGACATCCTACAGTCTCCCCATGATGGTTTTGATGATTTGTTTTTCTCCAGGAATGAGCACCTGAGAGGCAGCTGTGACCCAGATAAGTGAGGAAACTAGAAAAAGATTAGACTCGACACAGATACAGGAAACCTGTCCACAAATACTGTTGAGTTTGTCTGCCAAAAGAGGCTTTTATTTCAAAATATTCTGTTGTTTTTCTGTGCCCACAAGATTTTGTGTTATGTCTGCCTTCAGAAGTGCACAGCGAGGCTAAAGCATAATTTTTTTCACCAATAGTGGAAAAATCTAAAAGCTTGTTCTTCCACATATTCAAGTGCTAAGGCAAATGTACAGAGATGAGATTTCTAGTGTATTGGATTTTAATTTGAAGGTACTGTAATCTGTCTAGAACTTTATCTCAACAAATAAAAGAGGTTTTAGAAGAGATGTGATTTTGTTATGTTTGAAGACCGATCAAGTTATAGCTATAGGCTGTGTGTCGTCATTATCCTAAAAACTAAAAAGAAAAAAAGAAAAGGTGGAAGAACTTCTACAACCCTGTCTGTCAAATTGATTGACAGTCGGAAGATGTAATGTTACATTTGGTTCACACTGTTAACCTAATGAAAAAGACATTAAATCAAAAACATGTCTGTATTGGATAAGCGGCATGATTTGCACCAATTTAGACCTTCCGACTCTTCAGGGAATCAAATTATACAGAGGCTCAAATCAAAACTGTGAAATGCTGACAGCATTTTGAATTAAAGATGGAAGCTTTGATTAGGAAAACTCGAAAGTAGTTAGCTATTTCTGTAGCAACAAGCCTAAAATGTCAAGTGTTTGGCAATAAACGGGAAACGTGTAGCTATTCAACATCAGGCTGTTCTATCACACTATCCAGAAGCTAAGGTAAAAGTGGTACTTTTGGGATGGGATCCACGTTGGTTCCACTTATTTTGCTTGTTATAAACGTTGAATATCTACAGTGTTTGGAAGGATTGTAGAGGAGCAGATTAGAACCAAGACAGAAAGCGTGTGTAACAGAAATGAGTCATGATACATCAGCCAGAGACGCGATTCAGTCCTTCATCTCACATAGGTGGACTTTCTATGTTTGCTGATCTCAGCATGCAATGAGATGTCCTTGACATTCTGAGCCTGAGGTAATGTCAGCCCAGATTCCAATTAACTTGTCTCATATGTGAAGACAAGCTGCCCAAGCACTCTTTGTACATTCCTGCTGCCCTCACTATGATGGATTGATCCAACTTGGAATGGACTGATCGACTGTAGAGATGTGGAAAGATGACAGTGCAAATAAAGACAGAGACTGTGAATTCAGGAGATAAAGCTTTAGGGCAGTTTTCTCTCCGTGCACTGGTTGGTAAAATATCCACACACACTCCTAACCGTCAACAAATATGTGAGGATTCATCATGGGTTTAACCAGAAATTGAGCTTGACAACCCTCTGTGATGTTTCTGGCAGAAGCCCAGTGATATGACACTCAAAAGAAATAATATATCCTCCTTAGAATACCTTGAGTGCAGCCAGCAACCCAAACATTTTCAGCGCTTCATTTAGTTTAGATTATTCTGGCAGCATTGGATCTTTCAAGGAAGTCACCTCCATAAAAATAAGTGTCAAACTAATCTGTTATGACTCTCAAGAGACCAGGTGGAAAAACCATCTCTGCTTTTTGCAATCAACTTCTAACCTCTGCTGTTCACACTTTCAACTCTACTGATCTTTGTTGCCTTTTTTGCGGATATCTCCATAACTGCTGAGGATTTCACTGATATCTATTTTTCCTCTGTGTCTAACTGACAGGTGTACTTGCACAGAGTTCTGATCTGAGGATGTTCATATATTATCAGAAAGAAAGAGCATTGAGAAAAAAAGATGAGGAGAGGCTGCAACAGGGGCTACTTAAGCTGAGCAAATATGCTGCAGGAAAATGAGGAGTAAAGTAAGATAAGGTCCTGTGTGCAGCCGCTTCATAGAAATTCTTTCCAAAATAGAAATAGTAAAATAATGAAAAATAAAATTAACCCCGTAAGAGTTTGCAATCTGGGTTCTGCTCTGATAGAGTGTTTTGTCATATCACAAAAGCATTATAGTATAATGGTTCCACTGAACATAGTCTAGATACCATAGTTTTTCTCTCCAAGCACAGCTTCTTCACTCTCATCTAAATCTGTCAATTGTGTCCTTTTTTCCGTTCATTAAAAATCCAAATAAATTAAAATGAATATGAAGTAAAATATGTTTATCTAGATTTGGATCCTAGGATTGATCTAAGTGTGTAATGTGTGATTTGAGGTCTGTAGTTTACCGTGAGCTAGGTAGTCTTCTTCTGCAGAGGGTGCTGCTGAGCATACTGACAGGAGCAGGATAAAGTTCCACCTGGGGAGACACAAAAATGATACAAGATAAGTTCATTTCAACTGTGAATCATAAAATATTTACTTTAAGGAAACAGTGAAACAGTTCAACCACAAACAGTGGACTTTCATTGTTTTGTCTCTTTGAAAAGTGAGTCATTCGTAATGAAATTATGAGAAGTCTCAGCTTAATTTCAACATTATCATTTTCCCTTTTATTCCCTGTTTCAGATAAATCTCACCAAAACCCATTGGGACCAGCAAACTGATGAAATACTACTCTTGAAGTGTCATGTGTGAATTCTCAACAAGAACATCAGAGTAATGAAATAATGAAGTGGCTTATGCTGATGACTTTCAGTGGATGGAAGGGAAAAAAAAGCACAGAAGGATGCAATAAACATGTGCAACAGACAAAAAACTGCAGTGTCTATTTCTGATCTTAAGGAACCTAAATGTTTTTTTGCTCTGCTTTTTGAAATGGATGAAAATTGTGCACCCCAAGCATTGTAAGAGCAGGGAAGGTGGTTACATGTTTGCAATGTGAGTTACAAAGAAAAAAAAATATGAAATGCAATCTTTTTCATAACGGCATGACAGCCAACTGACTGGCTGTCAATGCTGCATGAATCTCAAAACTAACCAAGTAAATTTGTCTTTAATCTAGTCTCGGTTCACTTAAAGGTGCCATGACCTGACAGGTCAAAAATTTAAGATATGTCACGCAAAAATGTTGTTTCAAGTTCCAAGGAAAAAAGTATATTACATCCTTTTTCAAGAATCCTATCAAGATCATTTTCATTGTTGCACAACCAGCAAATTAAAATAAATCAAGTCCTAATTTTTGTCTTGTAAAAACAAGCCTATCTGCACAGCCAGCCCTGACTTGAGCATGCAGGAACTATCCACTAAGTGAAAAGTGGTTTGGGGAACTGTCTTAACTTTTTTCCTTTTATGAAGCAGGGCAAATCTTTCCCTCCTCAACTCACCAAAATGGGTTAAAATGGTAAGTTTTCTGGTAATTCAAGTACCTTTAAAATAAAACACTTTTTACCCTTACTTGACAGATAGAGCTTAAAAATACCCGAAATGCAAGCAGCAGTAAAATGACATTTTTGTAATTTCATATCAAAAAGGTAGTTGAGGCATGAAATGTACCAACTTTGTGGCAGTGGTCGACTCTGGTCAGTGTTAAAAAGGTAAAATGGGAAGCAGATGTGACCCTTGTTCCTCTGTCAGGGATGAAACATCCACTAACTATCAAATTTAACATTACGTCTAAAAGTTTTGTGAGTTTGTGATGGTAAACGGTGTTCACCACACTGCAGATATTTGGGAGACCTTAGCGGAAAAAACTTACACGGTCTACTCCGGAAACTGCGACGTTAGGCGTCTCGAGCTTCCGGCGAATGTCAAGGGTCGCTGTCTAACAGGTAAACGTCAAGCTAACTACCCTTCTTTGACTTACACGCATTAGTAAACTTAAAGTTTGTATTATTTTTACTTGATGAATTGGAACCTCTTGAAGCATTGAAGCTTTCCATCCAATTGCTCGACTCATGGGCCGAAACTTCATTGAGCTCTTCTTTATTTTTCTTTCTTCCGCAGCCGGCGAACGGTCGAAGAGCTTCCCCGACTCCGCTGCTAGAATGGTTCGTATTTTAAGTTGCATTCAGGCACTGCCAGAATAATAGGAAAACGTAGTTTTCTGCTGAGGCAACGCTACCAACGTTATCAGAACTAAGAAACTTGGAGAAAAATATCTTACTTTCAGGGTGGACAGAGTTAACGTCATATAATAGAGAAATATGGGGAACCAAACCAAAACTTATCTTTATTAACTGAAAAATTTGATCGGCATACAATAGAATAGAATAGAATAGAATATTCCTTTATTGATCCCCCATGGGGGAAATTTTTTAATTTATACAGTTTTGTCTCGTACGTCCACTATGATAACGTTTAACAATTGGTAGCATGCGATTAAAACTTCCCACTTAGTTCTGCCACAAATAATACTCCTACATTACGAACTATTATCACGACCCACGGCCACTGCACACTACGAGGTATGTTGGGATAACGATATTATATTTTTGAGAAGTACAAGAATCCGAGGTGCACCTGAATGCACCGTTGCAGTTTAATTCCACTGCATTGGTTATTTTTTAAATAAATGTGTATCATAACCAGATATCAGTGTCTTGTGCTACAAAGTTTTGCAAGAAAAAATGGACAATGATCAGTAACAATGGTGGAAACAGTGAAAACTGGATTAAAATCAGAGTTTGGAGCATAAAAAGAAACTATGTGCTCCTTTATGGGAAACCTAACTCCTGCACTGACCAGGGCTCTCAACTTCTACATTTTAATGTCTGAAAAATAAAGTCATGCAGAGAGCCTTTTGTGTCGTGCTTGAAAATGATGGCATTTCCCCCCTAAAGGCAGATTACTGAAAAATGTTGAAGTTCTGTGTGTTTTGAGCTGTGGCTGCAGAGAGGAGAAAAAACTAAAGTAAAGAAAAAGAGAGAGGGTGTTATTGAGGATTTTACCATGAAGAGCTCTTATTCTCTTTTAAAACAAAAACATAAGGACTCATTATACTTGCACTGTGCGCTGAGACCTTTCTGCATGACAGAATAGTGGACATTTCATCCTTTGACCCTCACTGACCCCACCTCTAGGTGGCACTGCCTTCCATGGAGCTAGACAACCAGCATGTGCTGTTTGCAGTCAGGAAAGAATTCAGTGGTCATTGCATTCACAAACTGCAGTGCTGCCTGAATATCCTTTATTAGATGACTTTATCAAATACAATTTCAGTTTCAGAAATTAAAGAAATCTGTTTACTGTTTTCGTTGTGATTCAGAGAAGGTTTGGGCCCCAAATTTCTCTTTTATCTAAGAACACAGCAGTGCTAATTGAGATACAAGAAATAGCTCATTTTTCAGGCTGTAATAGATGATTGAAAGCTTGGACAGAATTTAGCAGTAAAATGAATTATTTCAGACAGGGGGATCAAAAACGCTGAGTTTTTGGCCAACCAAAGTCAAAATTAGGGCTGCTCAATAAATTGCAAATAAAACCCTGTCACAGTACATTTAATTTATTACAATAAATAGCGATACTATTCGCTGTGAACAATGTTTTCTAACTCACCATGTACAGTTATATCTAGCTATGGGGAACCTCAGATTTACTGGTGATAATTAAGTGAAAAAAGACCTTAATTAGTGGATCTTGAATTCAGCAGAAACACGTTGCAAACACAGATACTGTGTAAAACATGGGGAACAACAGATAAAATGAGAGACTGTGAGAATTGAGGCTTAAGCTATTTTTAATATTTGCTGAATTACACACTTAAAGTGATATCACTCAACAATACAAATGAATGTTGCATGATTTTTAGACAGTGCAGTTTTAGAGTCAGATTTGCTGACAAGTAGTATCAAACATTAATCATTTTCCACCTTAGATTCTGATTTCATATGGCAGCAATATGCTCAATAGTATAAAATATATGTAAGCTCTACAGAAACAGATTTTTTTAGAAAGATCTATTAGTCAGGATGTATGGATTTATCACACAGGTGAGCATGATAAACATTTTCCTCTAAAGTCAAACTACAGAGTAAATCGAACCATCACTGAAAATGGATCGATCGCCTGTTTGCATCCAACTGAACCAATTTTATAATTTGCTTTCATCCAACTATTACAGTAGTGATGTTTTATCTCCTCAAACTTTAACCTGCAACATACTTTACAGAGCATTTGTCATGTACAGCTTCAAAGCATACTCTGCACCTTTGAACCAAATCAATCAAACGGACAGGCCAATACAGAGCAACAGCTGCTGACACAAGGTGAAGTGGCTTCCAGTGGGATAATTTTCAACACAGTGTGATGGTGCAAAAAGACTCCGGGAGACAGTAGTCCTGCTATGTTAATATGCAGTTACGTAATACTGCCAGAAAGAGGTCTATCAATCACAGGCTGCTGTCACACCTTCAGCCTTAAGGGATTGTTATGTGAGTGTGATGAGACTGTCTAACAAACGGCGGCCTTTTGGGACTAGATTAACTCAGTACAGAGGCTACTGGTGTTCATATGGCCCTGTTTAAGGGACAGACAGTCAGCCATGTTTGTTTTCCCAGCGGAGACTTTAGCAAGAGAAAGAGAACGAGAAAGAGAGAGAGAGGGAAAGAAGAAGATTGACTTTAAGTGGGGACACTATGAGCTGTTTCTGTCACCTGTTACCCATCGAGAAAGTGGTGCGACATTCCTCGGCCGGGAACATAGACTAAACCCCAAGCAGGAAAAAGCAACGGAGGTAAACAAGAGGGGGGATAAACGATGACAATGATTCATCTGTCTCAAAAGGGTAAAACAGACATCTACAAAGTCGGTCATAACTGGTTTCACTTAAGACTTGGCAGGGTTTAAAAGTAGACCAAAAAAAAAAACTAAATATAACACTTAACATTCCCTGTTGGAGTTTCAACTGGGGCCATCTGATGCTGATTGGACTGCTTTTTCTGCCTGTCTGTCCTGCTGTCTCCTTGTCTGAGCTATTTTAAGGTTTCTCTGAGTATCTGCCACCAAACAGGCTCAGGTCATCAGTACATTTTCAGTGACGTAAATACAAGTAGGGGAGCCACATGTCTGTAAACCCCTTTATCACTGATTCCTGTCAGGACATTTTTGTTCTTTTGCAGGACATTATTGTTTTAACCTTTAGCTTCCTTTAGATTAGGTGTTCTTTGACATTGACATTTTCTGTTATCTGTTACCACACCGCTGACATATTTGTATCATGTAATATCTGCCATAGAGAGGTGGGAATTTGTTAAGTAAAAATGGTAAACTCCAGTGTGGCACCAGCATGCCACCAACTGGTTGCATTGAAGGAGTTGGCGCAACAATGAAGGCATACTGGGTTTACCTACTGTCAATATGTCTACCTGAGAAAGAGAAAGGATCCAAACCCTGCTCTTTTAAGTGAGATGGATCACAAGACTCTTAAGCAAGGACATATAGAGTCTTTGTAGATTTGAAGTAAATCATGCCTTTTTATGGATATCATGTGTTTGGACTAAAGCTTTACTGGACTTGGATCACTGACACTCTTTCCGTTGCAGCGTAAGAACGAATCACAGGACTTTCAACAAGTTTAAACAACAACATTAACATACGCTTCAAATCATTTTAAACATATTAACCGTTTAAAATAATAAACATACAAATCAAGTTTCTGAATTGATGGTGCCTCTCTTGCTTCCTTGCGTTTTTATCTTGTGTTGGTTAACTTTGTTCATGTCTTTACCACTTCCTTGAGTTTGATTTCCTTGGGTTTTAACAGTTTTATCAAATACATATGTTTTATACAGCGCCGCCAGTGTTGGAGTTTCTTCCTTGAACCCTGTGGTAAATCCCTGCCTAAGTGACAGCTCACTACAACATGCTTCCCAGTCCTTGCAGTTAATGGAAAAGACAGCCAAAAGCAAGACAAAGCTCCCCAAACACTGCTCTGTTGACTAAGGGAAATACCACTATGTGGGGAGTGGGTGTCATGTCAGGACTATAAATAATCACAAGTTTAAAACTCCCTTCTGCAATGAATCATTCCTGCAGAAACAGATCTCAGCGTTCTCCCCTCGAAATTAGCTTGGAACCTTAACAATGGTTCATTCAAGTGAGAAGACCGAGAAGCAAATGGAGAGCGGTCCATTTGGTTTGGCAAAGAGGAGCAAACCCACTTAGGTTCTGTTTACAATTCTCAAAAGGAGAGGGAAACTATTTTCTTGGGGTCATCATTGATGTCAGTCAGGGGGCGACTTTGTAAGCGGCGACATTCCCACTATTCTGTTTGCATGTCTAATTTTGCAAGCCATTGACCAAACCCATTAGTTGCAAAGCTGCTGATCTACCCAAACAAATCTGAAATGTTTGACTTTCATGGGAATAAAGAAAAGAGATTCTTCAGCGCCTGATTCTTGTTAAGAGTAAAAGTTGTACACAAAGCTAACATCAACTCCTCTTTACCCTGAAATGTCCTGTATTTGTCTGGCCCATCTAAACAAACTCAATGGGAGTTACCTTGACTGACCTGATCCCATTTCATCCCGTCGGCTGACAATAAAGACACTGTTTCTGCCTTCAGAATAACCAAACAGGACTTTAAGTACTCTTAAGATTTACTCCACACAGAGTCATTATTCGGAAAATTGAGGTTTATAGAGCTTGACCCTAGAGCATTTGTCTAACCTCCACTGTTATATGCCCCACTGGAAGAAATGCAGCTCAGTTACAGCTAAGTCTTAAATGGAGTGCAGTTCAAAACAGAAGGAAAGTCATAACTTCAAAATATTACCTGACACAGTTTATTTAGGCATATAATAAAAGTCCGTTTGCCAAGACTTACAGTGAGTAAATTTAACCTGACATGTGAAATCTGACATCTTTGATAATTGCAGTAGTCTCTCCTCATGTCAAAACCCAGTCTGACACCCACATACACACATTGTTGGTTCACTCAACGGAAACATCTGACTCTCTTGCTAATCAGGTGTTATGTTCCTGCATGCTTCGCTTCTCCATCTCACCCAAAACATTCCTCGATGTGAATAAGTAGCTGATACGTTGCCAATATCTGCTCCTACAGTACTGGCCATGTTTCAGCTTCAACACCTGTGTCCTCATTATAATCACTTCATTATGAATGCACTGCGAGTCTCCCTTTACGCCGAAATGGCCACCAGCAAAAAAGTAGCAAGTTAAGTTTCCAGCTCTCAATTGCCTACCAGATGCTCTTCTCTTGCCAAGACTGAAATTCTCATCCGCTGTCATACATTTCCAAAATACCCCGAGCAACTGGTGAATAAAAATATCACTGTAATTCCCAGAGATCAGCATGTCATGTTGGGATGCTTTGTCTTTGTCAAAGAGCCAAGCGTGGTGCATGTTTGTGCTCCCTCAGGAGGGTGACTGGAGTCAAGAGGTCACCGCAGAGCAGAGTAAAGATTGACTTAGTCCACAAGACAGCGAGCAGACAAAGGGCTGTGAGTAAACTTCCACAGGTCTTTATTGGTTTGCCCTTTTCCTGTTGCAGGAGGACCTGCAGATGTTAAGAGGGCCGGACACACTCACTCGCACAGATGGGTCAAAAATGCTTTCAGCTGGGCAGGCACCAGTGTGGAGAAGGTGCATGAGCTTCAACAGGACGATGTTCAGTATGTGATTCCAGCATGCATCTTTATCAAGAATAATCAAGATTACAAGTGAGAGAAGTGTAACCTGAAGCCATGGCAACAAACTTTATCCTTTTTTAATTCACTCTTCTGAACATTTACACAGTCACAGTCCACACAAAAACAACACATTTCCACCAAAACAGCACTTTTCTTTTAAACTGTCTTTTTTTTTTTACATTTGACATAAAACAGCTCATCACACAAGTGGTCAGGCTGAACTCTGTTATAGCTTGTCATCTAATAGTGAAACACTTAGCTGTTAAGTATTTCAGTTGCTTGTGAAATGAATAATTAGGTACCAAAGACATCTTTCAGTTGTTGTCATTAGTGACTAATGAAGTTGGAAATGAGCCTCACAGCAGGAAACAAATGAGTGCAACAATCAGTAAACTGATTCTAAGCTTTCTCCTACTCCCTCAGATCACGATTTCACTGATCTTATGACCTTTTGTTGATAAAAGAAACTCATCACTGAGCCAAAGTGAAAAGACTAAATGGGAAGTATTAAAAGTGACTCTCGGCTAAATTATACGGTAAACAAAGCATGTGATGAGAGGCCAGTTTTGAGGGGATTTCAGGAGGATTTTCATGGAGGATGTCAACTAAAGGATTCACACAATTAAGGCTCTCATGGAGTTTATTGGTTAAATCATATACCCCACATACAGAGGCTGTAATCTAAGAGGCAGGTGGCTTTGGCTTAATCCATACCTATAGACATTATCTGCCTATAATCCTTCTCTATACCAAGTTTTTTCCACTGTATAAAGACATAGAAGGCCCCAAACAAATCTTTGTGTAAAAAGATCACACAATCATAAAGAACTTGAAGCTGTAACTCTTCCTTTGTCTGTAAAAAGACTCCAGGAAGTCTGCTAGCTGATTTGCTGCTAGCTTACTTGGCCTTGCTAGCTTGTTTTGAAGTTAGGATTCTTCCAGTAGAGGTTTTCACCCAGAGCCGAATTATTGCTGTCTTTGACACAAACACATCAAGAGATTACAAACCAGTGAAACCCTGACTAATGCACGTTCAAGAACAAATTCAGCTTTAATAGTCCTCTTTGGATCAGCTAGCTGGCTGCTAGTTGAGCTCCTGCTAACTTGGTAAATCCTTCTTCAAGTTAAATAAATAAGTCTAAAAAACAAACTGAGTCACAGCACTGGTGCATCAACCATGCATCCTTTGATTCCCATTAAATCATCCCTCCTGTAACCACTTCAGTAGGTCCCAGTAAGTGTTTAATATTCTGCTTATTTCTGCAAAACACACATAATCTTAAGGGAACAGGAGTCCAGCATGGCATAGTACATTAATCAAATGACTTCAAATGTATGCTTCCAAACAGAAACTTTACCTACAGTCAGAATATCGTAAAAAAATCCAGTGCCAACCTGCAGTGTCGAAAACTGAAACCAACGCATAAGTGCGAAACAACTGCAGTTCCTCGAGTGTCCACTTGAGGTTGGCTCCAGAAAGTCAATAAACCTTGATAGGGCCCATGTTTAAGTGCAGATTTTTACAGCAGAATCAGACATGTTTACAGCCCGGTCAGAAAAAGCCTGCTCTATAAACCTAATGTTAATTTTTAATGCATAAATTTGCATAACTGGGCAAATTAGACAGCCAAGTGGGCATGTTAGCTCTTAGCCAAGAGGCTTAAGGCCCACCACTGGGCTTCTACTGACTGAAAATTTGGTAGTTGACATTTCTAATATGTCAGCCACAATCTTTGAGGTGCTAATAGGTCTGGTACAATGTCCATGTTTTATAAAGTCTGTGTAGAAAATAACTGAGCCAATCATCAGTCCACGTGACGAGTGATTTGCCATTTCCACTTCTTTAAAAACGTTTATCATTATTTTAATATGAAAGCCAGAAGCCGGTCTTGAGAAAATAGAAAGCGTACAGTATATGAGCGACTTCAGCAGCTATACAATCCAAACACTGGTAGCAAAGGAGCAGCGATCCCTGCAACAGTGGGTGATTGTCTGGAGCTCAGGAGCCGGCTAACCACTGATGCATACACACTAACTCTCACCATGCATTCAAGGGGAGGCCACACTTGTTCTCAGTCAACTCCGCTCTCCCATAAGGCTCTCATTTTCTCTCTCGAGGACAAAAAAAAAGAAAGAAGAAAAAAAAGGACCTCTCAGGATTTCAGGTCCACTTTGTTTCCATCCAGCAAACACTGTCAGCAGGGAACAACAGGAAGCATTGAGAGCTCCGTTCTTTTTCGACCTTATCTGGAAGGGATTCATAATAGAGTACAGACAACTTGGACTCACTTCTGATAGAAGAAAATACATTTCCTGCAAAGTGGCCTGCAGAGGCATGCACATTTTTGCAGCTACGAGGTCTCAGTTGAATGTAACAGGACAACAAAAGCTGCGTGCAGGATGTCAATAATAAACACATCCATGAGGAATGTACAGCTTTAAGGCACAATCTGAATCATCTAAAGCCAAAAACTAGTGACAGTGCTGCTTCATAAAAAGTCCTTGACAGTCTCCTTATCATCATAGTACAGAGTAACAGTGATTTGTAACTGACATGCTGAATAAGCATTATTGTTTCATTCACTCTCTATGGACTCAGGTGTTTACTCTCCAGCTTATCAAAGTTATGAGCACGCCGGATAAATAAAAGAAAAGAGGATTCAGCAGTGTGCCAGATGGTATTCCCATTGTAATGTTGGAGATTCCAGGCTGCATGTTCATATGGCGAGTTCAAAGCCAAGACCTGTGCACTCTCTGCTGCTGAACTGTCAGCTACATTTATCAAGATCAACCGAGGATAGAAAAGAAGCTGTCTGTAAAATATTCAAAAGTTAAAACACATGGATGCATGGAAAAGTGCAACTATCAGTCAGGATGGTTAGACTGGGGTAAAGAGTCCATATGAGGAGTCAGTATGGTTTATACACAGAGTGAAACAAAGACATCTAGTTTAAAAAAAAGTCTGAAATAAGAAGACAACACTAGTACAGCTCATTGATTGCTGCAGGGACTGTGTTTAGTCAATTGGCGCCCCTGTCAGGGAAATGAGCCAAAGTACCAGAGTGGATGTAAGTCAGCCACTTTCCATTCATATGAAAAAAAGACTCTGGCACACTCTGTGGTGAAGAAATTTAATCTAACATTTACGCAGCCATCTTTTATAGACGCGAGTAAATTTGACCACTTACGTTGCTGCCGCGGAAACGTGTCCACTCCTTGTCCGTTGAGCTCCTAAATGCATTTGTATGCATTTGTCCAGGCAGCAGAGATCTGGGTGAAAACAGAATCACACTCACGAGGATACCTGCACATGGGCTAACTCTCTGGCAGCAGCCAAATGAAGCGTAAATCGGACGGAGGAGTTGTGCCAACTCAGAGTTTCCTCATCGTATCGCAGTCCGGAGGAGAGATCTCTCCTGCTCGTGTCAGACCTGAGCTCCTCGGATCCTCTGCGCTCTGCGGCGCGCAATGCTCGGGCTCTGTCTATCCAAAGTGGGGACGCGCAACAGTTTCATAGAAAAAAAAGAAGAAGCTGAACAGCAGCAGAGCGGCTCTCTGGTTTGTTGCAGCTTTGACTCGGTTGTATGTGAGTGATTCACAGAGAAAGAGTGTCTCAGAGTGCAGATCCAACTCCGCGCGGCTTTACCTCCAGGCGGTGGTTTCTGCTATGTGCCTTGACTTGCACTGATGCAAGGGGACCCGTATTCACCCCAACACAACTCCTACCAGCTGGTGGTGTTGGGTTTCACCACTTACACACTCGTGACATCACGCAGAGACTTTTGGCTTGCGTTCATCGATGCCCTTTGTCTGCTTTGACTGCTGTATTATTAGCCAAAAAAAGAGCTATTCTTAGCCTAAAGCTGGATGGAAGGCATGTCCCAAGTGGAAAACGCAGCATGAACTTACATGCAGAGACACACTCAGATAACTTACACATACACAAATACACACAGAGACTGAAATAATGCCAGAGAAAATAGAGAGATCAGCTGGTGCAGTCTCATGTTGTTTGCTGACAAGCAAATCTGCCAGGTGCTGCAGCTCAAAGCTCTGTTGTTCTGGCAAGACTATCTCTTATCCAACATTGGGCAACAAGTATCTGGGTGTATTTTGGTACTTCAAGTATAATTCTTCCAGACAATAAACCCTTAAGCTTACTTAAGCATGTTTTCTTTGTGAAGGAGTCAGAGTCGGAGTACTTATTTTGCTCTTAAGTATAATTAGAAACAACCGAACACTTCGCAGCCCGCAGTGTTGACAAGACGATGGTTATCATTTCACCAAAAGATTATCCTTGCAAATGCTTAATCGGGTTATCACTTATGGTTTAAACCTTTATTAGTCATTGATAAAAAGTAATACAAAAAAGGTCGCACAGTTTTCATTTGAAGAAATTGTTAAAAAAATTGGCTTACAGGCTAAGCTATCCTTTCTCTGAACAATAAAGTTGAAAAAGTCATCTTCAAAACATCAGTAATTTGAAACAGATTGTTCCAAGTTTTGGGTGCAATGCACCAAGGTATAGCATTTTTTAACTGTTTCAATATTATCAGCTGACTAAGACCATCGAAAGCGTCAACTTTAGCAGCTGAAAATGGGAAGCCAGATCTCTGACAAACTCCACACTAGTTTGTTCATCAGCTTTTACCCAACTTCTGAATTTTTGGCGGTACACCTCAGGAAGCAACTTACGTGACCTTAAGACAGCCACCTTTACTGTCTGATAATCCAGACTGGCTTCTATAACATAACTGTAATTCTCAAAAAATAATGACTCTACTCTTGTTAAATAATTACTTTACACAATTGACTATTCTGTAATCTTAACAGGCTATTAATGCAAACATTGCAGCATTTGCTTGTTACTATTTCACAGTATTTTATCATTTTTTTGTGTTTAGTGTTATTAACAATAGTTCACTGTTACATTTTAGAATTTACAGTCTTTTACTGTCGGGATTTAACAGTTTTTTACTGTTAAATCTGCTGACTTTTTTACAGTGTAACTTCATTATATGATATATTAGCATTTCTTATGACTTATTGTAAAGTAATACAAGTTAAAGACAAAGTTCCAGCACTGAAACAGTTAAATTAATGCAAATAATCATGTAAAAATATATGCAGGTACATGTACAGTGCAGTCAAGAAGTCTGTGGTGCTGTATATAAAACACCCGAATGCGTCCTGGTCTGAATTTAGTTTGACCAGACTCCAGAATAATTACATTACGCCCTCTCATTTTCCGCCTTTTTACACTCATAAAGTCACCTGTGATCATCACACAGACCACCATGTGACTGAAACCGGTGCAGCTCTGAGAAAATGAAACTCGAAGGTGGTTCACAGGTCGGGCAGCAGGCCAAATAATTTATGAGTTTGATTTTTCATCAGCTCCAGCTAATTACATTTAAAAAAACACAGATTTAATAAGTGTATAAACTCTTGTAGTGTTTCTCATAAAACACTTTGGTTCTGGTACTGATTATGGTTGAAAATAACCCCTCTTTGTTTCTTTTGTAAGTGGATATGCACACGACACCGCAGTGTTCCCCCCTTGAAAAAGACACCTTCTTTTCTTTTTATCTCTCTCATCGTTTTTTCCAAACAAACCGGCTTTAACCCACTTCCACCGCTCCCAATCCAGGTTAACCCATTAACCCAGAACAAACAGAGCTCTGTGGGTCCCCGAGTCCTTCCCCCCTCATCCTTCGACCCCAACCCCAGCATCCTCCTCCAGACGTTTGCAGCCTCCCTCAGCTCAGCCTGGACACAGAAAGAGCCCATATGGTTTCCAGTTTAGGGAACTGGGGGGATGCTGCGAGAAAACGGAGGAGTTCCTGTCTGTAATCCCAGGTGGAGCACAGAGGGTTTCTTAACCTGAGAGACAGTAACAGTGAGCAGTTACTACTTCCAAACATGGACTAATTCAATGAGGTCAAAGCGACATGAAAACTCCTTGCGAGCCTTCCAGCCGCTATAAACAGAGCGGTAAATAAATAGCATTCATTTATTTGTGCTTGCAAACAAGGAATCTGCAGCTTTTAGAGCAATGGAGGTCTGTTTGTGTCTGCAGCACAGGGTCAAACTTTCTCCCCTGTCTTCATCAAAGACAGTTTTCTCTGAGGAGGAAGCATTTGCACTGGATTTTCTCTCCCTTTCTCTCTTCTCCTCTCTCGCTGGCTTTGCCATCAAGCCAGCACCTTGGGATAGCAATGCTTCGACCAGATGTTTTCTTCCACTTCCAGGAAACTGAAAAGTCAAAATGCTGGTTCTTTGACAAGATCATGAATCAACACTGTGAACAAATGAATTACATGATCAGTTTGTAGCAAAGCCCAGACATGGACTTCAATAATATCTCTCTTAGAGAAAAGATGTGTGTGCCATTTTCCAAACAGAAAACATTAGAAGAACCTCTGAATCCAGACGTGTGCCACATTGAAGCCTTGGTAAAACCCTAATGAAGGTAATGATATACGGCCTGTAGAGCCTTATGCTGCAAAAATGTCCTAAAAGCTTTTTCTTATACGACCCCATAAAACTACTTCAGCCAAATATGTAAGCAGATTTACAGCAAACTTTCAAGATGCACTTTCTCTTCTTCTTCTTCTTCTTTTTTTTTTTACATGTCCAGATGTGTACTAATCAGTCCATTGTGCACTGAGCAGCCCAAAGAGTGAGTAGTGTCCGATAATCAGAATCAGATCACCTCTCTTTCTGCTCTCTTGAGGAACGTGCAGATGAGCGAACGCCGGCCCCCTCCTTGAAAACATGTGGTATTCCCCTCATGCAACGTCAATACTCATTCAACTCCACCAAAACAAAAATATAGGTTCTTGTAATCGAGCCAGAATCACAGCAGTGGTCAATGGAGCAATGCCTTTGGAGGATAACCGCTGAGAGTTCGAAGTAAAGGAAGGCCGGACAGGATTCAGATCAGACCCTCATGGATTCCCGCTTCCATATGATGGAGATATTACATAATGTAAGAGGTGCACATGTCCATGAGTTTTTATTTACACAAGTCTGTCTGTAATTCGGACTCAGGGGCGTTAATGCTCTCAAAGGTTCCAACAGTGAAGTCAATACAGATCAGAATTAAACCTGCATTCTTTTGGATAACCAGCAGGGGGAGACGACACTGGTGGCAAAAAGATGTCAAACAGTTTGAAACCAGATGTGAAAAGTTTCAGCATCTCATCTGATTTATCCCTTAAGTTAATATTTTCCTCATGAGTTTACGGTTTCTGAAGCGAGTTTTCAATCCTTTTAAATACGCCCTGTTTTTCATTTCCTCATTCGTCCAATTTAGAGTAAAATGAGCAATTAGGCAGGGTTAGCCCTCCGCGCACGACCGTCGGTGATTGACAAGCCAGAAAGCAGATGGTGAAGGAGGTGGTGAAAGCGTGACTATTTCAGGTCATGTGACTGACATTGCACATGCTAATATTGCGGTTGTAATGTTCACAGGGTTATAAAAGTACTGAACACTGAAGAACACTGAAGCAAGAGTCGCTGAACAAGAAGCTGTTCGGCCTCAGGGGTTTCTGACTTTGAATAAGTTAACTGCTTTGGCTAGAAGAAGAGGCATGAAATCAATGAAGCGGCTCAACTAACCAGATTTCTTTGTGTGCCAGGCCAGTAAATCACTGGCCATTAGAGTGGCTTTATTTTTGGAGGTCTGTCATTCATATTTTTAGATACTTGATAGTAAAAATTGAGGAGCACAGATGCTGTTGTTTTATGGATTGGGCACACAGCTTCAAATCCAGCAAAATTCATGTCATACGACAAAACAATTGGTTCCTGTCTTCCAAATATGGGCATTTCTGGCTCATAAACAGGGTGGAAACAGCCCAAAAATGTCCACTTTGAGCCCTCAAACATATGGTTAGCCTTATTCCCGGGGGTCCTATGTTTTCCTACCTGCCCACTTGTAATTGTAACTCCAGAGCTGCCCACACTGGAAGGCCTGCGGATTCAAACACCATGTCCTGGTTTGGAGAGCATCTTGTCTTTCAGGATGACATTTTATAGTACAGTAACAGCTTGTAAATGTGGGGAGTGTGGAAACTTTAAGCCTCACAGGAGCAGAGAGAAGCCAAAGTCAACCGGTCTGGTTAAAGGGAGGGAAAAAAGCAGGGAAGTGGGAGAGGGGAGGCTCTACGGTTGGTAGAGCATAAACCAAAATGTTGTCCTAAAATCTGCCAATGCACTCCATGAAAAGTGCATGTACTATAAGTCAAACTGATGCCGCAGACACTGCCGGTGTAGAAGGCCTCGTTTCAGCTCATCAGGAAACGTCTGCTGAGAATGCGGCTGAGCGAGAGCAATTGGCCGGCATGTGTCTGTGGGACCGTCCCAACAGCTGACTCGACTTTACCTGCAAACTGCCGAGACACTACACATGGCTGCGTCTCTAATTAGCAGGCACGGCCCTGTGTAATTTCTGTCCTGCGTGCGTGTCACCGGCTCGTAGGGCTGTTATTTCGCCGAGTGGGGAGAGAGTGGGCAACAGCTGGGAGAGTGCTTAACAGATGGTGGAAGTACGGAGCGGTCCATAGCTGAAACAATGCTCCATGTAAGAGCTTGTGTGTGTGTGTGCTGTGAGGTGGTGAGCGGAGCTTAAGGGACCATGGGA